TACCGTGTGAATTCTTAAAATAGTGTTTTGGATTATTAGGATACCGTGTGAATTCTTAAAATAGTGTTCTAAATTACTTAAATATCGTGTGAATTCTTAAATAATGATCTGGATTATTAAGATACCTTGTGAATTTTTAAAAATCGGGTGTTTTCATTACATTCCTGGATGTGAATGTATTATAACAAAATGTAAGTAGATACTTTAACTTTGTGCTAGGACCAATATAGAAGCTTTAGAACCATTACAATTATGCTCATGGTTTGGTCTGTGAACATACCACAGGAACATTGAAATTATAAGATGTACATATCTAACCAGAAGGAACGTAGACATTACAAATTTAATCGATATTACAATGGAGCCAGTTTCTGGTTGTTGTTTTTTTAATTTGATCATTATGTTGCATTTTGATAATTATAATGGATGTTTATGATGTATCACATTTATGAAGATGTGATTTAAGATGTTGAATATACAAAACCTTTAATAAATTAAATCAATTTTGAGGACAAAATTCTTAACTTTGGTAGGGTCAAATGTCGTGAATTTGTTAGAAATCAGTCAATTGTGCTTAGTAGGGCAAGAAGAAAAATTCATATCTTAATAAATAGTTGTTATTATAGCATGAAAATTGGAAGAACTATTAGGCCAAGCTTGATCTTTAATTAGAATATCTTAGTGTTAGTTAGGAGTAAGCCGATATTAGGGAAATCTACTTTAATTAGGTGTATTTGATGATATTTTTACAATATTTGCATGTTTGAAGTATTATTGTTGAAGAACAATTTATTGATGTTTATTGTAATTTGTATCAGTGTAAAGGGAATTGTCTGTGGTTTCAGAGGATAAGCTTATTAGAATTTTAGGAGATCGCGTTAAGTTTTTATATAGGGTTATTTGGGGTCGGTTAGCACAAAAGCGGGGGAAATTTTCACAGGTAAGCGTTAGAATTCGTGCCAAGAGCAAGGTGTCATCCGAGACGCTCGCGGGTGGGGTATATAAACCGGTGGGTTAGCCTTAGATGGGATGGAGAAACGACGGCCCTAGCCAGTAATTTATGCAGCACACGTATTGGCGCTATAGTCTTGTTAGATGCGCGCTACACAGACAATTCCCGCTCAAGAAAGATAGTCAAATAAAGATTTACAGAAGACGGCTTATTCTTCATTCTTGATCGTCTGTAACTGTGACTGAGAGTGAGAAATAGAAGAGAAGAAGAACGTTACATTTGATAGAAGCAAGAATATTACAATAGAACAGCATATTTTGAGAGCAGTAAAAACATTACAATATATATATATATATATATATATATATATATATATATATATATATATATATATATATATATATATATATATATATATATATATATATATATAGATATAGATATAGATATAGATATATATCAGGGGCCCCCAAAAATTTGAAGCCTGGGGCCCCGCCCAAGCTTAATCCGCCCCTGGGGGGGGGGGGGGCAGAGGAATTGTATGTGTATCATACTCTGTGTATATGACTTTTCTTGGCCTTGATTTTTATTAAAAACTTTTATCGTGTTTTGTTGAATGCCTAACTATCAAATAGCAAAGCTCCGTTACAACAGTATGACAAAAAAATGTTGCTAGGCCTAGGGTTATAGGCTACACCTTTCCAGGAGAGGGTTTGTACACTTCTGTAGTCCCCAAAATTTTGGTAATTAATTTGGTTAGCAGACTATTTAGACCAGTGGCTCTTAACCTAGTCCCAAGGGTTCAGCAGAGGTCAAGACAGGCCCTACTCACCAGTGGCGGAACTAGAAAAAAGCCCCCCCCCCCCCCGCAGAATTTTATTTGGGCCCCTATATATATAAATATATATAACAAGGGTCGATCTAAATTATAAAAAAAAAACAATTTTATCTGGTACACGAATAAATCAGCGGTTTACCAACACACGAGCTGGCCCCATTCAGTTTACCAACACACGAGTTGGCCCCATTCAGTTTTCGAAGTGAGAAACACGGACTCTCCTAGTCCAACACACCAAACTGACGCCGACTTTTATGAGACTTTCATCAAAACGGTACCAACCGTGTATTTTTAGACGTTTGCCTTTCCAGAAGTTGAATTAAATGTTAACAATGTCGGCAGTTCATTTCTTGGATCTTAGGGCGCGGGTTTGTCCACACTACCAACTAGACACGCCAAGGCATGCTGTAAGTCCCTCGGCGACGGTCCAGATGTCAGGAGAGTCACGCGGCTCTTGGGAGCTACCGGTTACATTACTGCACAGGTGATGGGCGCGACACATTGCTTCTTCCTGCAGAGCCCTCCCCTCACCCGAAAACAGTCTACCGCCCCCCGAACGAAATAGAAATGTATATAGAAATTTATGCCTGACCTCCCCCCCCCCCACGAAAATATCAAGTGCACCCCCCCCCCCACCCCCACAAGTCTGGAAGAAACATTGGTGCAACACTTGATTAGATTTAGTCATCGAGTGTCGTAGCGAGACCTATTCCTAGTGTTGTGTGAACTGCTTGTGGGGGCCAACCTGATCATATGTGAAACGCTCAGGATGACACTGCCACCGATGGATTCAAGTAGTAACCTCATCCGCTTATCGGGCGCTAAATAACATATTTCCGTTGGGCGTCCCCACTCCAAAATGTAAACAACTGTTAGGCATATGACAGAAACCTTTGCGGGGCTGTACTCAACAGCTTCCCAAGTTTTCATGGCGATTGGGTGAATGATGCAGTAATGCATAATAGACAGAAAAATGTTTTTCAAATGTACAACTGTATGTGGCCAGCTCACGCGTCGGATAACCTTCTGATTTAGGGGGGGGGGGGGACTACTCACATGGTATGCGATAGGATTTTTTCAAAGCGGGCGATTGAGCTTGAGGCCGCGACCGATGATATTTATAGTACGAAGGCATAGTAACAGTGCGAAAAAGCGAAATGATACGTATCGGCGCCCAGAGGCGTAGCTGGGGGGGGGGGGGGGGTGCCAATAAGGGTAGGAAAAAAAAATTAAAAGCTCATTTTAAGCTGCAGTTTTGAATTATGAGGGGTCGTCCATAAATTACGTCACACTCGTAGGGGGGAGGGGGTGCGTAATTTTGTGACGGTGTGTGATGAGGGGGAGGGGGGGTCAGATGGTGTGACGTCACTTTTTTGCATTATAAAAAGCATTATGTAACAGTCAAATAAGAAAAAGTTTGTGCATGAAAACGCTTTTTCGCTAAGGTAAATGGGAAGGATACACACCGGAACGGAGAGTAGATAAATCGTTTAACACTTGGAATAGAAACCAATTGTATTAACGCGTAATGTACGATTTCACTGCCCAGTTTGTTAAGAAATGAATCGACTAGTTCTTTGTACGATTCTCTCGACTTCAACGTGAGAGATCAGATACTTTTACTTGATTGCTTTACATCTTGCCTGGATCACTACATTTATGAGAAATAAATACCACGGATTCATGTATCGCTATCCTATCAGTAAAATAACAAAGTCGGAGCGGGTGGGTGGATTCTAATCTGAACGTCATAGGCGTTTAAAATCATCTAATCTATTTATGTTCCATAGTAAGGATCTGACTGTAACAGGCTCGTGGCTAGCAAAAAAATCATGTCCATGTCAAGGTTTAGGTTTGTTTCCGTTGGTATCTGACCAGTTTTCTGTGATTGCTTTTGTAACGTTTTTATGACTAGGTTGTAACATAAGGCACAACCGTCTGGGGCAGGAGCTTGAGATGCCTTTTACAGCATCATTTGGCATTGGTAATTTGTTACACCATTTGGTAAAGGTTTTTATTAACATTATTTTGCACAGGGTGTAAAAATTGTGATCTTCATTTCCACGTCTCTAGCAAGAGTGTGTAAACAGTTGTCTTTATAATCCTGTCTATGGTAAGAAATAATAGAAATTTGTAGTCTTAACAATCCTGTCTATGGTAAGAAGGAATAGAAATTGTGACTACATTCGCAAAACCCACTGTCCTACTCAGGGGCGTAGCGAGGGGGGGCGGGGGGTGCGGACCGCACCGGGTGACACCATTTTGGGGGGGTGACACCAATGCAAAAAATAGCAAAATATATAGAGAAAAACTCGAGGTAGGGGGTGCAAATCAAAAGTTTGAGGGGGGTGCAAATCGAAAACTTGAAAGTTTGTCCCCGGGAAGGGTTGCTACGCCTCTGGGGTGTGACACCATTAAGTGCCGCACCGGGTGACACCCGACCTCGCTACGCCGCTGGTCCTACTCCACTATGCACCTTTGTAAGTTGTCCCGAGTGGTAAGACATGCTGTGAAGTGGGTTTGTGAGAATGTTCACAAACTCTTCCAGGATGTATATCAGTTTTCAAATGGTTTCTATTTTCACTGTTCAATACTTTTTCAGTCCTAGAGTTGATGAATATTTGATCTGCACAGTTGAATACTTTTTCAGTCAATAGGGTTGATGTATATTTAGAAGTGCTTTAAGACGGTGTGAACACGATCAGTTATGGACCACATGAATAGAATGTGCTTGTCTGACCCATCACTATCATAAATTGTGGAGGTCTGTACCCACTAAGGTTACCAGAAAATATGCAACGGAAAACTGCAAACAAAAAGTGCACAAGGGCATTTTTTAAATTAAATTAAAGATTTGTAGACATAAGCAACGAATGGCAATATGTACACAGTAGCATATAACATTTTTCCATGACATAACACAATTAAAGTGTATTACTTTAATTAATTTATAGCACATTTTCTGGGAACCAACCACAAAAGTTATTTGCACAAAAAAAGTTTTAACATTTTTTAGGGTAGCAATCTATATGACACCATTTTTGTTTAAATTCTTCCTTTTGAATTTCAACCAATGTTTTTCTTGTAGTTGTCTGCTTATTTCTTTCTGTAGTGGTAGTTTTTATACAACACTTTTTCAAATCAGATGTCTGTACATTTATGTACTAAATCATGAGCAAAGCTGCACACAGATTTTCAAACAATAACAGATTTATGTAAGTAAAAATATCAAATTTATTTTAATGAACAATTGAAATAATGCATTGTACAAAATAAATTACCAATGAAATTATTCTAAAATAATAACAGCTTTTGTTCCATCAGCGTTTTTGTGTTCTGTTCCATGGTATAGATCGTATTCTCTTCTTAAGTAAGCATACAACAGGTCTGAGACTAAAAATATCTGTTGATCAAAAAGTTTTATTTTTAAAAATTATATTCAATTTCAAGATCACTATACCGTAAGAATTGTAGGTCTAACATTACTAAAATTACACTGAATGATAATTAATTTCTGAGGGCTAGCTGTATCTGACCATGTACTTTTTATAATTATTGATCTTTTTAAACATATCTAATGATGAATTCCCCCCTTAAAAGTCTTAAGTTAAAAAATACATGCCTGAGCTGTAGAGTAGGTAAGGGTGATGGCAAAGTAGAAATTAGCATTAGCGCTACCAGCAAAAATCCACAGATGGTACAGAATTGGAGATAGAACAATACAGCAGATGTACATGCCCCCAACAACAAGTGAGTTCCTCAAATCTGTTTAAAAAAAGTTTTTTGTCATGATAAATAGCAGACATGCTACTGTCTCGCCATTTGTGGAAATGTTCAGTCAAGTCACATCTCATTTCATTGTTCATTTGCATCACAATTTGTTAAAATAAAGTATTAAAAAATCTGCAATCATTTTAAAAACAGTAAACAAAACAACAAAAGAGAAGAATTTTTTTTTTACTATGGCTCTTTGATTTCATTTTATTTACTTATTTCACATTGTAATGCATACAGTAATGTGGAAAGTTTTGAAATGTCTGTAGAAGAGTTTTATAGGTAAAATACCTCATTTTAATTTGAAAAACCACTAGTATTTTGGTCAGTAAAGAAATGTCTATTAGTAAGGAAGATGACAGTGACTTACATGAAAAGACATGTCTCCACAGAGGAAGCAAGCTAAAGTACAAAGCAGCATCAGCATAGCTTGGGTAGGACTTGAAAATTGAGGTCAAGAACAACAGAATATACATGAGGAAATATGGTTTGTGTCTGGGGAGTTAAGAGAAAACATGCTATTTTACTTGAACATTAATAAAACTAAATACAAGTAAAAAAAAATTTTTAATTCTTATAAAATACGAGCCGACCCGCGGCATATCATACGCCGCTATTTAGTTGTTTTTTTCTACTTTTCAGTAATTCATAATTTGTGAATTCGACAGTACCAACGCTGCCACTGAAAATATTTCTTTAAAACACTATAAGTAGCTCGTTAAGGGGGCACTACACCGTACATACAAAAATTTACAAAAAATTTTTTTTTAAGAAAACAAACACATGTATTGCAGTTATAAAGATATTTTATATACTTTTAGACCAATGTGAATGTGTCTTCAGCGTTAGCCGATTAAAAAATACAGAAATAAATGATTTAGACATATCATGCTTCAATCTGTTTAACTCAATAACCATTTAATGTATTGACTTAAAACTTCTAATTTAAATAAAGGAGAGGATTCCTAACAGGAGAATAGAGAGACTTTTTGAATATATGACAAAATGTTGAAGTTACAAATTTTTTGTTTTTAGATTAAAATATTAACCATGAAATCAACTTTGAAATTCTCTAAAAACAAAACTACTCAAGATAACCTAAAAAAGTCTCTATTACTCTAACAGTAATTATGTTGTGTTTCTACTGTACAAATTTCATTGAAATCTAATAGACAGTATTTGAGATCATAATTTTTAAGTTTTAAAACTGGTAAAAAAACAAAATTGTGAGAAAAAGGGGAAAACGTGTTTGAAAATGAAAAAAAACTGTTAAACACTCTTTATATCTTATCAAAAGCTTATCATATAGTTTAAGCAATGTATACAAGATACTATAATCAAAGTTTCAATCAAATCAAGCAATAATTAGTCTTGGTAATTAGGTTTAATGAGGTGCACCCCCTAAAAATAAATTGTAAATAAGAGTTATCAAAAATATTTTAAAAATTAATAAAAGCTTTTAAATCAAATAATATCCTAGTAAAAGCATATTAAATAGTTTTAGTATGTACAGAAATTACTATTATCATTTGGTTTCTGAAATTAAGGAGTAATTATTCTTGTAAATCAGGTTTTATAAATGTACCCCTGAACAAAAAACTTCAAAACAGGTCAAGTAAAATTTACAAAAAAATTGAATTAGCTTACAAAATAGCTACATAGAGGTACAGTATACAACTCTGAAAACATTTGCATATTACTAACATTACAAAAACAAAATAGTTACAGTAGGCCTAATCATTCTCTATTTAGAAAGCCGAAGAAAAATATGATGATCTGCCTTCAGCCTGAACTAGTTTCTGTTGGGCTATGGGTGAAATAACAGCCATCTTTCAGTATTACTAACTGTCATGTAATCCCATGATTGGGGCCATATGCCTAGATGCATGCAGAAAGACTTTCATTTGGGTTGAATCTATCATGCAACTGCTCAATATGGCATTTGTCGTCAGTTGCTAATAAACATTTTGGACAGCTTTGGCAACATGTTCTAAGATGAATGATGAACCTTTGTGAGATAGCGGTGTTGAATTATGTACCATGACACATTTGCCAGAAGCACCAGGAGGTTTTCCCTGTCTGTCAATCCTGGTGTGTGTCCTTTCATCTGTCAAAGGGACATGATTAGAAGGAGCTCCAACTTTCCACCTCAGTTCCCTGTACTGCCAGTCTTACTTGAAACTGCCTTCTTGAAGTAGGTCTGGAGATTTTTTCAGCTGCTGAAATGAGATTGAGACAATATACTGATCTATACATTCTAGCTATCAGAGTGATTTCAAGAATTCAAACAAGTTTGACAAATCCTAATACCTGCGTAAGACTTCCAATCTATCCACTCAGTGCATTACGGCGATTAGACTGCAGAAGCACTAAATTTTCTTTGCGATGGTTGGTGGAAGTAGTGTAGCTGCAACCGATGCATGTGCACTGAGATGCAGGTACTGTAGGTGCATCTAGTGCATCTGTGCAGTCCCAAGTGATGTGCATCAACCCTAGCAAGCTTGGCAGCACTAGCTTTGAGACTTCAGGCATTGACTGTAAAAATATTTAAAAATAATAAGGCATATTGTTATTTCTAGATCTATCTATTATTCTATTATAAACTATTGTTTGTATTTATAGACTCATATTTACCTATATAGATCTGGACTAGAATCTAAATTCTACTTCTAGATCTTGATCTAGGTTTTAGATTTAGAATCTCCAATCTAGATCTAAATCTAGTTCTAGATCTAGAATAGATCTAGATTCGAGATCTAGATATAGAACGACTCATTATCGATAAGGAATAATAGTCCAAGTTTATTGATGAAAATACAATTAATAACTATATTTTAGAAAATAATTTCAGTAAAATAGTAATTAAATCAAATCTTACCGTAAAAAGAAGCCAACAAACAAAAAATGTGCACTTATTTGATAAAAAAGAAGCACTCAGGTTCGCAGATGTCGAGTAAAGGAAGTCATGCGCTGAGCAAAATAATAGCCGGTATCTCGGCAACCGCTTACATTTCGGTCATATGTCGCCTTGACATGAGCTAATTTTAGTAACTTACAACATGGCTTCGCCTGGTAACCAATGGGAATACAGCTTTTCTTATTTCCATCATGCATTCACCTCGCGATTTCTATTTTAGTATTTAAAACTAGGTCAATGTATTTAGGTTATTTAAATGAGCAATTGCAAGCCGGTCATTCTGATATACGGCTTGCTATGCTAGGTCGCTTAGTTAAGAATCGACAGGCATGTTTATGGAGGCCATTTTTCCGTAAATTTATATTTTTCCAGGCACACACACCTTCTTCAAATGCACAAATATGTATGAAAATGTCAATTTACAGTTAAAACGATAACGGCATTAGGTAAATAAGATGTTAATGTATAGAAATAAAAAATAAAAAAAAATCGAAAAAAAAATAAAAATAAAATAAAAAATCAAGCTGAGTACGGTGTTGTAGCCCCTTAAGGACGATACCCCCCTTCCTTCCCCCCCCCCTCCGTTAAAGTAAACTCCACTTAGTTACCCCCCCCTCCACCCTACGTTTAAAATAGTTTCAAACTAAATTATCTGCCCCTAATAGTCATCACTAAACCTGGCTCTGCTTGTAAACATTTAGCGTGAACGACAGCTCACCAGACCATGTAGGGGTGGGGGTGGTAGGGAGCGCGCTTACAGCTTGTTTTCTAGCGTCTCCCAGAAGAGAATTATATATATATATATACCACTGATTCAAAACAATTTAAATACTTACGGAAATCGAACAGCAAGCGGAACAGTATAGACAAAGGCGTTGAGTTGGAATACACATACAAAAAATGTTCGAAAGTGTTCAAACATTTCAGTGAAAAAATACCAGAACACACCACTATTGGGTGTTAAATCAGGAACTGTTAGGCTAAATACAGATTGAGAAAACAAAAAGTTGTATTAAATTTAGTTGCAATATATTAGTGGTGTCAAATATATACTATGCAAAGAAATAAAATCAACTTACATAAAACCATAAGTAGACAATAAAAACTGCCATGATCCTTCCAAGAGATAAGAGATTGCTATCAGTAGAGCAAAGAACACAGAAAACACACCGCTGGTCTTGAAGTAACTTACAACTGCCGCCTTACCAGTGTAATCAGAGAATTTGGGCTGTGAAAGCTAAAAATAAAAAATAATACAACATTGTAGTTGATTATTTCTGTTAGGGCAATCTGATATCAAAAGGGCTCTTATCAAGCCATCAATATGTATTTAAAATCAATGAGCTACAATAAAGGAAATGTATAGAAAACTGCTACCAACCGTGTAAAAGTGAAGGGATGCTGGTACAATGAAAACTAGAGGGTAGAGTGACTGGTAGGTTGAAAAAGCTAGGAAGAATAGACACTGAAGCTTTTCTCCTAAAGGTAGTTTTAAAAAATTGAGATGATAATCAATATGATACATTTTAAAAAATTATTTGAAATGGAGATTGTAGTTAATTAGAGCATTTTATAGTAAACAGATTAAAAAAATTTTTTTTATTTGCCGTGAAGTTATTGTACCTTGAATTAGATAATAAAATGCCAGCAGAACCATCAGATTAGAGATGGCAGTGGTAGACAAAGCTAAAGTGGTCATGATGCTAAATGGGTTCAAAACGTATCTGAAATAGCGATAAGTCATAAGTAAAAACAAAGATGTTGAACTTAATAGAAAAATATGGACAACATCTCTATACTTATGGGTAAACTACAAACACTATGAAGAAAGTGTGGTACTCACACAGCTAAAACAATTGTAGGTAACATGTTCACATCTTCTTGTGTTAGCTGAATAGTTTTTGATTTGGGTGAATAAGATTTTTTTTCTTTATCTTGTTCTGAAAGCTGAAGCAATGGAAATGATGCACAACATAAACTCAGGGAATGTAAACAATAATTTTAAACACTATCAAAACGTAAGTGCTGCACTGTTAGTTTGGGGATAGGGGAATGTTATGTAATGAAGGGCCTACCCTGTTAATTTAGTCCTAGCAAGAACATATTTAAACAGACTATAAATTGAAGTACCTGATAGTACACGTTTTTAGTGGGTATTTTTACTTTTCACAAAAATTAAATTATCTAGATAATATATTAATATTGTAGGGAATGAAATGCTGGTGGCTGTACATCCCATTCAAGTACCAATACTTGATATTAAATTATCTAGATAATATATTAACCTTGTAGGGAATGAAATGCTGGTGGCTGTACATCCCATTCAAGTACCAATACTTGATATTAAATTATCTAGATAATATATTAACCTTGTAGGCAATGAAATGCTGGTGGCTGTACATCCCATTCAAGTACCAACATTTAACAAAATATTAGTATTACCTTAACCTTAATTACTTCCTACTTCTGTGACTTAGATTAGCTATTTAAATATTTTAAAACTTAATTTAATGACGCTACATTACCAAGTATTGACCAAACACATAAAAATCACACAAAACAAGTAAAAAACAATACTGACACTAGACAGCAACATAAAAGAAACACACACAAAACAAAGAATTATCTAATCCTTTCAAAATAAATGTTTACAATATTTTAAAACTTAATTTAACTACGCTACATTACCAAGTATTGACCAAACACAGATGATATCTTGTAAAGAATAACCATAGTCAGTATATCAATAATCTGTGGAAACAATGAAAGCAGTTATAAAAATTTAAAATAAAAAATATTTTTTTGATCTAAAATATAAATTTCAGGCTAAGTAACTCAATTTATATTTGAAAAGAACATAAAAAAGTTTCAAAAACAAAACAAGGACTTAAAGCTCACTTGAAGTTTAATATTAACAAAAAAGACAATATTTTTAAAAACCATACAATGAACCTTAGAAATTAACACATTTAACATTTATCCCAGTACAGTTCATTGTTACTATTAATTTAAAAAAAAACACATTTATTATTTATTACGTCATAATACCTATGAGCACTAGAATGTTTAATGTGTGCAACTGCCATTGCTGATGCTCAATAAAAATATATGTACATTATAATTAGGCCCATATATAAAAAAGAAAGAAAATATTTGAGGAATTAAAAAAAATTACAATAAAAAAGAAAAATTGGTTAACACAACTAAAACAATTTATAAGATACAAGTTAAAAAAAAATTGAACTATTAAGTTTACCATGAAAAATCCTTTGACGCCAAATGGAAAGTGCTGAGCAAGTTTGAAACCACGCAGGGCTAATGGTGTCTTAAAAATAAAATGTAATAAGAAAATTCAAATAGAATAAGAACTAAAAAGTTATAAAATAATCAAGAATCATTAACTGTAACTAAAAAGCATAATATAAAATTGAATTGACTGGTTTTAAAACAATATAACCTACCTCATGAAACACATCTCCAGAATATGGAGAAATAAACTGACTTTGCAAAGCAAATCCCTCTTCAACTGTAAAATATGTTATTATTTATCTTTATTATTCACATAAATTTTGTTTTTGTTTACTAACTTTTAAGGAAAATGAATGCAAATAAAAATAAATACACAGTGGGAGATTTCACTGAAGCTGCTGTGTCATTGGCCATTTTAGAGCCGAACATCCCTATACAGTAGGTTTACAGAAATTATAATTCAGTGAAGTTATATGGATGTAGGTGGGAACTTCATGTGTGCTTCCCCAAGTTTAACACTAAAATAAGTTATCAAACTAAATTTCATTTAGATCTATTCGGCATGCAGCAGCTGTCCTTTGCTCCTTGAGGCTTTAAAGTCATGCAAAACATTTCAAAATGACAGTGATTTTATTCCTTGTATTAAAAAAACCTATAGTATTTTGAAAAAGCGTATGAAAGATACAAACATATATCTATCATCAAACTCCAACTAGCACCTACCACCCCTCATATGCCCCACACACACAATTATTCATATTTATATATATATATATATATATATATATATATATATATATATATATATATATATATATATATATATATATATATATATATATTCTTGATTTATAGTCATCCTTTGCTGCAATGTAATAATATTAAAATTTCTTTTTAAAAATCACACAAAACAAGTAAAAAACAACACTGACACTAGACAGCAACATACAACACACACAAAACAAAGAATTGTCTAATCCTTTCAAAATAAATGTTTACAATTTCTATTCTTAATATTGCGAACAACAGTAGGGAAAATAACTACACTATTTGATACAGATTCGTACACATATTGAATTATGTGTTTTGGATTCCATTTTATAAAAGAATTTGTTATAAAATATTATAATTTTATATAAAATAGTTAAGCCTATTTGTAATTTGTTTTATAACATTTCTATTTTTGTCAAAGTAAATATTTTGATATATGCTAAAAATAATAATTCAAAAAACATTTTATCCTCCTGAATTTTTTATTGCTTATAACTAAATTAACCTGATATATTGTAAACAGGCTATATGTTTTCCCAGTATGCTGTTCCACAGTATTTTAATATAACAATCACAGGTTAAAAGGGAGAGCACATTATTCTAGTTACCAATAAGGACCTTAGTGTATTTGGTAATAGAAGAATGATCTCATTCTGAACTTTCTCACTCAAGAACTTAGTCAGACTAACACATAAATTCAACATATTCTGCATCCAAGGGTCGAACACTTCACCAATGTAGCCACAAGTACAAGGATCTGGCCACCAACAAATTCTCCATCAGTCAGGCTAACATTCACTAACTGTATTAGCAGCTGTCTCCAGAAGTTTTCATTTCCTGCTCTTCATTAAATCGCTGTCCAGCTTTTCCAGTGCTGTCACAGCACAAAAGATACAATGTGGATGGAGTTGCTCTCATGATCTTAACACTTAACACTATGGAGTCATGGTATTCTAGGAACACAATCAGTTCACTGCCACTAAAAAATAGGAGTCATCCTGCCTGCAAACAACCAGCGGATCTAGCAATATGATCTCTTTAGATGTGGTTGGTCTCTATGACTTTCCATAAAGAAGCGGATGCTGTTTTTGTTCAACAGTTCGTCCTGTTACATTTTCAAAAGGGCATGGAGGTAAAATTATATGCTCATTAAGGAAGCTGATGAGCTGGTGAAAATGTACAGCAGAAAAACATCAGTCCAACCTAAATAAATCGCAGCTGAATGTAGGAGTAGAAGAAGAATCAGAATGGAATCCCTTATCATTATAGGTTTGGATTGATGAAACAGTACGATCAAGAGTACTTTTTCTTCTAAAAAAATATGAAACAAAATTTAAAAAAAAACCCCGAGTCTCCAGATACTCTATTTATTCAATTTATAAGTTCTGGTGCCCAAGGACTCCGGAGGGCCGGTGGAGTTTGCCCACCTTGGGGTTACATTGTTGTTGTGCCACTGCATTTTTTCATTTGATTATCATGGCATTTAAAAAAGATTTATGTAATTGTAAGAGGTGTTTTCACTTTTCACTGTGGAGCATTTTGTCTAAAAGTAGCCCATCGGACATTAGTTTACCAATGATTTTAAATTTGTAAGGATACTACTAAATTAGATCTAGTATCTAGAATCTAGATCTTAGCTTCCATTTTACATGATTGATACCTAATAAATAATTATAAATAATTATTAACTGATACTCATGAGAAGATACTGCCACTGAGTCGCTGAGAGTGGCAGTATGAGTAGCTTCGTTGGAATTTTTACGACGCTGAACTAAGGTTTTACCATAAAATGAATGAAATTTAATTTTCTACCTCTTTCCCATGAATTAACGGGTGTTGAGATTTCATTTCTGGTCTTTAACCATTCAGATAACCCAGTTTGCATTAAGGCTATCCGAAGAGTAATGCCGAAAAGCGCTATGAAATATAAACGAACAGCAGCCATGTTGAAAAAGGCCCGAGGAAGGGAAATAAACAAGATTGTCTAAAATTATCAAACGTATTGCTATGGTAAAATAGGAAAATAATTATTATTAATTAAACATTATTTTTAGTTAAATCAGTTCAAAAAATGAAAATAATGTCTTTAAAAAAAAGAATGTTGGCCTATCAATTCTAGATCTAGATTCTAGACATGTTTGCGGTAATGTTTACTTTAAAATTACTTTTGTTTTTCGGCTCAAGGCTAGACGTAAATCTTAATCATTTTATTACAAATATGATATATATATATATATATATATATATATATATATATATATATATATATATATATATATATAGGCCTATATATATATTCCTATTTTATATAAATACTAAATAGTAAATACTTGGCCACATATACTAATAATTTATTCATTTATAATTATATTCTTAAAAGTTAAATGCTCTAGAGACAGGAAAATAAAATTAGTTGACTCTATCCATATAGATCTAGATCTATCAAATATATGTATATCTTGGGTTTTTAGTATTTTTTTTTCTTTCCATTTAAAAAAAAATTCAGTTAGAATAAGTTCAGTAAAAAAATCTGGCATTTTTTCAACTTCAAATTTTTTAAAAACCCTACCAGGGGTAGGCCTTGAGAGAGAATTTCCGGTACCATTTCTCGCCTGGAAAGTTGTTTTAAAAATACTTTTCCTCTAGTCACTATCTAGATTAAATCTAGATCTATTTACTGTTTTTTTTCTTTAAAAAATCATTTCGTCTTGGATATATAGTAAAAACAAACATTATGAATCCAAACTTTGACACAATTGGTAAACAGTTTGTTGAACAATATTATGCTGTGTTCGATAACAAAGATACACGAAGCCAAGTCGCGGTTATGTACCACGTAAGTTTCAAGATCTAGCTAGATCTAGACCAGTTTAGATCTAAGAGATCTAGAAATCTAACTCTAGGATCTATTGGGAATGTAACTGAACACTCTGAAGAATACTCACATATCTACTGCATAGCACCTAGCTAGGTTCAAGAGTACAGACTACCCTAGTCCTCTAGCTAGAACTTGACTAGGTCTCTAGATTTAGCTAATCTCATAAAGCTAGTTGAATTACCTCCCCTGACCCGCTTTTTAATGACCACTTTTTAGTTGTTTTCTTTTCAACAGCGTCTCGGCACTGTTGCTAAAAATAGCATTCGCGCAATACCGGCATACGGGTAACTCTGTTTGGCATCTGCTACACGTGATAGATCGCTGAATGGCCGACAAGCTGATATAAAAATTATTGCGATCGGATGCGCTTTATTATTTAGGCCTATACCACAGATATTTTGATACCTGCAGTTCAGCCGTCCATTTATCTTTTAAAATGTATCTTTAGAATTTCTGTACCTTTTGGCAATCGGTCAGGAGCATTTGCGCACTAAACCCACCCCCGTACGGCAGATCCGATTTTTTTTCTTTCCCCTGTTAACTCGTACTGACCTCGCACATAGCTGAGATAGTACATTGATACTGATGGAAAATCATCAAAATCTATATTCCTACTAGAGATCTAGAAATAAACTTAGATCATGGAGTTTTTAATATGACTTTTAAATTGAATGTATCCAGTTTTAAGGTATTTTTTTTTCAAAACATAGCTATTTTTAGTACTATATTTAAGTATTTCAAACCCTTTTGGTAGTTTTTCTTAAACTTAGGCCTAGATCTAGTGATTAGATCTAAGCCAAATATTTTTTGTACTTATAACTTGCAGGCCTATTAAAATAATATAATAAAACAGTTTGCATGATAACTTCATCAGGTCATTACATAAATACAAATGTTATAAACATATAAAACCACAAAACCATAGGTAATATCTGAATTCTGAAGCATACCTTACATTTGGGCTAATACTGAATTAAAAAGAAATTACATAAAGGCTTGAAATTAATACAATGTGTAATTAAGAAAGAAAGCTTCAATTCTAAATACTACAAGATCTAATAACAAATAAACAATGAAACAAATTCAAAGCTTTTTTCAACTCATTTACAAACATAACTCAATTTTATTAGGCCCCTGTAAACATTAAGATTCCTCTGTAGATCAAGCAATCTGTTGGGCAGATGAAGTAGAGTTCATGTTTTTTTTTTATCTAGATCTAGATAGGTGCTAGATCTAGTAGTTAATTAAATATTAAGTAGAGTAGGCCTAAAGGTTTTATACTCAAATAAAAGGTGCTATTTTTTATACAATGGAAAAAGTTAAAAATAGGCTCTTAGCTTGGCTTAGTCTTATCCTTATCTAATGGTTTAACAGAGACCAAAGGGAGTCTAAATTTTTTAGACCTAATAAAAATGTTAAATAGCCTAAATATTAGGCTAAACCATTGAAGTGTTGGTTTTTTTGTGTTAATTTTTATTTTTAGAGTTTATGAATATGTTCTGATGCAGTTGTCTAATCTACATAGGATCTGGAAACATATCCCAGTTTTATGTAGGAACCTATGTAGATATAGATTCTGCTTGTTTTTTAACTTTTTAAAACATATTATGGAATCTCAGATATTTGTGTTAATTGAAATCTGCACAGCATTAGCATAAGCCTGTTTGTAAATTATTTCATTTTCATTACAGCCTGCCAATGCCTTGTTAACATTTGAAGGACAGCAATTTCATGGTATAAATGCAATAGCAGAAAAGATGAAAGTAAGCGTATTTTCATGTGTATTTGGATAGGCCTACTAAAGACACTATTTTAATGTTAGTTGTATTAAATTATTAATTCATTTACTTAGGCCTACCTAATTAGATTTCTATTTTAACATTCAAAATTCATTTTTAATTAACTGCAATTGGCAAAATAAATGTGAGTAATTTAAAATATTTAATGCCTCTTTATCTACTTTATTATTTTAGAACATCCCAATAGATAACATGTTTAGACAAATAACAACAATTGATTGCCAGCCAACAATAGATGGTGGTGTTCTGGTCAATGTCATAGGTCAACTGAAGGTAAATTTACAATTTGGAGACAAACTGTTATACCAGTACAATTTGCATTTATTATTTTATTCTAAGATGGGTTTTTTTTTTATTACTTGTGTCAATTATTTTTTTTTAAACCTAATTTTTATTTTTGCTTTTTTCCCCAGAACAATTCAGAGCATGATAAAGTGATGGGATTTTCTCAAACCTTTGTCCTTAAGCCTGCAGATAATTCTTTTTTTATCTTTCATGACATTTTTAGATTGGTTATACACAACATGTAGTGACACATTTAGATAATTTTCCTAAGAACTAAAGAGTGAGCCCTTTTTTATTAAGTAAAATGATTTGTCTTACCATATTTATACTTATCTGCATGTGTTTTTTAATACTTGTTCTGATATGTTATGCAGGAATTTCTCCAAAACAATAGTAGGTCAGTTAAAACTAAAAGGCAGAAATTTTTTTTTAGGTGACTTGTTAAGATTTTAGCTTTGTTTATGTTTAAAGTTCACAAACTAGTTTAATGTAAGACAGTTAAGACAAGATCCTTTCGTTAATGCAGTATTACACTCTCTTAGCAACTGTGTTAAAAACAAACACTCAGAACAGAATGACCTAACTGATTGTTTACCTTAGAAATGTTGATTTCACAGACTTTACAGTTGTGGGGGGTGAATGGGAGTTTTTTCAATAATTTATTACAACCTCACTGTTACTGTGTAATGTGTGGGCTTGTATGGTTTGAAACTGTTTAAATGCTTTGAATTTATTGGCACAGATTATTGATTTTTAAAAAACATCTTAATTTTTCCATGTGAGTTTTAATAGTAGGTGCAGTAATTAAGGTATTTGTTTACTTTGCAATTAAGGAACATAATTAGCATTGTTAAGTGTAGTTTTTTTTTTTTAACATAGTTCAAAAGACTTTGTTAATTACTGCATGTCCTTCAGTATTTTGGAAAGAATTTTTTTTTGTACTTAGCAAATATCTTTCTTGGTTTTAAAAAACTTGTGATGGTTATGTTGGATGCATTTCTTCTTTAGTTTTTGTGCTGTTTTATTGTTTTGAAATGGGCCACATTACTTTGCATACTTAGACATTTTAATAGTTGCCTTTCCCCCTGTTTCTGGGGTTATTAGTCGTGTTTCAGTATATAACCAGTGCAAGAATTAAATCAAGCATTTTTAATCAGTGTAGGGCTATGTTTTAATATAAAAAGTAACCAGTCTATTTCTGTAAAGACAAATATCTAAATTATAATTAACCTATCTGTTCTAAAAGTAACCAAACCACTCTTATTAACTAGCATACAAATACAAAAGCATTTAACCTAACCGTTTTCAAATTGTATTGCAACTTACCGCAGCCCTAACCCAAATGTCATTTTTTCAATAGGTGACCTCCTCCTGTTGATTTTGGTCATAATCTGTTCTGCAGTTGTTGATTTTTTTTTATCCCCCCCCGCATATTGCTCATTCTTTCATTTTGCACTTTATGACCATGTTTATTGAAGGTTGTACATTATGTCATTAGTAAATAAAATTCTTGTGCTTGAGGTTTAATAAAAAAAAATTAAATAGGCAACTAATATTAGTTATGAAAATGTTTTTTATTTGTTGTTGTGATTGTGAGTCTACAAACTATTGAAAGTTATAAATTTCCCTTCAAATATAACTCTTTATTGATTATTGGACTTGTTATGCTAATTTGAGAATAAGACAAAATATGACACTCCACTGCCAATTGTAACCAGTGATCACAAATGCGTGTAATTCCCTCTTAGACAATTCCCATTAATATGTGTATCAAACCCATATTAAAACTGCCATGCTCTCAGTAAAGGATATTGTAGAAGTTTGCATTGTTACAAACTTGAAATTTCGGAATTAGCTACACTAGGATTGAGTCTGCCTGACTTCCCAGAGTCCATTAAATTCTAATGAGTACCTGGGTTAACTCTGGTATGTAATAGACATCTATCAATGTCACAGAAATACCTCATATCTATTGGCCATAGTGTCATACAAGCATGGTTCATGTTTTGGCATTAGAGATCAACTTGAAACAAACTTACCAACACCAGTAAAAAAAATAGGTGACATTGAATAATGTACAATATACTGATGGAGGTTTATAATAAATGTAATGAATTAGCTGACATTTTTGTGAAAAATGAAATGTGTAAGTAGAATCTGAACTTTCTGGAATAATCGTTGATTTACAAAATATTGTTACTAACATGCTGTGATAGTTTGTTTTCAATGACATAAAAGTTTAGCAATCAAGCTAATATAAAGTGAAATTGCTATAATGGAAGTGTGACTTATTCAAATTATTTGGGAATTGTCTCATCCAGAGCAGTATAATAATTTTATTAATTTCTTCAATCACAAGCTGTTAATTAACTTGCTTCCTCTGTTGTCATAAATCAAAATGCTCGAACAAAATTTTGGGCACTTCTGACAGATTTGTTGGCATGTGGGTCAAGACATGAAGACAATGCAATCTTACATTAAATTCTACTTAATTGAATGCCTAATTAATGTTTGTTAATTAATTTAAAATTTTCTCAAATTAATAGGCAGTTTTACCCAACTATTCTGCACTATTATACACACATTTTATTATGTTCATTAGGTGCACAATAGTTTTTGTCATGCAACTCTAATAAAAATGAATAAATAATAAACCGGGAGTAATCTCCCCTAAACTTTCTCGAATATTCTTATATAAAACAACAGGGGATGGGAACTCAAGGATATAGTTATGATTTTTAATCCATTTTAAATACTTAAACTTTTTAAAATAGAATAGAATCTCATAGAAAAAAGAATTGCGCACCAAGCGAACGCCAAATAAAGATGTTCATAATAGTGCGCAATAATATTAGTACTTTATAAATTTACATGCGCTTATGAGAAATCGGAAATAGCGTAAACTAGTGTTTCCGGTCAATGGAAAATACTCAAAATTTGACAGAAGGTAGAGAATTAGATCTTTTACTTACATGTGAAATTTCATTTATCTATCTGAAATAGTACTTAAGTTATAGGCTTTTGAAACATTCAAAGTATAAAAAGTACCGGTTATCGGAAATCGCTCAAAAGTTGATAGGGATCTACGATTTTGATAAAATACTTATATATCAAATTTCATCAACCTAGTTGTAACGGTACTCAAGTTATCGTGTTTACACACATACAGGCATACGGACAAGATTGCAAAATTATGTTTTTCCGTATCAGTGAGGTGTAAAATCTCGAGATTTGCAAAATCTCGAGATTTGCAAAATCTCAATTTTTTTTTCTTAGTTATTTAAATAGTAGTTTATTATATATTTAAAGAAAATCATTTATTTTCTACTTGTAATAGTGCATTATTATATAAAAGCTTGTTAATGTTATTAAAATGTTTTTTATTAAACAAACATTTTTTTTTTATTTGATGAAATATAGTGTCACAGGATATTTAACTTATTAACCATAATCTTATGGTTAAAATGGAACAATTTCTTTATAAGTTATAAGACTCAAGAATATAGGCCAACATCATTACAATCAAGGAATTTTTTACTTGTAATTTGCTATCCAATATACCCATGGATGAATAGTCACTAGTAATATAGTTTGTTATAGAATTTGCATAATTAGACTAATTTAAGTATTAAGTGACCATAAATCTAAAGAAATGAAAATAGACATATTTAGCGAGGTGAACAAAAAAAAAAGCAAAAAAACATTTGTAATTTATAATAACAAGCTTTGAAATGCCCTGAAAATAAGATAATGAAACAAACTTGCTTTCTTTAATAAAAGCTTTGGTCACTCATGAGATCTCTAACATATAATAATTTAGCAACCAAAATTTTTTAAAAATTTTCAGTGCATTTAAAAGGTGATTAAACAAGTTTTTAAGTTTGCTTCATCTTTAGTATTTCTTTCTTAATGAGGTTAACACTAGATTTATAATTATTAGGCTACAACTTTTAAAAAATTGTGTTAAAACCAGACTAGTAGCTTGCAATCTCTAAAAGACAGTTTTGTTAATGTTCAGCAAGAAATCAGCCAACCCAACATCAATTCACCCTCGACAACCAGTATTGATTATTATCCCCCTTTTTATTTTTGAATATAGTAATTTTAAAATTATTTTTGCATTGTCATAGAAGACAAAGATATTAGAAGTGGGTCAAAATTGAGTAACAAGATTTGCAACAAACAAACCAGAGGATTTTGCAACATAAGAATAAAAAGAAGGGGGTCGAGCAACACCATAAGTCGTCCTTATCCAATACATCCATGGTGTGAATTCTAAAGTTAAAAAGTTCAGTTGCGAGAAATTAAGAAAGTTTGCAAGAGATCAACTACAGCAATGAGAGCTTTGGTAAAGATTTACTAGATCTATGTATTGTTGATTGTGATCGAGTCGGTAAAGCTCATGGTTGCTAAACCGAAAAGTCAAGTTCAAACCCTCGGGCAGATGAGGCTCGTTAGCTGGGGACAGCCACTCTTCTAGGAGAGACAACTCCAAAATTAAACAACTGCTGCCTTGTAGTTTGTTCTTGGTTGGACAAAGGCTATGGAAGTAAATCCAAAAAGAAAAGCAGGCTGAAATCGGAGTCAATGGCCTCAATGACACGTATCCTTAATTGTGATGGAGGCGTGATCGAGTCGGCTAAAGCTAATGGTTGATAAATTCGAAAAAGTCTCAAGTTCAAACCCACTGGCAGATATGGCTCGATCCCCTCCAACACCAAAAATTAAGAAGTTAACAATGGAGTAGGATTGAAATAACATCCCTTATGTTCAATATTTTGTTGATTTAGTTGCTAGGTTACCTTTTACTTTATTAAAATAATCAGCAATGTTTGTATAGAAGTGTACATTAATGACAAATGAAGATAAGGGGGGGGGGGGGGGTTACTAAAGCTGGGGACAAATAGAAAATTCAGTTATCTAGAGCTCTTGAAGTTATCGCTAAATTGAGACCAGTTGGATAATTCATAATTCATTGAATAAAGATTGTATCTGGCTTCAATATCAATAACCCAATTACTGTCCTTGTACCTTCACTCACATAAATTAGGTTTGCAAATGAATACAAGGAAAGACACAAGAGACTTTTTTTTTTGCAAAAACATTCTATTCATTCAATAAAAAGTACACATTCACAAAGTGACACTGTTAAATGACATGTACAATGTATTTGCTCATAATTTTATGGCAACAAAATGAAAACAGATCAGTTTAAAAATGAAATAAAAAATAGCATCAGTTCATTTAATTATTTCTTTTGCTTTTTCTTCTCTGCCTCTTCTTCCCTCTCTTTCTCTATTTCTGTGATGTATTTTTCTATCTCATCAGACTCCATCATCTGTGTGATATACGGAATACAGTAAGAATATACAGTGTATTTATCAACAATGAAGATGTTAACTACAAATTACATTAAATTACAATATTAATTATAAGAGTTAAATTCACAAATAGAAAAACTAAAACAAATAACATTTTTAACTCTTCCCATCATGAAAACTCACATCCTTTTTATCAAAATCTTCCTTAATTTTATTTAATAATAAATAGATTAAAAATATTTGTTGTATCTAAGAGCTACTCAATAATAAATTTAATGAGGTTAAATATTTTTAAATATATAATTTTACACAGTAATGTAAAAAAACTCTGGTAATTTATTCACATCAATATTATCTGGCAGGTGTTATGTCTTTCAGTTTAGTAATGGAGCAAGGTTTTTTTTGCTTGGAAGTAAGTAGATTATGAGTTAATTGTCATAAAAAGTCTCACCTGTAATGGTTTTCCTCTCCTCATGACAGCCACCTCCATATTTTTACCACCTGACTGCACGACTTCCAACAAGGCTTTTAGGGTCAGTTTGATACATTCATCATCATTAGCTTGTAACTCCTCAGTGTAATGTTTCTCTAAAAACTCCCTCACTGTTTTGGCACTGCGGCCTATTGTATTTGCCTGTAGAAAAACATATTAAACACCTTATTTTCTGCACATGCATTTAACATACAACATTCTTTTGGTTCAGATTCAACAAAATGTTTTACAAATATTCATTACGAGAAAAATGGCCAGTTGAGGAAGGATACAACGGTCGCTAGGTTGATAGAGCGTTCTTGTCAGATACATACAGTGATACATAGACAGACAGCGAAACTATTATTATAGATTACCTTCCATTCGTGATAAGTACCAGATGGGTCTGTCTGGTATAATCTAGGAGTACCATCCATATCAAAACCTATAATCAAAGCTGAAAGCCCAAATGGACGACGACCATTACTCTGTGTATAACGCTGAAAGTTAAATAGTTTCATTAAAACTCTATAAAATCCATACTTTCATTTTTTATTTATAGTAAGTTAAGAAAATGTACTAACAGAGCAAAGAGAAATAACTCCAGTACCTGTTTCAACTGAGCAACATACTGTGTTATGTACTCAACAGTCACTGGGTCTTCAACTGTTAATCTGTGGCTTTGACATTCAATTCTAGCTCTGTTTATAAGAATGCGAGCATCAGCTGTCAAACCTGCAAACATGTTAAGTAATTGTTTTGAGGTTTCAGTATACCTTTAAAAACTTTAAACCTTAAACATATATTGTTTTTTTTAAAGTAAGTAAAAGTAAATCTTAAACGTATATTGTTTTTTAAAAAAGTGGATTCTGCGAAAACCTAAAAATTCAACACAACAGAATATAAATACCTGCAAATGCTAAAGCAACGTGATCATCTAAGAGTGCAATTTTCCTAACTGTTCTGTCTTCTTGAAGTTTTGCAACAGCTTTTTTCTCTACTCCTAGAACAACTATATTTTTGCCTCTAACACCAACCTAAAAACAGAATAGTTACAATAAACAAACAAACAAAAATTCCAAGCTACAAGATTTTTAAAAATATTTGATTTAGGCCACAAATTATAAAGTATAGGCCTACTGTGAGTAAATATATAAAGCTGTTTTAGTCTGGTCTAATAGAGGGATTTCATGTATTTTACTAACCAAGGTCATCATCACTGCACTGTGAGCTGGAAACACTAAGTTTAACAGAGTAAAAATGGGCTGATAAATAGCAGATTTTCAGGTTGTTTATCAGCAAGGTAAATCTGTGTATGAGTTAAGCTATTTATCAACTGTACCATTATGTTAAAAAGTGAAACAGAATGGTGAGCCCTATTTATAAATGTATTAATAAGTATGTTAGCACATAGCTTTTGTTAACATTCTTTTCAATCTCTCCAGGCTTAGTATCAATAACCAGTTCACTTCTTGTTATTTTAGTTGATGCATTGTAATGGAGACTTTGATTTGATTGAGTTTGTTATGTTTTTAAAATCAGAATTCTCATTCATATAGGCCTTCAAGTTGAAATTTTTCTATATGATTCATACAAATCATATTTACATTCCTAGAAGCTAATATGTATTTTTACATGTGTTCAAAATTCTTGTGCTTAATCTTACCCAAATAAGTAATACAAATTTGAAAATTTGTTTTAATTACTGTTGTAAAGTGAGATAAACAGCTTAATAAACATGTGCTTTCTTGAGGGTGTGTGACCAGGGTGTGGCACATCACAAATGGAACTTTATATTTCTGTGTTTTATGACTGTGTTTGTACACTATCAGCTTGCTATGCTTTTAAAATTGAAAAAAGGTAAGTATACCAGGTTACATACTTTCAGTTTTAAAAAATTATTAAAAACAATGATCAATGAAGAAAGGGTGAACATTCTATTTTTAGGTATGACATAAAAAAATAGTAATAAATCTAGCCAAATGATTGGATTCTTGCGATGCACACTTTTTCCCGCGCTTTATAATAAAATGGCATTATTGAGAGGTGATCATTTTCACCGAACACATCTCCGAAACACTATAAATTATTACCAGTTAATTGTAATGTGTGTAAAATTGATGCTTTCAAGTTTAATATTCACATAGTCTGGTTTGATATGGAAGCGGTATTTTAGAGTTATTTGATTTGAAAGATAAGAATAACATAAAGTTACTTTCAATAAGGCGCAGCTTGCTAGACAAACAAAGAAATTAGGTCAAAAGTACATCTGACAATTATTAAATTACAGACTTAAATAATAAATAAATAGAAACAGATCTAGTTCAGATTTCTAAAATTAGCGATGGCTTCGTAGCCATTAGTTTTATCCCTCTACAGCAGGGGTCTCCAAACTTTTCAGTCCGAGGGCCGCATTAACTATAAATTATCAATTCGGGGGCCAGAGCTTCTTCCATGCATCTCTTTGGGGTGGTGGAGTCCCCCGCTACCCCCCCCCCCAAATAAATAAATAAAATGTATGTAGAAATATATACACATTTAAAATGCCCCCCCCCCCCCCCCCCCCCCCTCCCCAGGAGAAAAAATTCTGAAAGAAACACTGTCGGTGGCCTACAACACACTCGAGGTCCAAGTTTGTTCTCCTTGGGCAAACACAAAAACCCACCGCCATTTTTTGAACTTGTCTCTAGGGAGGTCATTTGCTTGCAATTCAATGGCCTCCATCTGCAGTTCATCTGGGCAACTGGTTACATGGCTTCAATTGGGGTTTGAAACAGTCTCACTTCTTCTGCCTTTGAATTCTAGCTAGAAAACCGCTACTGAAACTGCATCTGGAGGTCTTTGATGATCTCGCTTGCAAATTATGTGGGGAACACATCTGTTGCTTCAGCCATGAAGACCTTGCACAGCTGAAAGTGGTCAAGTTGTTGCCCTGTACTTGATCCAAAAACATGGAACAACTGTCCAGCGACTCGTCCATTGCAATTGAAAAATTGCGAAACTTGTCACAATGTTTTCATCAATGTCAGCAACACGGAGGGCAATGGTATTTGTGCCCAAAGCTACATATTCAAATTGTTTTACATTTTCTGGGCAAAGTTCCTCATCTACCTCTAACAAACATTTTATTCTGCGAACAAAAAGATCTCCGCGGGCCCGATGAGAGGACCTCGAGGGCCGCATCCGGCCCGCGGGCCGTAGTTTGGAGACCCCTGCTCTACAGTGTAGTAAAAGCGAAGCTGGTCGCCATTGTAATTAGTAAATGCATGAGCTGTGAGATGGCACGAAAACAACAAACCCGGAAGCTTTGAATCAAATGGCCTACTCTCTAGCTTAGCTAGGGCAGGGTCTAGAATCTAAATTTCTAGATTCTAGAATTAGATTTCTAGATGTACCATTCTAGAGTCAATTCTAAATTCTAGACTATTAAATTTAAAATACAATTAAAGACAAAGAGTTCATAAGTTCATAGTTCATACGTAGACTGGACTTCACTTGAGGACTAACACTAATCAGTAGGCCTAATCACTGGAATCAAGAGTTCAGAGTAATCACTAACTAAAGTCACTAAAGTAAAAAATTAATAGTAGGCCTAACTAAATAAATTTCACTGGTGAAAATACATTTGAGATAATTATTGCCAGGATTTAAAATGTATTGTTATGAATTATTACCGCAGTGCTGCCCTTTTTAACAGCTTCTTGTGCATATTCCACTTGAAATAAATGGCCATCAGGCGAAAAGACTGTAATTGCTCTATCGTATCTATCACTCATTTTGTTGAAAATTGCACCGTAAGAATGACAGGAAGTTTGAAGACAGAAACGTTGCAGTACCGCAGAAAATAAAATCACCGCTTACCACGGAGTCGATTATAAAAAGCCAGCTAGGCTAGGCTAGTCAATGTCCGATTATTAGAATAATATAGAACCAAGAACACATTGAGAAATCTAACAAGGTCTGTGTTGTTTATTAGGATAATATAAAATTGATAATTACAATTTTATTTGGGGGTAGATCTAGATTCTCAATAATAGCATCTTGTTATTAATGTTAAAAAATTAAAAAAAGGAAAACCGAAAAAAGGGTGTAGAAGAGTGTGGGGTGTAGTCAAGTCTATTTGAGTTTTTCTCAGGTCAGTGCACAGCACTGTGTGACTGTATCAGTGTATTGTGTGTGTAATACTGTAATAGTATGTTACTAGACTTTATGTAATTATGTATATTGTATATGTCATGAGTTTACATTACAACAATATTGAATATTCAATTATTCACATAGATCTAGATAGATTTTTATTTTTATAGTTTATAGGGCCTAGATCTAATTCTAAATCCAGAATGGACACGAGCGAGAAAAGTCTCAAAGGTATTTGAGAGGTGCATAAATTAATTTAAAAATCTTGCACGGCGTAGTTACAATTAATATGGTTATAAAATCCTGTCTTTCTGGTTATTTTTGGACTTTACTAAAGATTGGACGTATTTGATGTTTTTAATATTTTCGGTAGGCCTAACTAAATAAAATTTAAAAAAAAAAGCAAAAACAATTTGGTTTTCACGTGTAATGGCGACATAAACAATGGCATCCTGCTATTGGATAGGCCGGCATAGATTTTATTGTACACATTGTAAGCTAAAAATAGAAAACTCTGTCATGGGGTTTTAAATTTGCATTGTTATTTAAAAACTTGATCTGCAAAGTTTTGTAAACAAATAGTTATCGATCACTAAGTTACTGTACAGCCAATCAATATTTGTCTTACGAAAGTGAAACATCCGGTTTAAACTTAGGCTTGATGAAAATAAATAGAGATGTAGCCTTAAACTCAACAAATTATTTTCAAGTTCTCTGGATTTGCAACTTTTATAGCATTTATTCTAAAAATATAAAATTTCTAAATTAATTTTAGGCTTAAGTTTTTATTTTTTATTTTTTTTACGGTCTAAATCTAAAAAGCACGTTTTTACTCCATGTCAACAACATTATAGAAGGAATCTCGTCAACTCGCTCGCCTCCATTAGACCTACTAGTACTAGTCTAGTTAACTAGTAGTAAGTATAGTACTAAGTAGTAGACTGCACTACTACACTCAACACAACACTGTACAATGAGTTAGATAGTACATACTCAGAGTTCAGGGTGTTGGGAAATTGCAAGGCGCGAAAAGGAGAGGCAATAAATTGTGAGAAGAAAATGCGAGACATAGAATATCTGCGGAATCACGGGTAAATACTAGTAGTAGTAGTGAGACACATGCGGAAAAAAAATTGTTTCATGTTTTTGGGTTATTTTTAAAAAAACTATTTATAGTTACAAACTAAGCCTAAAGAATTTGATATATATCACGAATGCTGTGTGTTGTTCTTATTTAAAATCTAGTTTTGATTTTTTCATATATATTAAAACATCCTATGACTGCCCTCTCTCATTTTCTTGTAAGCAGGAGAAAAAATCTATATCTAGATACTCAAAATTCTAAACATTGTTGTCTGCTTCTCGCCCACTCATGTTTTCTAATCTGCGCGAGAAAAAAAAAATAAACCACCGTTTGTGGGGTCACAGTCAGTGCATATAAAAACTTAAACATAGGTCGTATATATTTCGAGCCGTCCCTCTTTTACTTATTGAGTCTACATTGTGACATGACACTGTGCGACCTTAATATCATAGTGCCTTGAATTTTCGAGGGGAAAAATATACCTGCATGCCGCTGCGTCTTTCAAGGTCAAACCTCTGTGAATTATTTTCCACTCGGTTTCAATGAGTATATAGCCCTCCGCCCTCTTCTCCACCGCATTTTTAAAAAATATATACTAACATGGTCGGGGTCAAAAGTGTAACGTTTGATTCAAGAAGGGGAGCGGTTGGTATTGAAACAACACAGCTGTTTCTTTAATAGTAAAAATAAATTATACAGGAAATTTGTAATTTCATTTCTTAACCAATTAGTTAATTTTATTATCTTTAAGAAAATAAAGGAAGATAGTTTATCTAATTTACTAGTTGAAATGTATTAAGGCATGACACACAACATTATGCATGTGTGGTATGTGGCCTGACCTATTAAATATATTATTGTTTTGTGTTACAAGCTTTTAAATGCACTGCAATTAAGAAAATATACCTTATTTGTTTTCTTTCGTAAAACCTTCTGTCGATCATGATATCTTTTACATATTTTAGCGCCAAAAGCTAATATGAAAGAAAACAAACTAGTTTTATTTTCTTATTTTCAATGCATTTTAAAGCTTGTTGCTATGAAGGTTTTTTATATTTGTTTTATTGTAAATAATGCTGCCTAACCATCTCTACTGATTAAGAAAAATGGACCTAAATTGACCACTGTACTATCATATGTATTCCCATAGTTGAAAATGTCAACTGCATATGTTCCACCACACCAGAAACCTCCTAACCCACCTCCAACACAAACAACCATTCAGAAGGTAAAGACCTTTTTTTTTTAAAATCTGATTCTAATAGATTGTAATAATTAGTTACTATCAGACTTAAGCTGTGTTTTGCAAGAAGAGTTGATAAAAAAAACCCAGTTTAATTGCAACTAAAATCTGTACCAAAATAAATAAACCTGATCCAACTGTACAATGTATATTGAGATATTTTTACAACGCCCATACTATATTTTTTCAGTTCCCCTGGTTTTATATCTTGTTATGTATTTTTTAAAACTGCAGATGTTGGATGAAAATACACAACTCATACAGACTATTAGTGATTATCAAATGAAAGGCAAAAACAATGACTGTATTCAGTAAGTTTTTTATGTTTGATACAAGATATGTATTTTTAAAGTACTCCTTTTTGTTGTTATGATTTTAAAAATAAATTGTGAATGTCCTGTACCTATTATTATAGAAATATATTTAAAGGTGTTAAAATTAATTTATTTTACCTATAGGTATCAGCAGATTCTTCATCGGAATTTGGTTTATTTGGCAAATTTGGCAGACTCCAGTACCAATGTTCATGCTCTGCTTCCTGTATGTTGTTCATTTTTTATTTAATGTAGAGTATTTAGTTGCTTTATAATGCACATATTTAAATATTTTTACAAAATAATAAAACGGCATAAAACTCTATTATAAGAATGTTTTGAACTGTTTTCCAGGCTCCTGGCAATCAAATGAGTGGTGGGCCAATGGGTCAAGGAAATCCAATGAGACCACCACCACCTGGAGGACACATGGCAGGAGGTTGGAACATTTGTGTTTATCTAACTGCACTCACAGTTTTTACACAAACTTTCATGTCTCGTAAAAAATCTTCAGATATTTATAATTGACCTTTCAAATTTAATAAACCGGGAGTGATCTCCCCTAAACTTTCTCGAAAATTCTTATATAAAACAACAGGGGATGGGAACTCGGGCTATAGACGTGATTTTTAATCCATTTTAAATACTTAAAGTTTTAAAAATAGAATAAAATCTCATAGACAAAAGAATTGCACACCAAGTGAACGCCAAATAAAACAAAAAGTGCATAATAGTGCGCAATATTATTAGTACTTTAAAAATTTACATTAGTTTTTTGAGAAGTCGGATGTAGCGTAAATTACTACTTCCGGTCAACGGAAATTACTCAAAATTTAACAGAAGGTAGAGAATTAGATCTTATATTTACATGTGGAATTTCATTTATCTATCTGAAATAGTACTCAAGTTATAGGCTTTTGAAAAATTCAAAGTAGAAAAAGTACCACTTCCAGTTATCGGAAATCGCTCAAAAGTTAATACGGATCTACGATTTTAATAAAATACTTATATATGAAATTTCATCAACCTAGCTGTAACGGTACTCAAGTAATCGTGTTTACACACAGACACACACACAGACAGACAGACACACAGACATACGGACAAAGCCCAGTTTTTCAGACTGGATTACGCATAAAACCTCTTAATTTTGATAAATCCTTTATACTTCGGATGTGATGAAGGACTGAGGTGTAATACGGTGAAAATTGTTAAAATTTCAAGAGATTTTTGTACACGATTACAATACTTTCTATATACTTTGTATATATGAGAAAGTAAAAATACTAATATTGCGCCCCTACTCCCTCTTCACATCTGGCACCATAGTACATTGTTTTATATAGTTGATGAAAATGAACATTGACTACTGGTAAATTTTGATTCCAGGCCCAATGGGTAACCCAGGCTATGGACAACAGCAGGGAAGTTTTGGCATCCAGAAACAGAATATGATGGGTCAACAACCCCAGCAAGGAATGATGACACCGAATCAGCCAATGATGACCCCAAATCAGCCAATGATGGCACAGAATCAGCCAATGATGGCACAAAATCAGCCTAATATGTCGCAGCATCAGCCAATGATGGCACAAGGTGGAGTCAGTCAAATGTCACAGAGTGGCATGGGACAGAACACAATCATCTCCCAAGGTCAGCCCATGATGACACAGAACCAACCAATGATGTCACAGAACCAACCAATGATGTCACAGAACCAACCGATGATGTCACAGCAGCAGCCTATGATGTCTCAAGGTCAGCCCATGATGTCCCAAGGTCAGCCCATGATGTCACAAGGCCAGCCCATGATGTCTCAGAATCAGCCCATGATGCAACAACACCAGTCTGGGATGAGTCAGAGTACAAACACCATGATGCCAGGAACTCCTAATCAGATCATGCCCAACAGACCTATGGGACAACAGGGTGGTTACCGCAGAGCTCAGCCAGGTAATTGTTATACTGTTTCACAATAGGTGATGTGAACTTTCATTGTTTTAATAATATAACTCCAATATAAAATACTCCTGAATAAGTGGAAGATCTAATTTGCTCATCTTTGACTTACTGTTCAATTGCTTTGAGGAAATTTAACATGATGCTTTACCACAATTTTAACATTTTTGTTTCCTCAATCTAGGTCCGCAGTTTAATAATCAGCAAAACTACCCCCAGCAACAGTTTAGTGGGCAACAGCAGCCTCCCCCATCAGGTCAGCAGCCACCCTACACCCAGTCAGGACCCCAAGCTAACGTGTCAACATCGGCTCCACAACAAAGCCAGTTTCTCCCTGGTCAGCAGAATCAAGGCAATCCCAGAGGATATGCTCCATACAGGCAGCCTGGGATGATGGGCCCAGCTGGGATGATGGGACAACAGCAAGGGAGCATGAGTGGACAGCCTGGTACACCCCCCATGGGACAACAAGGAAGTATGCCAGGTGCTATGGGGCAAGCTAACATGTCTAATCAGATGGGGGGACCTCAGAACCCACCAGGTCCACTGGGCGATTTAGGGCAGAAACAAATTGGTGGGCCCCAGAACATGCCAAATCAGATGACTGGTCAGCAAGGCACAATGTCCAATCAAATGGTAGGGCAGGGAAGTATGCCAAATCAGATGGGCATGCAAGGGCAGATGGGGGGCCCACCAGGAGGGATGAACATCCCCCAAACTATGTCTAACCAGATGGGAACAAACAGTATGCAGGGCAACATGCCCAGTCAAATGGGGCAGATGCAAGCTGGTATGGGTGGTCAGGGAAGTATGCCTAACCAGATGGGAGGACCCCAGGGCAACATGTCTGGCCCACAGGGTGGCATGTCCAATCAGATGGGAGGACCCCAAGCAAATTCCAATCCAGCTCAAATGGGCAGCCAGCAGAATATGGGCCAAGGTCAGATGCAAGGAGGCTATGGGGGTTACAACCAAGGCCAATATTAATCTGTCATTAATGATATAAACCCTTGTACATTATTTGTCCTGCAATCTTATTGCCTTTATCATGTGGAGAAGTGCAATGATTCTCTCACTTTCCAAAACTTTTTTTTTTTAAATTGAATTTTTTCCCTCTATTTTACAATAATGTTGATTGTTAAATAAATTGTTCTTGAAGGAATCATTGTATTTTGTACATTTATGCAGATGTCTTTATATTGTTGCGCTAATTGGTATAGTCAAAATTGTACTTCTAAAATTAACCAAAACTTTTACATTATATGTCTATAGGTTTTTCTTTTTATACCTTTGTTTTAGTTCTATGAGACATCCAAGTAATGTAATGTAGGCTAATTTTTAAAAAATGTTACTGCATTTTGAGCTGATGCTTTAAAAAGCAGCCTATATAAAAAGCTATTTGTAAAGCTTTATAAAATTATTTTCTAATAGTTCCTTCATATATCATTTTACTTGACTAAATCAATATATCTTTGGTTTTGGCTGTTGCTAACTTTTAATAAATCGTATTAATGATTTTAGCATAGACTAAAATATGTACTTTTGAAAATTACAAAATCTGAAATATTAATACTCAGCATTTACATTTTTGTTTATGTTAAGTATGAAGTTGTGTTCCCAAACAAATGTAAAATTATAATACTAATGCTTATCAATGCTAAAAAAATGTTGGCTATCTGAAGCTTCGACTGATGTCAGTAAATGTACATAGTTATCCCCTCACTGGAGCTCATAAAAATTGTATTTTGTAACTTTTTATATCTAATTTGTTTGTGTAAATCTTTTTCATTTTAAAATTGAATATTATGATAGACAAAACATGCTGTAGTGCTCTCTGCATATTTTCAAGTGAAATGTCTGTTACATTTTGTACTAACCAGCAGATTGTCAAAACTACCAGTGTGCCTTTGGTAGTGTCCTTAGTTTCAACTGTTGACCTAAATCCTGATATGGCAGTCTTGCACATTTTTTGTACTTAAAATGTATAAAGTTTCAATGACATTTTTATCCAATTTATCTCCTTCAGAACATGGAAACATTAACAGGTACCTTTCAAAAATTATTTAACAAGCTGAGTAACATGTCATTGCTGTGGTTTATAGACTAACTTGTACTGTTTCATTTTTCTTTATGTCAGTATTTTTAGCTGAAATTTTTAATGTAAATATTCTCATGTTAATGTCATTACTTGCAATGTATGCACTGTGTTGAGTGTGTGTTCAAATGTATCAAATGATGATCAAAAAATAACCACAGACTGGATAACTATTTTTAAAATAATGGCATGCTGTTTTACAGAAAATAAAAAAGTCAACAAAAGTGTCCCTCATGCTTCTTTCCTTCGGAAATATTAGAAATTTACTGTTATGTATAACACAAAACCATGTGGTAGCAAGCTAATTGGGGGGAGGGGAATTCAGTTTTGGTTAAATTCATAATTCTTTCAGAGTATAAATAGAAGTTAGTACTGCTGAACAAAAAACAATATAATGTAGAAAAATGAAATTTATTAATTTTAAAGTATACACAACTATATTAGTATAATAATAAATAATATAAAATGTTTTTTGTAATACCTAAAGATGTGTGTTCTAAACAAATTGAAAGAGAATTCAAATTTTATCACAGTTGAGTAATAACATTGTCCAAAACTGTAATCCAATACAATTTAACAATAGTGTTTGGTCTCATGGAAAGCAAGTAAAAATAGCTGATTCTGTTAATTTTAATTTCTTCTAAAATAAATTCCAAAACATCATTTTATCTGGTGCAGTCTTTAACAAAGTTCTTTATAACAATATAAATGGAAGAGCATACCAAGAGAACAAGTAGTTTTTACTTGAACTGAGATGAAGATATAACCAGTATATAAAGTGACAGTCTGCTGTGCAGTTCAATGATGGTCTCAACAGGCTAACAGAGCTATTGATTTGTAAACTACAGTTGTACACAAGGACCACTTTCAGTAATCATGTTCACTAGTAATGTAAGTCAAATGAGCTTCACAAATGTTGACACTATTAAATATTTAGGCAATACGAGGGTCCACAGTGAAGAGTAGAGATGTGGTGTTGCACAGTTGGTGTCTGGCCTCACGTAGCGGCCTGTACTCCGCTGCAACAGATTAGCACAATTGACTTATTTTGGTGTCGTTATGCTATAAAAAATATTTTAAGTCATTAAGTAGTTAACCAGAGTCAACAACCAGTTGACACGTAATTCTTAATTGTGTTGGAGGAAACCTCTTTCAACATTACAATTAAGAACAAAGAAGTACCACACATAAGCTAAATAAAACTTGGTAATTTTAGTTAGATCACTTACAACTGTTGTAAATACTCCAAAACTGATCTTCATTGTCATACATATGGAGGGCAAAGTTGGTCATTGTCTTGTATGGAATCCATGTGTCTTTCATCCTGTTCAGTTTATCATCTACAACAGAGTCCTGCATAAGAATCAAATCCTTTTCAGTGACACTTATCAAAAGATTTAATCTACAATACAGACTTACACAAGAAATAATGTCCATTTCAGTGACACATATTAAAAGAATGAATCTACTACATAGCCTTACATAAGAAATTATGTCTATTTCAGTGACATCTATCACAGGATTTCAGCAATACTTTGTTTTGATTACATTACACACACTTGAAGCATGAAAGTGTTGACTGTTTACCTTGACAAAGACAACCCCGTGGTTGACACACTTGGAGTCCAGAAGCCTGGCAGCTTTGTCAATGTATTCAGACTGTAGGTAAGATTTGCTCTTGATGTCTGATAGCTCCATCCAGTTGAATGTGTTCTTGCCTAGATTGAGAAGGTGCAATTATCAAATATAAACACTACAGGCTATTTCCACTACCATTACTTTTTATCAGTAACCAAAGATCATCCTACTTATTACACATATATTATTTATAAGAAATTCAACGCCACAAAATAAGTAAACTACAACAGCCAATGGCCACCATGCAAACTGACTTTAGACAGACTTTTTTGTGAAATTACATCTTCCAAGAATTGATATTTTTTATCACTCATTATAATATAATTTATTAATAGATCTGTAAATTTACAAAATTACTAAATTAGTACTTATGTCTTAAACAAACACCTCTTGAAATGGTGCTTGATTTTCTTTGGATTGTATTTTACTATTATTTAACAAATGATGCATGTATTTATATTCTAGATCTATATTGAATTATTTATTTTATTAATAATATAGATTATAGATTAAGTATTTAAAACGAGTTTAAATATTTAATTTAAGCAGCCTAAAAATGATAATTATTATAAAATATTATTTATTATTATTATGATTTGAAAAATTCAGTTAAATTTAAGTATTTATTTTTGTTCACCCTGCACTGACACTTCTGGGTCCCTAGCCTACATTTTTTGAATAAGATGGATGTTCCTGTGAATAAATGATAGATCGTAAATAATAGTGAACAAAACATAAGAGATGCATTACCCATCTGTGGCAGATATCTTATGTCCATTGAGAAGAGCTGCACACCATCACTGGGTGGGAGAAAGTCGTGTTGTCTCAGTTCTGGTTCACTGACGTACCAAAGATTGGCTAGACGTTCGTTGGGGAAGGCAAACACAGCAAAGCACCAATCATCTCGCTGCAGCCACTCACTGTGTGGAGGTGATTCGACAACAGTAACCTAACAGAACAAAGGTTGATTAGCCTATAATAAAATAATAATATCTATCATCTATATACTTTAAAATTATAATTGTAGATTGATTAGTATAGGTAGGCCTACTATTTTCTCTCTAGACTAGACTGGAAAAACCTATTGTGATTTGTTCCATTAAGTAATCTAGATCTAGATCTAGATTCTAGATCTAGATCAAGTCTAGATTTTTAATTTAAGTAATTTAACTTTAGGCCTATACAGTTTTGAAACGACGCGCTTACCTTATTGGCAATTCCCACAATGTGGCCAGGTCCATACTGCTTGATGCGACCAGACATACGGATGAGTGCATTTCGAATTCGTCTGTCCATCTCAGCCTTGTATCTCATGAAAACAATCACCTGTCCATTTGCTGCAGGATACTGCAATAGTTGCAGGCATATGATCAGTAAAGAAGTTTATATTATATTATAATTAGCAATTGCATAATGTAGCTTAGGGTCGAGTTTAATAAGCCTGCTAACAAATAGGAGTTTTGATGCCACCCCCCCCCCCCAACCGTTTTAGTATAAATACATATTATTACATCTTATCATAATAAGGCTAAAGGATAAGTATGACTTGACACATTATGGCTACATTGTCACTAGGGTGGGCTACTTATGCCCATAGACTAAATCTGTCTGTAAATTTCATACCTCCTGAGCAGATAGGGCGTGGCTAGCGTCCCTGGCACACTCGTTTTGATTCCGATTCATCTTTGAATTACAACTAGGGATAAAGTAAATCAAGTCAAAATCACCAATCAGAGTCACTTTTCCCTACGGAACGGATGTGTTTGCAGGCTGTATAGATAATAAAACATCTATAGGTAACCACACTTCTATAGATAAATACACATCTATCATAGCAATATGAGTAGATGACCACACATCTATCACAGCAGGCTGTATAGATAACCAAACATCTGCAGATAACCACGCATCTGACATAGCAATATGAATGGATGACCACACATCTATCATAGGAGGCTGTATAGATAACCAAACATCTGCAGATAACTACGCATCTAACATAGCAATATGAATGGATGACCACACTTCTTAAGGGGAGTTGTACGGAGGTGTTTTATCGGGTAGCGATCTGGCTTTGTTTGGTGATGGGAGAAAATGGATGCCATTTATGGGGGAACCCATTATCCTAAATAAAGCTGACCCCAAACAGGGTTATCCTAAATAGTTGACGCACACAAGGTAAAGTTGACCTACACACTGAGTAAAGTTGACCCACACACGAGTAAAGTTGACCCACACACTAGATAAAGCTGGCCTACACACAGGGTAAAGTTGACCCACACATTGGGTAAAGTTGACCCACACATTGGGTAAAGTTGACCCACACATTGGGTAAAGTTGACCCACACACTAGGTAAAGTTGACCCACACAGGGTAAAGTTGACCCACACACTGGGTAAAGTTGACCCACACACTGGGTAAAGTTGACCCACACACAGGGTAAAGTTGACCCACACACTGGGTAAAGTTGACCCACACATTGGGTAAAGTTGACACACACAGGGTAAAGTTGACCCACACACAGGGTAAAGTTGACCCACACACAGGGTAAAGTTGACCCACACACTGGGTAAAGTTGACCCACACACTGGGTAAAGTTGACCCACACACGGGGTAAAGTTGACCCACACACTGGGTAAATTTGGCCTACACACTGGGTAAAGTTGACCCACACATTGGGTAAAGTTGACCCACACACAGGGTAAAGTTGACCCACACACTGGGTAAATTTGGCCTACACACATGATTAAGTTCACCCATACATTGGTAAAGCTGACCCACACACGTGGTTATCGTTGTGGACGGTATGGCTACCATCAGGTTGTCTAAAGGAAAAGTAACACTAACACTACACTAATAACTATTACTGTCTACATGTGAGCTTCTTATATATTCAGTCTCGACCACAGTCAAAGGTGTGAGCAGATTAAGTGGTGCTCAGTCATGACTTTGGTTAACACTAGTTAACAGTTATCTAGATCTAGTATTAGATCAATATAAAAAGGTATCTACAGATATACATCCCACTTGTAAGTGTTGATTGTTACAGCCAGTAACAGTACTGTAACACCAACTAGTCTAGCTATGGTAAGAGTAAAGGCATAAAGACTAAAGTAGATGCCTAATTTCTCGTGTCTAATTAAATTTTTGAGATCTAGATTTGAATCTGTATCTAGATCTATTATAAACTGTAAACTGATAGAGAAGGCTGACATAACGATAACAAAAACTAAAACAGAAACATTTACTAGACTAGTAGGTCTATTTACCCCCAATACCTGAGAAACCAAAGTTCTTTGCTGTCTGTCTGCAGTTGAAAGAAACAACATCGAATTGTTACTTTTCAATAACAAACGTTGCTATGGAAAATTTACGTCACGCATTTGCTTTACATTAGTGTTGTTCAGTGCACAAAAGGCGGGTCTTTCACACTTTGGGCTAACTAAAGCTGACTTGTACACACTTCTTTCAGCTAACTAAAGCTGACTTGTACACACTTCTTTCAGCTAACTAAAGTTGTACACATATATAGCTAACTAAAGGTGTATGGTACACATTTAGAGCTACCCGCTACCCCGGAGAAAAATCGCTGAAAGAAACTCTGCCTCGTACATACTCCACTTTGGGGCAGGCCATAATATAGAAAAATTCAAATTTTCCTATAATCACACTGTATATCTATAAACCAAAAACACTACAGATATTTTACAGAATGGTTTTGATATTCGAGCAATCAAACCTGTTTGACCTACCATTTTGGGGTCTCACATTTACCAGACGACTTGCCGCATTTGTGATTGGCAACACAGGCCGACATGCTATTTAGTTCTTTAGTACTGCAAGTACTGCAAGCAGAAATAAATGAACTTTTTGTGAGTAAGGGACTCTAGATCTGAAATGCAACTGCTCATAGAAAGTGTTGGCAAAGGAGATCCATTGATGTGCTTCCCCTTCACATAATCGTTACCTGTAGGGTTCTCCATATTTGACTATTCTGCTATAGCAGTGGTTCTTAAACTGGGTTCTATAGAACCCCAGGGGACACCCGACATGATTCACGATCCGATTTTGTCAATGCGGATGATTATTTACAAGGGTTCGGTGAATGCGACTATGAAACTGGTGGGGTTCTTCCAAAAATGCTAAGAACCGCAATGGAATATTGAATTTTTTAAAGCACATACCCTCCTCTAATGATGCACCTTGCACTCCTCAAATTGTGCACCGTACCCTCCCCAAGTGGTACACTGCACCCTCGTAGTATTGGGCCTCTTTTGTGTTCTAGTTCCCTTTATCTAGACACCTCTGTGGTTCCCTTTATCTAGACACCTCTGTGGTTCCCTTTATCTAGACACCTCTGTGGTTCCCTTTAACTAGACACCTCTGTGGTTCCCTTTATGTAGACACCTCTGTGGTTCCCTTTATGTAGACACTTCTGTGGTTCCCTTTATCTAGACACCTCTATGGTTCCCTTTATCTAGACACCTCTGTGGTTCCCTTTATCTAGACACCTCTGTGGTTCCCTTTATCTAGACACCTCTGTGGTTCCCTTTATCTAGACACTTCTGTGGTTCCCTTTATCTAGACACCTCTGTGGTTCCCTTTATCTAGACACCTCTGTGGTTCCCTTTATCTAGACACCTCTGTGGTTCCCTTTATCTAGACACCTATGTGGTTCCCTTTATCTAGACACCTCTATGGTTCCCTTTATCTAGACACCTCTATGGTTCCCTTTATCTAGACACCTCTGTGGTTCCCTTTATCTAGACACCTCTATGGTTTCCTTTATCTAGACACCTCTGTGGTTCCCTTTATCTAGACACCTCTATGGTTCCCTTTATCTAGACACCTCTGTGGTTCCCTTTATCTAGACACCTCTATGGTTTCCTTTATCTAGACACCTCTGTGGTTCCCTTTATCTAGACACTTCTGTGGTTCCCTTTATCTAGACACCTCTATGGTTCCCTTTATCTAGACACCTATGTGGTTCCCTTTATCTAGACACCTCTGTGGTTCCCTTTAACTAGACACCTCTGTGGTTCCCTTTATCTAGACACTTCTGTGGTTCCCTTTATCTAGACACCTCTGTGGTTCCCTTTATGTAGACACCTCTGTGGTTCCCTTTATCTAGACACCTCTGTGGTTCCCTTTATCTAGACACCTATGTGGTTCCCTTTAACTAGACACCTCTGTGGTTCCCTTTAACTAGACACCTCTGTGGTTCCCTTTATCTAGACACCTCTGTGGTTCCCTTTATCTAGACACCTCAGTGGTTCCCTTTATCTAGACACTTCTGTGGTTCCCTTTAACTAGACACCTCTGTGGTTTCCTTTATCTAGACACCTCTGTGGTTCCCTTTATCTAGACACCTCTATGGTTCCCTTTATGTAGACACCTCTGTGGTTCCCTTTATCTAGACACCTCTGTGGTTCCCTTTATCTAGACACCTCTGTGGTTCCCTTTATCTAGACACCTCTATGGTTCCCTTTATCTAGACACCTCTGTGGTTCCCTTTATCTAGACACCTATGTGGTTCCCTTTAACTAGACACCTCAGTGGTTCCCTTTATCTAGACACTTCTGTGGTTCCCTTTATCTAGACACTTCTGTGGTTCCCTTTATCTAGACACCTCTATGGTTCCCTTTAACTAGACACTTCTGTGGTTCCCTTTATCTAGACACCTATGTGGTTCCCTTTAACTAGACACCTCAGTGGTTCCCTTTATCTAGACACCCCTGTGGTTCCCTTTAACTAGACACCTCTGTGGTTCCCTTTATCTAGACACTTCTGTGGTTCCCTTTATCTAGACACCTATGTGGTTCCCTTTAACTAGACACCTCAGTGGTTCCCTTTATCTAGACACCCCTGTGGTTCCCTTTAACTAGACACCTCTATGGTTCCCTTTAACTAGACACATCTGTGGTTTCCTTTATCTAGACACCTCTGTGTGAATAACCCGCCCATATCTCTTTCATAAAAATAACGTCACAACGGTTTGGAATGACGTCACAACTGTAAGCTAAAAAACGGACGATTTGTTCTTTCGCTATTTCGTTTCGTAACTACACGACCTTTCGTCTTTCTACTCTACGTTGATAATCTGTTTTTCTGATGTTACAACGCAGATCCGAGTTTAATGGCGATTCAAAACCTAGTCTATGGGGCCGTTGAGATCCTTGAAGCATGTTGAATGCTACTTGACCTGCCTATGTTTACACATGTTAGTGGAGCTGGTCCCTCTACGACGTGATTGGCACTCTGGGCCATGCTCAAGTTGCAGATCTCTTGACGTTTAGCGCTAAGAAGTGAATGGCACAAGTTTCTATCGATTCTTTTGTACCGTTAGACTTGATCGGTGTTGACGACAGCAAAAACTGGCGTTTGCATTCATGTAGCTTCTAAAATTAGATATTAACACTGGCCTAGATACTTAGAGCTTTAAATTTCACGGTTGTTTTTGTGTAACAGTTACGGGCCCCGAGAAAATCTTGATGAGAGTTCTTCTAAAACTTTGCTACAACTTATGTTTGCATGCTTTGTCTACGGCGGAAAAGTAATTGCTTATATAGGCGGCTCATCTAGTTTTTAAAAAATCAACATATTTAGTGTGTCAGATGTAAGGTGTAAACTGTGGATTACTAAATGAAAATGCCACTTAAAACTCAAGTCGCCCCAGAGGCGTAGCGACCCATTCCAGAGCCCGGGGCGAACTAGCCGTCCCCTCCCCATGTGTATAATAATTCACATTGGCAACAAGCGCCCCCATCCCAATTAGGAAAGGTCTAGACTCGGGAGTGCTTTTTGTGAGACACTGTCCCTTAACTTTTTTTTAATGTTGGTGTAACACAGTTGATGTAGAAAAATATAACATAAGCCCCTAAAGCCAATTAACAGTCGATTTTCTTAATTTCGACCGTGTATAATTTCATAATGCAGCTCACAATGAGGATTTTAAATTTGTTTTCTGCCCAGTTCGGCGCCCCTATACTGTCGGCAAGCAGGCGGCCGCCACACCCACCCTCCCCTAGCTACGCCTCTGGGTCGTCCTATCTATGACCACACCTAGTGATGACAGACACGGCTATAACATGCTCTGACGCAATTTGGCTGTCAGTGACAATATTTGATACACCTGTTGTCAGTGACAATATTTGACACACTGTTGTCAGTGACACTGCTTGACACACCTGTTGTAAGTGGCAGTATTTGACACACCTGTTGTCAGTGACACTGCTTGACACACCTGTTGCGAATGACATTGTCTGACAATATCTGATACAATGAAGCTTACAACTGTCCTAATTTCGTATTGGGGCCGACCTACTAAAATAACATCACACTGTTGGAGAGGATCGGACTTTTGTTATGAAATGTGAGGGTGTGAGCAAAGGGGGGGGGGGGGGGGTGGAGGGTAAAATGTGTATGAAAGGCCGGACTTTTTGTCAATACAATATTATTAGCTTCCAGCCATGCATGTTGATCCAGGTCAGATCAGTACAGACTTCATTTGTTCTTCATTTAAAAATAAAGTAGGCTGGCCTTAATGTGCAATGTTTTTTTTAAATATCTGTGATTTTTTTTTTCATGAATTTATTTAACTACAGACATAGATCTAGCTGATTATAATTATATCTTTAGGTCCACAATGGCATAAACATAATACTATGCTTACAATATATAACGGCACTCTGCTAAACGTAATCAATTTATTGATTGGTATCATTCACAGGATTCTAATCGAGACTTTGTAAGGCTCGGTCTATTGGTTTACATTTTTGTCTTAAGAGCTCCCAGTGAACGTAACACATTAGCAATTAATAATTAAACCTACGTGCAACAATAAAAATAAGTAAATTACCGCGGGCGTACAAGGTTTATTATATTAGAAAAACAGGTTTACAAATGACCGTTGCGTGTAAGCTATGATCGTTCCATTAATCTTACTTTTTAAAAATTAAATACATAATTAGATTAGTTGAGAACTACTTACGAATGTGTTGGCTTCACAATTCAATTATGGTTCTTTTTAAAAATAAATCAATCGTTAATGAATGATCGCTAGAGTTGTTACTCTAGTGCAATATTTTAGTTGATAGTCAGTATCAAACCGTTTGTTTACGAGTGTCGTCTTGGTGACGCGTTCCACCAATACCATTTATCGATTAGTTTTCGCTACAACCTTTGAAAGTGTTACCATAAATTTGGGTACCCGTCACATAGCCGTTGGGAAAGTTGCAAATGTGGGGAGAAAAGAACTTCTGTTTCACGTTGAAACAGTGGCGTACCTAGGGTGGTCTGCCCCTGTTTCCCCGTGAAAGCCTGCCGTGGCGTGGAGGAGAAGTCCACCGTAGTGCTGTGTGTGAACTATTAACACATTCGTCGGACAATTTACACTACACTTCTTTTTCAAGTTACTCAAGAATTCCAGCCCGCACTAAAGTGACCATTTTGGGGGTGACACCAAATCGAAAAATCGTAGAATTTAATGTAAAAAAAAGTTTTATCCAATTAAACTAAATAATATACCAAATGATACCAAATGGAAAATGCAACATTATTGGAGAGGGGGGGGGGGGGCTGACACCATCAGTTACAGCACCAGGTGACAACTGACCTAGTGACGCCCTGGTACAATTTGAGATTCTACCTATCCTGGGCCTAGACTTAGATTAGCTCCATCCTGGGCATAGATTAGCACCATGGACTTAGATTAGCTTCATCCTGGGCATAGATTAGCACCATGGACCTAGATGAGCTCAACCCTAGACCTAGGTGCCTCTGTGGCGTAGCCAGGTTATGTGGACAAGGGGAGCGACGATCGTGTATTAAACGGCGATAACATTTAACTTAAAATATCTAGCAATATATGGGTTAGGTTTCTATTTTACAATTTTTGAGTAACAAAAAAGCCACCATACTAAGGAGGTGGGGGGGGGGGGAAAGGAAGAGGGGGGTCTGTTCCCCAACTGCCTAAAAAGAAAAAGGCTTATAAGTTATATTATAGGCTACACACTCTCTCTCTCACCGAAGTTTTAATGTCTGTTTCGCGTGGTTTGCAATAAAAAAAAACATTATGTGGCTATTATTTATAGATCTAGAATTCTATATTAAAAATTAAATTTGTTTATATAGTTTAAAACATATAAAATGAATTATTTAAAAAAAATTGTGCCTCTCCCCAGCCCTTGATTTTCTATGTCGGATTTTTAAATAGCCACTAGAATCTAGCTTTTAAGGCTAGTTTTTATATTCTAGGAAGCGGAAGTAAATGAATTTCCGTAAATAAACTTACTCGACCCGAAAGGTGTTATTATGAATTTAAGCCTAGAATCTATTCTAATTAATTATTAAATAGAGTCGAGTAACCCGAAATTTTTTAAAGTTCACGAACAAATGTGAACAAAATGTCGCCTTTAAAATGATTTATATTGAATTAAAATAATAGATCTAGTAAGTAAAGTATTATCCAAGACGGTAATCTATCGTTTTGGGTACGTAAAATCGCCCGCGGCTAGTAATGTACGAAAAAGTTACCTCATTGTCAAGGCTTTAATAGAAGTATATTTTGATATCTTTGTGTCAAATATTATAGATAAATGAATAAATAACCTAAATCAATAGCTAAATATATCAATATAGGCAAGAAATTAACTTTAAACAGCAGTGTTTGCGAGCAGGATTTCCTATATAAACAGCAGCCATTTGTAAAATAGAGTTGCCTTCCCCTGATCTCGCGCTATAAGTTAACAAAGAAAGAACTTAAACAAGATGGCTACTATAGTAAATGAGCACAGTTGCATCTGTTGCAAACATCGCTAGTATTCATTTATTATTGAAAAGTTTTAATTCAATTGTTTGAAAACAGGTACATAAATGAAAAAAGGAAACATTTTTGTATTTTTCAAAACACAAATCCTCCTCAAAATGTGAAATAATTATGAAAATTTAAGGAGTCACCTGTTTTTCACATTACTAGTCGCGGGCGATTTTACGTACCCAAAACGATAGATTACCTCCAAGACTAAGCATACCCCCCACGGTGCCCACCCCTTAAAAAAGGATGGGAAAATCAAATAAAATTTTACTCTGTGGTTGCACTGGTGTTGGAAAAACTGCAATACTAGAGCAACTGCTTTATGGGAACCATATTGTTGAGTCAGTAAGTGACTTTTATTTACTTTTTATAAGTTTACAGTTTACAGTAATTAGTAATTACTTACTAATTACTTCTTCGTTCTTAATTTTTAGTGTTGGAAGGGATAGAGTCTTATCTGCCAGAGGCCAGAGGGTTTGAACTCGAGACTTTTTTGAATTTATCAACTATGAGCTGTTGCCGACTCGACCACGCCTCCATCACAATTAAGGATACGTGTCAAGTGTCAACTAATTATAGTTATACGCCATTGACTCCGATTTTAAGCAACATTTAACACAACACTCCTGTTTATATGAGTTTATTAATACGAAGTGACTACTCGGAAGAAGATTTTTCTCCCCAACGTCTCCACTTAGTTGGCAAAAGATACCTCTGCTCATGCGCAGTGACTTATGGCTAGGGTTAGAATTAGGGATAGGATTAGGATCAGGGTTAGGATTAGGGATAGGATTAGGGTTGGTTTTAGGGTTCTGCAGTAGTAAACACACGCATGCGCAGTACCATCGAAAACATCGCCGCGATGGCAAGTCGTAGTTCTCTCCGTTGCGCATGCATATCTTATTCCGGCTAGCATCGGCCTTATTAATATTAGAAGAGTCCATTGTTAGACAGTAGGCCTAATTAATCAAAATTTGAAACTTATTGTTTGCACATTTCTAGCCAACACACCAGACTATGGAGGATATTTACACAGCAGTGATAGAAACAGACAGAGGTGTGAAGGAGAAAGTTCGGATATTTGACTTGGGCATGCCAGTGAGTCTTGCTTTAGAAAATCTTTGCCATGAGACTGAGAAAAATGGTGGTGTTTATTTATTTGAGTTTGTGTTAAATGGGATGCATAAATTATAAAATAAAATATTTTATAGGATGGTGTCGAACCAGAGCTACCCAAGCACTACCTGAATTTTCCAGACGTAAGTTTACCAAATGGTTCAAATTTAACGTACAATTTTTATCTTGAGTATTGTTTCATAAACTTGTTGTTAAAAGTGTAAATCTACTTGTTATGTTGTTTGTGTCTGTTTAAACAAGCTCTAAATTTGTTTAGTGGAAGACCAGCAGTATTTAGTATGCAATAATTTAATTACTATGTACATTATCATTGTAGTATTTGTAGTGGACTTGGACGGAGCATCTGGGTTATTCATATAGTTAATGTTCATGGGTTTCTTGCAGAAGTATATCTGTTAGTCATGGGTGTCTGTACCAGTAAAATCATGGTTAGAACGTGTTACTTTTGGAGTTTTGAATTACTTTATGTAATGACAAGCTGCTTTTTTGTTTCAGGGATTCATTTTAGTCTATGATGTCACCAATTTTGATTCTTTCAAACGGCTTGACAAAATAAAAAAAGAAATTGACAAGCATAAGGACAAAAGAGAAGTATAGCAGAATTATTTTTAATTCAAATCTGACATTTTAATAGTTAACTCGTATTTTAAAATGTAATTTACAAAGAAAAATGTTTTAATAATTTATTTATTTATTACCATTTTATTACTATTTTTTTAAATTATTAGGGCCATGTAATAGTTATTGGAAACAAAAGTGAATTAAATGACCGGAGGCAAGTTCAGTTTGATGTTGCTATGGCATGGTCAGTCAAAGAGAAAAGTGAGCGCCTTTGTTGTTTTTATTTTATTCTCTACTACTTATTGTAAAAGTGATCATGATCTCTTATTCAAAAGTGTCCATTATCTTAAAGGTGATCTTTAATTGAACATTGTTTTTTTTCCAACCAGTGAGACTATGGGAGGTAACAGTCACCAACAGGAAGTCATTGGTGGATCCATTTGTCTGGCTTACATCTAAAATAACCCAGCCCACAGGTAACATTGGGTTAACTTACTTTAATTATAACTTTAATAATTTATTAATTAAATAGAATCTATTAGAGATGGCACAGACGAATGATCGTGTGTAGTTTTTTTACACTGTTGCTGGATTCTTTTAGATGAAAACCTGTAAGGTGGCCGGTACAATGTTGAACACACAATGACAAGCACACTTTATATTCACAGTCATGAAATTCTGTCTGCCATTTGGACTACTGTCTTTAAAATGCATTGCTTTGTTACATGAAATTTGGCTAACTGAATTAAAAACATAAATTACTTAAAACTGAAACCATATATTATAAATTGCCATCTCAAGCATGAAAGGTACTTGTAGAGGGAGAAGTATTGTAACTTATGATTTAATTTCACAATTTTTATACCTATATTTTAAGTAAACCTATTTTTATTCCCCAGGAAAAAGTAACTTTTTACCAGGTCGGAAAACAAAGTCTTCAAGCGGCAATAGTTTGGATAAAAACTGATTTTTAGGGAATATGCACAAAAGTCATATCAACTGATAGCGCTTGTAGTTAGATCTACAGTTTCAAGATCTCAAACTAAATTCAAGTTGCATGCAGTCACAACGATGTGGATTACTTGCTGCATAAGCATGCGCTGGAACTTGAGGCACTTTACAGTGTAGTTCACATATCACTGTTCACACACCTGTGATAGTCTAGAGCAGTATAAAATAATGAAGTACTTCTCTCAATGTTGTTCATCTAAATTCATGTTCATATTTTGTTAAATAAAATGAATTTTAATAAAATTTCATTGCAGTTTGGTGACATTTGTTGAATTACAAAAAGAAACTCCAATTTAGCTTTTAAAGTATTTATTAGACAGTAATATTTTCTGTACCTTAGAGAAGGATGAGAAAAATTAATTAAAGAACATAAAAACAATTAAACTAAACCAAATAAATCTGCTTACTAAATAATATAGATCAAGTAAAAGTAAATGATTCTTTAAACAAAACATCTCAATAAACATTAAATTCATATATTAATGTGTCACACAGCCAAGATAAGTTAACCAAAATTTTAATAATTAATGCAGCTCAGAGCACTTTTAGAGCATATCAGTATGTAGCCGCTCAGTCTGATTCAGGTTAAAATATTTACACCTAGATTTGAAGCACAGATGAAGTAATTATCAGAGATTGCTATATCTAATTAAAGTGATGATTTTTATGAAAATTTCTCCTAAAATGTTACATCAACCTGTCTCAGCCCTCATGACTAGGGCAGGTTGTCAAGATAAAAATGTGCTGTCAATCTACACAAAAAACTATTCAAAATCTGTCAATTTTTTTATTAAAAATTTTTCCTCTTTAAAATAACCACTCATTAGTGAAAGTTCAAATACTTTGTTTTGTGTTTGTAAACATTATCCACACTCAATAGAAATGCACATGATTGGGCAATGGGAACAGAATTGAAATGTTGAATTCTATACCCCTGACCATAATGAAAGGAGAAAACAACACGCGCAGGGCTGTAAGGGTTACTCAGGTTAGCACCAATAGAAATGGAGTAAAGTTACAATCAATTTCTGGTATGGCGCCTACCATTCTGTTATAGCGACTACCGTTTCTGGTAAACTTCAATATCTCTGATATGGCATATGGACAATTTGGTTAAGTGTGACGGAAGCCTAGGCGCAACTCTCATAGCTTGGATATCACAGCTGTTTTATCAATGCCAGGAAATCCATCCTCAAAAGCTGCATTTAGCACATCCTCCAGAGTGTTAACAAAGATGTAAGTCATCTCTCTCTAAAGTTGGACAAACAAGACAATGTTAACAAAGATGTAAGTCATCTCTCTGTACAGTAGGACAAATAAGACATTGCAACATCAGCATAGAAAAATTTGAAACATATCTAACAATGACATACACATAGCCCCAAAAGTTGTGTTAATTCCATTTTTAATTGAACAGTTGAGACATACCTTAATGTTGTCAGGTATCTCATAAAGATCTTTCCTGTTCCTGTGGGGGAGTATGACTCGCATTATCCCTGCTCTGTGGGCTGCCAGAACCTTCTCTTTAATTCCCCCGACCTTCAAATAGATTAAAATTTCTCTTTAATTCCCCCGACCTTCAAACAGATACAAATTTCTCTTTAATATCCCCAACCTTCAAGTAAAAATTTCATGTACCACTTATTTCTGTGCAGGTGATAAAATTCCATGAGCAGAATTAAATTAATCCAAATCCAGATAAACGCACAAATAAGAACTGTTACCATAATTTCAAAATATATGTGTACTTGTACAATATTTAAAACAAGGAAGATCATATGTGGTTGAAACAAATGTTGGATGTACTTACATACAGATTATAGGATGGCTTAGTTATTTAAGTTTAATAATGTTTATATTTATAGTAATTTTTTACTACAATGAAAGAAAAATTTGAAATATCTCTAAGAGTGACATACAGGTAGCACCAATCCTCTGAGAGTGATCTCCCCTGTCATTGCTGTGTCAGAGCGTACACATCTTTCACTGAACAGGGAAGTAAGCACAGTTGCTATGGTTACGCCAGCCGAGGGCCCATCTTTGCCCACAGCTCCAGCAGGGAAGTGAATGTGGACGTCCGTGTTTTGGAGAAGATCTTTCTTGCTGTCCAGCTGTAGCTGACAACACAAGACATAAGCCTTGACAAACGAGCTGACCAATGCTTGTAGCTCTAAATTTAATCTCATTTCAAACAGGTTAAAGCTGTTAACACCAAATATCTACAAACCTTTTTAGAATTGGCCCTAACCCAGTTGAGAGCCAGCGAGGCCGATTCCTTCATAACGTCCCCCAACTGTCCCGTCATTGTGATTTTCCCCTCCCCTGCCATCCTGGTGGCCTCAACAAACATGATCTCACCCCCCATAGACGTCCAGGCCAGCCCAACGGCTACCCCAGGCTGGGACAAGCGCTCTGACATTTCTTGGTGGAAGATAACCGGCTAAAAGTAGAAAAACATTTGGTGGAAGATGACTGGCTAAAAGTAGAAAAACATTTCGTGGAAGATGACTGGCTAAAAGTAGAAAAACATTTGGTGGAAGATGACCGACTAAAAGTAGAAAAACATTTGGTGGAAGATGACTGGCTAAAAGTAGAAAAACATTTGGTGGAAGATGACCGGCTAAAAGTAGAAAAATATTTCGTGGAAGATGACCGGCTAAAAGTAGAAAAACATTTGGTGGGTTACAGATTGATAGCATTTTTTGGTGTATAAAACATGAAGATAGATAAGAAGTCTGTTAAGAATGAGAAAGAAAATACCCACCCCTAAAATGTCCTCAGCAGCCAGCTCATCTATGACAATGGGAATCTCAGGGGGATGTACAATAGCTGACACATCCTTCAGCTCTTCCTTGTCTTTGGCCTTCTCCCCACCTTTCAAAGTCTCCACCCCCTGGTTGTTCCTAGCCTCTAGCACTCTGACAGCCACAGCTCTACAGATGGCGGCAATCCTGCGCTCCAATGTCCTCACACCTGCCTCCCTGGTGTAGCTGGATACTGCACACATTGGCAAAACATTTCAGCTTTGGATTCAAATACATTTTTGAACGACTAATAAACACTAGTACTTGACAACATGATTTATGACACAGCCATTTACAAATGTTTTAGGAGAACTTAGGACTTACAGACCAGGAATGTAACATTTGAGAACTACCGAATCAACATCTTCTTTACAAAGTTTTAAACTAAATTAATGAACAAGGTATGTGTCCCCAGATGTAAAAGGTTACTGAAAACTCTGGTCTATGATGTAGAAATGGTTGTAGTCAAAGTTTTTATTTGAAACTATATCCCTTACTAATTATTCCTAGAGTGTCTTAACTTTCTAATTATTCCTAGTGTGTCTTAACTTACTAACTATTCCTAGAATGTCTTAACTTACTAATTATTCCTAGAATGTCTTAACTTACTAATTATTCCTAGAGTGTCGTCAGGAATCTGCAGCTGATCATTAGTCAATCCATGTTCTTTCAGCTGTTTGGGCAACAAGTGCCTTCTGGCAATATGTACTTTTTCTTCCAAGGTATAGCCAGGTACCTACACATTTACAAACATGTGTCTCATTATTTCAGGGTTTATATTTGATTTTGTGTATTTTACAAATTCTCATTGTATGGCCTACAGTGTTTAATTTTTAATAACAAAATCTTACCAATATAACCTACATTGAGTAACTTAGCAACCAATTCTCACCTGTATGACCTCCATTGCGTAACTTAGCAACAAATTCTCACCTGTATGACCTCCATTAAGTAACTTAGCAACCAATTCTCACCTGTATGACCTCCATCCTATCAAGCAGTGCTGGTGGAATGTTGGCCATATTGTTGGCTGTTGCTATGAAGAGCACTTGGGACAAATCAAACGGCACATTCAAATAGCAAGGAATGTTAAGGAATTTATGGTACTCTTACACATAAACAACAACAAAAAAATAAACAAATCCCAAAAAAAAAAATAATTTTAAAATTTTGAAATTGAAACAAATAAAACACTGAATGACAGAAAATACAATGTACACATTTTTTGACCACAAAGCATTGGCCGAAAGAAAGAAATAAGACACGAAGCTGTTCATGTCTCAGTGAACTAAAACCATAACATGAACCAAGAGAAGACAACAAGTGCTGGATACTGATCCACAAAATTGTGATTTTGTTCAGGGTCCAAAACTTCCAGCAGAGCAGCAGCAGGATCCCCGTGCAGACTTTTTGTCTGGTTAAAACATGGCAATAACATTAACTCTAATCTATCTAACTTTTTGTCTGGTTAAAACATGGCAATAACATTAACTCTAATCTATCTGATAAACTTTTTGTCTGGTTAAAACATGGCAATAACATTAACTCTAATCTATCTGATAAACTTTTTGTCTGGTTAAAACATGGCAATAACATTAACTCTAATCTATCTGATAAACTTTTTGTCTGGTTAAAACATGGCAATAACATTAACTCTAATCTATCTGATAAACTTTTTGTCTGGTTAAAACATGGCAATAACATTAACTCTAATCTATCTAACTTTTTGTCTGGTTAAAACATGGCATTAACATTAACTCTAATCTGATAAACTTTTCTTATAAACAGAAAACAAAAGAAGAAAGGCGAAACACATTTCCTATCTTTAGTGGATTGACAAAGCTGTTGACTTACTAATTTATCGATTTCATCAAGTAAAAACACAGGGTTATTTGTGTTGGCTGTACGCAGGCCTTGAATGATTCTACCAGGCATTGACCCAATGTACGTCCTCCGATGTCCACGAATGTCTGATTGGTCACATACACCACCTAAAGCGATTCTGAAAATATAAGTTGATACTGATCAGATCTGAGAGCATAATCTATGATTGTTTTTTTAAGTTGAAAAATCAAATGTAAATAGTGGAGAAAAAAATTACTCAAGAAATTTAAAGGAAAGAAAATTACCTATGAAATTCCCGACCCATTGTGTTTGCTAGAGATCGTCCAACACTAGTTTTTCCAACACCTGGAGGTCCCACAAAACACAGAATGGGCCCCTTTAGAGAATTTTTGAGTTGACGGACAGCTAAATACTCAAGGACCCTTTTCTTTAGTTTTTCTAATCCATAGTGATCAGCATCAAGGTCTCTCCTTAAACCAAGCAGGATAAAGTTCTTACAGCAAAGACTAGGTATTTTAAAATACAGGATTTAAAGTCTAAGCTCAGGAAATATTCCAAAACAAGTGATTTAAAAAGAGTTTTTAAAAGTTTCCTTCCATGTAAACAGTTTTACAACCCACAAACCTGTTGACATAGGATATTTTTAACTTTACAATTTAGTAGCTTTAAACAATTTTATACATTTTGTAAAAAATAAGCCTATTTAGTAGCTTTAAACAATTTTATACAATTTGTAAAAATAAGCCTATTTAGTAGCTTTAAACAATTTTATACAATTTGTAAAAATAAGCCTATTTAGTAGCTTTAAACAATTTTATACAATTTGTAAAAATAAGCCTCAACAAATTTAAATATAGAAAGGACCCAGGATAATGAAATATGTCAAAAAGTATAAAACTGAAACTTACTTGGCCTGAGCTATGTCTAATGTATCTTTAGTTCCTCTTGACCAAGGTAATTCTGTCATAAGTTCCAGGTAATTCCTGAACAAAAAAATTTTGTTTAGTACAAGATTTTATATACTTGAAGTTAAAATGAAAACTTATTTTGAAATTGAAAAATGTTTAAATTCAAATTATCGCTATACATTCTTTGTTAAAACAATCTCAATATGCATACATTAATATTTTGGTCACCTGATCATAGCATGCTCTGGCATGTGTGGTGGCATCTTCTTCAATCTCCTCAGTTCCTTAATGGCCGACTTATGAGCTTGCTCTGGCATATTGGCAGCTCTACGACAATTTTAAAATATTTTAATTTTGTTTTACTTTAGTAAAGCTTGAAACTTAATTACTATTTTATAACAACCATTAACTAAGTATTAAATTTAACCACAGGACTTTAGCTGTCTGTTAGTATCACATCATGTTAAAAAAATGATTTACTTTATCTTTGCTTCTAAATCGTTGTTGTCATCAATATCTTCATCCCTGTCTTCATCATCCAGATCTGCATCCAGTTTCCGGAAAACTCCACGTACATTGAGTGGGCGACTGATTTCTTTTCTGGTTACAATTTCAACTTTACCCTCTTTCCTAGCCTTTTTTAGTAGCTTCAAGCCCTGAAAATCCCACATTTTCTTAGGTTTTGTATGAGGTTTAATATACAGTACTTAATATATACATGTCAATATAAATAGGGCATCAAATTAAATCTGTTCATTGTTCTCATACAAATATTTCAACACTTTTATTTATAGATCTCATTTTGATAGAAAGTAAACTTGCCTCAATTTGTCGCATTAACAATGGCAGTGCCTTTTTAAATCTCTCTGCCAAGTCAATAGCATCAAGAACTTGTATTTTTTCAGAAAAGGAGGCCTTCACAATTGTCGAGCAAATATCTGGCAGATGTTGACTAGGCACAGAGTCTAACATTTTCTAGAGAAACACAAGCCAAGCATTACACAAAAACTGGGCCATTGTTCCACAATGTACAATATTTAAGTCTTATGTCTATAAATAACTTGCATGAGAAAGGGCTAACTATCTGACCTTTAATTTAGCCACAACAGGAATGGATGTGTCCAGCATGTCAACTAATTTAGCAGCATGTTCCCTAAAGTTCTCAGCCAATGAGCCCAACTCTTCATTGGCCTGGACCTCTTCTGATGGCAAGAAATGAGCAGCAACCAAGCAATAAAAGAATCACTTTTAAAACACTCTGAATTCATGCAGTAATGCTTGTAAATATCTTAGGTTTGTTATTGTTATTTACATTATATTTAATTACTGCCATTTAACAGTGGCTGAACAGTCAGGCTGATTTTTCTGTATTAGTAAGGGAAGAGGAAATGTCTGCCCATTTACTGATTGGCATAGTTTCTATGAACTAATCTGGCCAGCTCATTTCATAATAGCATTACTGAATAAGAATATCACAGTAAAAAAGGTAGATGTTTGTGTCTAAGTGCATGTTGTTGAGTGAGCTGAGTGAAAAGAGAATGGACATTTTGAAGTGAACGTTATGCTAAATAATTTTATGAAAAAGAGAAAAACATAGCAAATTCCAAAATAAACAAATAGTAATCAGTTTATAAACGTACCATTGTCATCTTCAGATAACTTATCCAACTGTTTGACACTGGCCACAGGGTAAGGAGTTTCCTGAAGAAGGGATTCCAAGCGAAACCTACAGAGACCAGTGACAAGCAAAGTATAAGCTGGCCTTGGCCAGTTGGTTCCTGTTATCTGTACTACTACAGCTGCTGTGCCAATTGGATGTATACTGGAGAGGTCTTCGTCCTTGAGAACAAACCAGAAAATCTTTACTTTTACAAGCTTTTTACCAAACATATCACTAACCACATCCCTTAACCTAAAAATTATTGACAACACCTTTCAGTAACTAGTTAAAGAAGAATCCCATAAGAACTGTTGGCAATGCTTCATAGTATTGTTTACATACCACTTCATCTGATCCATTGCTCTTAGGTACAACTCCAATAATTGTACTGCTTAATGTGTTGCGACCAAGTAATCTACTTTTGACCATGTTCATACTGTCAGTAAAAAAAAATATTCTTTATTTACTATTTCAATTGATGCATTTGCCATAATTAGTTTTTAATTCAGATAAAATTATTCAAAGTAAAATATTGAAGACAATTTTGTTTATCCCCATGTAGTCTCTACACAGGCCTATATAAAATATTTCCAGATTACATCTAGCAGTTTTTCACATGCCAAGTGACATAAGGAATAGAAACATCTGCAACAACTGCATATCTTTTAACTAAAAGAATGTAATGTATAAACTAACACCTGTCAAATAAGTAATATAATGATAATAAACAGTTGACTTCTACACCATTGACAGAGTTACTTCATCTAGGGTTGGCTTTAAGGAGAGGGCTGTGGTACACAACTCTTAGGATTTTGCAACTGAGGCTTAAAGTAGCCAATTCAAACTTAAAGTAGTCGTGATTTATTGAATAAGCAAAGTAGAGTTATATAAAATAAGCCTAGTTTAGTGGTAACATGGAAAAAAGTTTGTGAAGTGACGGTGGATTCTGGGAAGAAAGGGGTAGTTTAATTGCTCAAGAACAATAAAAAGAATAAAGAATAAATGTAAGATATTTTGTTTCTGGCCTTTTGAGTTTGTTTTTTAATAAAAGTAAAATCCTATAGACCTAAAGGTAGGCATTTTGAAGAAAATATAAACTATTTTTCAATGAAAAAAGTTTAAAAAGTATCTAAAATAGTCAATAGTTGACAATAGCTTTCTCCTTTCTGTCCAAACTCATTTTAAAAGAATGGAAAAATTGCAAAGCCAGGGTCAAACTATCTTCTTTATCATAGCAAAAAAAGCTAACTCCATAAGTCCTGAGAAGGGTGATCAGACGAGGCTCCTTAGCTGGGAACAGAAACCCATCTACAATCTACTGTCCAAGGGATAGTCAATCATTTACGGTAATCTATCGTTTTGGGTACGTAAAATCACCCGCGACTAGCAATGTGAAAAACAGGTGACTCCTTACATTTTAATAATTATTTCACATTTTGAGGAGGATTTATGTTTTGAAAAATACAAAAATGTTTCCTTGTTTCATTTATGTACCTGTTTTTAAACAATTGAATTAAAACTTTTCCGTAATAAATGAACACCAGCGATGTTTCCAACAGATGCAACCATGCTCATTTACTATAGCAGCCATCTTGTTAAAGTTTTATTTTTATAGACTTGTAGCGCAAGATTCAGGCGGAAGTCACTCTATTTTACAAATGGCTGCTGTTTATATAGCAAATCTTGCTTGCAGACACTGCTGTTTAAAGTTAATTTCTGGCCTATATTGATATATTTAGCCATTGATTTAGGTTTATTATTCATTTATCTATAATATTTGACACAAACATATCACAATATACTTCTATTACAGCCTTGACAATGAGGTAACGTTTTCGTACATTAATAGCCGCGGGCGATTTTACGTACCCAAAACGATAGATTACCTCATTTACTGTCCCAGCTGTCCCAGGGATAGTCAATCTGAGTCAATCATTTGAGGAGAGATCACAAAATTAAACAACAACTGACTGCATTATATTGGAATTGGGGGAGGGGGGGGGGGGGAGACGATGACAAAGGCTATGGAAGTGAATCCAGCTATGGAAATCATTTAAGTTTTAACCCTTTGGCCTTTACACTTACACTGTTACAGGCCTTTGTTGTGCCGGCAGTCCCCCAAGAATTTTTTTGTGGTACTACAACTACAGTCCGGTGCACCAGCGGTCATCTATGTAGTAAATAATCATAAACCAGTTTTATTTATTTTCAAATGACTTGCCTGCTAGATCTACTTACTTTTTCAGACTTCTCACTGGTATTCGCATTGATGATCCAGGCAAGAGAACATTGTCAGTAATTAAAAGCAAAGGGATTCGACGAGGAATTGTTATTGTTGATGCCATTTTTAATTCGCACTTTGACCTTATTCATTAACATACTAACTACCCAAAATGAACGAACATATATTTTCCATACATTTTATAATAGTAATAGCTTTCTTAAAATATCATAACTTAATATTATATAAGTTATTCTAGAGTTACACGCGTTTTTTAAAACATCCATTTAGTATCGTAATAAAATATTTCTTTGAAGTTTATGTTTGTTTTCTACTGAATTAAATATTTTACCAATATATCGAATACTATATGCGGGCATATGGCCTACTAAAATTTGACCATTATATATAAAAAAAGCTCTTTGTGGAAATTCCCAGAATGATATTTCAGGGAAAATATATAAAAAAAATTAACAGCCAGTTATTTATTAACTTATTAACAAAGGCGTTCACTACACTTAATGTATTAATGTCTAAACTCAAGGAAGAACCACAATTGTTCTAGATTCAATAATTTCTGTCTAAAGAAGTGACAAGCATTTTCATGCAGAAATATAGCAAAAAGTTTGATACTCAGTTGATGCACACGAGAACAGTATGAAAATATAATGGTAAGTGTGGAATGAAAACACGGTCCTAAATTAAAGATGTTAGCGAACAATGTTTAGAAATTGTGAACAATATAGTATTATTTATTTTAGTAACCATATTCGTATGATAAAAGAGTCGAAACAGTGCGCTTTTTAAAAAATTTACGAGTATTTAATAATAGACTATTAGGACTGTTAAATGACGTCAAGCTTTTTAGATTCTTTTACCCCCCCCCCTCCAAAGCATCATTTCAACATACCAGAGCCCACTCCCCCTTAACAGCACAGTTTTTTCCTAGAATATTAACGCAGCGACGGTCTAGATTATGTACGCGGATAGATCAAATATTTTATTACAGTTACAAAAAATGAATTCTTTAAAGTCAAAATCTTTTCAACTTTCTTAATTAAAAACAACAACAACACATTGGTTACTTTTAAATCTATTAGGCACAGTAGATCTACATGTTTTTGCAATTTAGAATATAAATTATAATATAATGATGCATTGGAATTTATTCATCATTATATTGAAAATTTTAGGAAAATAGGCACATTTTTAGTTTTTTTTAAAATATATTATAAATCAATATTTTACTAAAATCCAAGGTAGGGTGATTTTTATGAAAATATAAATTTAGATGTTTTCCTTTGCAATGGAAGGGTGGTTTAGCTGGGGAAAATGCAAAACACTATTTATCACAGCAAATTTGACCAAATCCAGGTCAATATATTACATTTATTGACCAGTTTTCATACAGTAAAAATAAGAAAAAAACTATTTAAGTTTGATTTACACTTTTGTCCCCCCCCCCCCCCCCCCCCTTGTGGTGGAACGTCATTTATGGACGAGCTTTAAACCTCCTTTTTAAAAAAAAATTCATGATAATCTTTTCCCTTTTGTGGCCAAAAAACATGGAGTCGCAACAACAGTAAACTCTTTCCACCTTTTCTGGTCTCTGGCAATCGATTTTCTCAACAGTTTCCAAGATAGTTATGCTCTTGGCAAATGTCAGTTGTTTTATGCTGTGCATCTCCATGTCTACCTTGGTCTTCCCTGTTTTCTTTTTTCTTTTAGGCGCCCAGTTATAACCATTCCTGTAATATCATCTGAATTCATTCTCAAAACGTGGCCCATCCAGAGCCATATTCTTTAAAAAAATATTTTTTAAACTTCAATTGTAGTTTTATTATTCAATTGCTCTAAATAAAATAATTATAGTATTAATATATTAATATTATTATAAATAATAGTTAAACAAGATTTTTTTTGTTTTCAATACTAGATCTACATTCTGTATCTTTTTGGCAACTAGCTGGACCGTATTGACCAGGGTCCTACTAGATCTAGATCTAGATCTACATAAATCAGATCTTGGAGGACTTTTGTTTTAATGATATTTTGAGGTTTATAGGCTATAAATTATATTACATAGATTATTTATATAATATGCAACGAAACCGCTGTTTGATTGAGGCCGAGGAGACGTTCTGCTTGTGCTTTGGATAAAAAAATGACAAAAATTACAAAGGCCAAGGGTTGACTGCCGTGACTAACTCCACTTCAATGAACTCCAATCAAATAGGGCCTATTAGAAATTAATTAAAAATAGGCCTATGTTATAACAAAATATAAGTTCTGTCATGTGAAAACTTGACTGTATTTGTTAATTGAAAACAAAAAAGTCATGGTTACCAAAGGCAAAGCCAAAGGGTAATCTATCGTTTTGGGTACGTAAAATTGCCCGCGATTTGTAATGTGAAAAACAGGTGACTCCTTAAATTTTAATAATTATTTCACATTTTGAGGAGGATTTATGTTTTTAAAAATTCAAAAATGTTTCCTTGATTCATTCATGTACCTGTTTTTAAACAATTGAATTAAAACTTTTCCGTAATAAATGAAGACTAGCGATGTTTCCAACAGATGCAACCATGCTCATTTACTATAGCAGCCATCTTGTCTAAGTTTTATTTTCATAAGCTTTTAGCGCCAGATTCAGGGGGAAGCCACTCTATTTTACAAATGGCTGCTGTTTATATAGCAAATCTTGCTCTCGGACACTGCTGTTTAAAGTTAATTTCTGGCCTATATCAATATATTTAGCCATTGATTTAGGTTTATTATTCATTTATCTATAATATTTGACACAAAAGTATGACAATATACTTCTATTAAAGCCTTGACAACGAGGTAACGTTTTCGTACATAAATAGCCGCGGGCGATTTTACGTACCTTAAACGATAGATTACCAGCCAAAGTTGCTTCTTTTTGGTGAAGAACAGCAGAGCAGGTCATCCATTAGTTAGTCTCATAAAATTTATGATAAATATTCCAATTTCTTCAAATTATAAAAAGAATAGCATATGGGACTAATTGTAGAGCTTAAAAAATGCAACCCAACAGTACCAATTTTATGAATTTAGCATAACTGGTTGATTAAATATAATTTTTGGGAGAATGTTTACACCCGTGTCCGATAATGGAATCTTCTTTAAAAAAGGGATGTTAGGTTACTGGTAGTTAACTAAATACACACATGGCTGGCTAATGTCAATCCTAACCCCAACCCTGATCCTACCATTCGCCTGACCCTGATTTCTAACCATAAAATAGTCGAGATTACAATACTACTAACATCCCAACACCCCTTTTTTAAAGAAGATTCCATTATCAGACACCGGTATCTATAATCTTCCGTCAAATTTGCTTGTTTTAAAGCTAGTAAGCAAGAAAAGACATGATTCTCCCTTACTACTGAAATCAGTTTCTCATACCTAGATCTATGTAATGTAGTAATGTACTGTAGTCTAAAATTAAAATAAGATTTTGCTGGCCAGTGATCCCTCATTAACATTTTTTTAAATAGGCGTTATGGTCTGACTATTGTTATGTTAGGGTAGAAATCACTTCTACTTTTGCAATTAGACAACAATCATTCTACTAAACAGTAGGCTATTATATTGAATACTAGCCCTGATAAAAAATGTAATATCAATATTGACCATATATTATCTAGGCCTATATATATAACGAGCCGGCCCGCGGCATAACATACGCCGCTATTTAGTTGTTGTTTTTTCTACTTTTCAGTAATTCAAAATTTGTGAATTCGACAGTACCAACGCTGCCACTGAAAATATTTCTTTAAAACACTAAAAGTAGCTCGTTAAGGACCATAAACCCCCCCTCCCCCCCCTACGTTTAAAATCGTTGGCTCTGCTTGTAAACATTTAGAGTGAACACAGCTCACTAAAACCATGTAGGGGTGGGGAGGTAGGGAGCGCGATTACAGCTTGTTTTCTAGGCGCGTTTGCAGCTTGTTTTCTAGCGGCTCCCAGAAGAGAATTATATATATAGATTATATATATTTGTTGGTTTGTCTTTAATGTTTTGCTACAACTTTCATCCGATCTGCATGAAACTTTGGGAAGTTTTTGAGAATGCACCTGGGAGATTGCCACTGCAGGGTGCGATTTGGCGACCCGGGCTTTCCTGTGAGCGCTATGGTTTTAAAGAGTGACTGGCTGTAGATATGATGGGTTACTATAGTCGTTTACTAACTTGAATCAGGCGTGTCTTCCAGCGCACCAGAAAAAGTTTTTTGTGTGGAGAAGACCAAGCAGTTCTAGTAGGCCTACAGTAATAGGCCCAGGGTAATATTCTCAGCGGAGGAAATTTTTTTCTGTCAAAATTAGACCACTGTGCCGATGATTTACATGAACTTTGATGCGGAAGTAAAATTTATGTATACAATACTGTGTATTATAGTGTACTAGGCATCGGCACCAGTTACACATGAATTATAGGCCTATATCTATATATATAATTCTCTTCTTGGAGACGATAGAAAACACCAAGCTGTAAGCGCGCCTATATATATAATTCTCTTCTTGGAGACGTTAGAAAACACCAAGCTGTAAGCGCGCCTAGCAGTCCCCTCTCTTCCTCTCTAGGCATATCGCAACCACCCCCACCCCCACATGGTCTGGTGAGCTGTGGTTCACGCTAAATGTTTACAATCGTAGAGCCAGGTTTAGTGACGCCTATTAGGGGCAGATAATTTAGTTTGAAACTATTTTAAACTTAGGGGAGGTAACTAAGAGGAGGCTGCTTTCACGTGGGGGGGGGGGGGGGGGGTTGGGGGAAAAGAGGATTTTGATGTTTTAAAGCAAATATTTTCAGTGACAGCATTGGTACTGTCGAATTCACAAATTATGAATTACTGAAAGTAGAAAATAAAACCAAATAGTGGCGTGTGATACGCCACGGGTCGGCTCATATTTTATATTTGTTTGAGAAAATAATTTATAAAATTGTAATTGGTAAAAACGCAATGTGCTTTACTACACGTTGAACGATATTAGTGACAAAGCAAAGAAATAACTAAATAGCTAAAAATCCAACACATTTAAAATAACATAGGCAACCAATACCTATTAGAAAAATTAAAACCGAATCATATGCACACACTGATTAAGAGACTTAAATGATTTATTTAAAAAACCTGGCTGTTCATTGGTATTTATGTTGGTTTTTTAAGTAATTTTATTAGGTTTGGTTTGGAGAAAATTGAGAGAGAAGTGTGCACATGGGCTTTTATATATAAGGATAGTTGTAACTATAATTTTTTCATATGTTTGACAGGGAGGCTATAGTGTGTAAACATGAGATTAACTGGACGAAGATGACCACCATCAATTACCCCCAGAAAGAACAAAGTTCTATTGATGCACGTCTGGCCAAACTGTCAGCTGCCATACAGGCAGGTGATGAACCACTAGCCAAGGAGATTGTGCAGGAGTTAACTGAACTCAAATTGAAATTAGACATTCATTTAAATAAGGAAGACTCTGAGCAGAGATGTAAAGAAAAAGAATTCAGGTGATAAAAATAGAGCTCTCAATAATTATATGTATTTACTTTCTCTACTTAGTCACTTTACAACTAAAGTTCTTTTACAACATTCTTTTATTTTGTTTTATCTATTTCAAGAAGTTATTTATTAGGTATAAACTATTTGTGGTTAAGTTTTTATTTTGAAGGCTAGTTTACTACTATGCTATACCAGGAAATGTGCTGAAGTAATTCATCATCAGATATAGGCAACAAACGTAACTGTCTTAATTGCGTTCTAATGTAAAAAACTTAAACACATAATCATAAAGAGTATTTTCCTGAAGTTGAAATATTAAAAATGTTCATGTAATGCTCTCCAGTGTGAGGGTCCATATAGAGGACAGAGTTTCAGATGGATGCTACATTAATTTAATGGTCAAAGCCTGTGACACAATTGAGGATTTAAAGAAGAAGGTGGGTTGGTCTTATTTGGTTAGAGAGTCTTCTGTTCTAGATTTGCTTTCACATTTCTTTCTGCAAACCTGCTCCCCCAGTTATATTTCTTAGACCTAGAAAGTTTGAATCACATAGAGAGTATTTGAGCTATCTAACTTATCAATAGCTTTGTCATTTGGATGTACCCTAAATTGTTGTGTTGTAGGTATTTCTGAAGTTCTACCATAAATTGTTGTTGTGTTGTAGGTATTTCTGAAGTTTAACTTCCCTATAGAGGTGCAAAGATGGATCATAGGTAAAAAAATCTTCCAAGACAAAGATAAGCTCGGACAATGTGGGGTTAAAGGACCTGGACACACCATCTATTTATACCTGGTCACAGCTAGGTCAGTTGGTCTCATCAGGAAAGATGAGCCTTTTCAGCAAGCCATGAGTGAGTTTTAAAATTTTTATTTTATTTTATGACAACAGACAACCTGAAACACAACAACCAGAGAGGCTCTCCATCTTGTAGATCATGTGACTGGGAGAGAGCAGTACACCCCATATATCCCTACTTGTAGGTCTTATCCAGGCCATATTGTACTAATGCTACCCTGACAGTGACAGTACAACACTGTAGGATCCTACAAATGTCTGTCTGTATGACCCTGACATTGATACTGGCAGAAAAAAACCTCAGTACAACACTGTAAGATCCTACAAATGTCTGTACAAGAACCCATTTGTGTTAGACATGTGACTCCTGCTGTTTCTTGTATTATGTTTTTAAACCATTACAGTTTTGTTATGTGCATCATCCATGTGCGCACTTCTCTCCCTCTCTCTCTCTCTCTCTTTCTCTCTCTGTCCACAACATATTTTCCGAGGCTATGAGATCAGTTTGTTCAGCAATATATAAAGAACTTAAAGATACAGACTTTTGTTGAAAATAATATGTTGGATGTTTAAAATGTATACACTAAATTTTATTTAAAGACAACTGGAAAAGTGTTTATGGTTGATCTATAGATCTATCAAGTCATACATGGAGAAATTTATACAATTTTCTCAGTCAAAACTAATAAAAATTACTTTAAAAAAAACAACATAAATACCATTGAACAGCTAGGTTTTTAACAGAATAATTGAAGTCTCTTAATCAGTGTGTGCATTTCATGTGATGTTGTGTTGATTAAAAATGTATATAATTTGGTTGTAATTTCCTAATAGGTATTTATACATTATTTTTCTCAAACAAGTATAACATTAAATATATATAGGCCTATAATTCATGTGTAATGAGTACAGGCTAGTAATATAAGGGAGATTTTTCTTATTTTTGTTACAAACAAACTTGATGAATACTTGACTTTAGGTGAACATGGTTTGTGGCCCCAAGCTGAGCTGCAGTCAAGGCTCTCAAGTCATTCTCCAGTCAGTCAATATTTAGCTCAGGGCCCAGGGGAAGATCTCACTTCTATGCTTGGGAGACAAGGATCCAAAAAATCTCTTAGCAGTGGATCCCCATCTTTTGTACAGGTTGGTTCACCTTCCTTCATCAGGTGGACATGTTAGCTCCAGGTGTATACGTTAGCTCCAGGTGTATATGTTAGCTCCAGGTGTATATGTTAGCTCCAGGTGTATATGTTAGCTCCAGGTGTATGTTAGCCCCAGGTGTATATGTTAGCTCACACTTCATCAGGTGTATATGTTAGCTCCAGGTGTATATGTTAGCTCCAGGTGTATACATTAGCAACAGGTGTATATAACCCCAGGTGTATACGTTGTTAAATATGTTTTTAATGTTGTAGATCCCAGACTACTTAGCCAACTCCTCACCAGTCCCACAACAAACTGACAGGGGCAGACCCAAATCTGTTGGCGCTGAAATTGTGGCACCAAGCGAGGCTGGCCCTGAGAGAAGAGGAGGTCAAAGGTCACGGACACCTTCCACAACACCACCCAGGACACCACCAGTGGAGAGTGGGAAAAATGAGGTTTGTGCTACATCAAGTGTACAGTTCATTTGACCAGAGTTTTTTACATTTGGAATTTTTTTAGATAACTCTTCAGATTCTTATTTAGAGATTAACTACTAATGATGATTATAGTATATTATAATACTATGTTTATATATATAGGGACAATATAAATAAGTAAAATAGATATGTTGATATGAAAAAAATTATCATGCAAAAGATGGCTTTGTGTTAAATTTACTTATCTCAGTAATGTTGTTAGATGAGCACTAAATTTCCAGAAAATTTGAAATGATTAAAATCTTGATCTATTGAAACAATTAGATTGACATAGTGGGGGATAAAGGCAATGAATGAAGGCAAAATAGAGTCTTGTTCATCAGTGGTTTACTTTTTTATTATACATTGCAGCACAACTGATTCAACTTTCATGTTCTTTAATAGCTTAAAGGACATTTCTTTGAAGTATGTTGTGTTGTTAAAAATTTGACATAGCCTCATGAAGAAATGAAAAGAAATTGACTTGTTTCTTTATGCTGTGATTTAAAAAAAAAATAGAGCTGTTTATTTTTGTCTCAGTTTTCATCAGCTGGTTGGCAGTGTGAAACTTGTACACTGATTAACCTCCCACTGCGGCCTGGCTGTGAGGCCTGTGCTGCGCCACGCCCTGCCACCTACAGGGTGCCGGCAGGGTACCAGATGACCAGTGAGGAACAGCTCATGTTTGAAGCTGCCCGCAGATCAGAACAAATGACCCGTGAGGTGAGTTTTACTTTTTTACCTGCTCCAGTCATGGGGATCTTTTTATTACTCTTGTCCACTCCCCATTACCCATACCCCAATGATCATTCTCCATGACCCACACACCAATGACCCGCATCCCAATGACCCACACCCCAACTACCTTATTTCCCACTCCCTGATCTGGTCTCCAGTAGTCAGACCATGCTAAACTGGTTCGTTTCATTACTTTAACATACCCTCTCCCGTTACCCTTGATAAGGTTTTGATATCTTGAGAGTTTTACCATCACTGAAACAAGAAAGTATTAGCTTATGTTATGTCTCAGCCACTTGCTTTGGTTTTGATATGCTTGTAGTCCAACCTAGTTTTGATCAACCAGAAGTCATTCAGAATTTCTTTAATCAGGAATCAAAATGTGTGGGTGATGATTGACTGTAACTATTTAGCTTATGATTTATAGACAATTATTTGTGTACAACTTGTAAACTTTGTTTAAAATTGGTTCTGCTGCTATACTGTGTAAATTTTGAGGAAACTTCATTAACAATATGCTGTACTGTTGTAATGTTAAGTACATAGTTCTATGATTTTCATGCGATGTGGTAGTTCTTGGAAAAATGCCACAGTACATGTTAGGGTTAGGATGTTATGGAATGGTTAAGTTAGATTGCTGCTAGACCCCTGTTCAGCAAAAAATAATGTTGGTTGGAAAGTTGAATTCAGGGATGTTGATTGGAAAGTTGAATTCAGGGATGTTGATTGGAAAGTTGAATTCTGGGATGTTGATTGGAAAGTTGAATTCTGGGATGTTGATTGGAAAGTTGAATTCTGGGAAGGATCTCTCACACTATTCTGTATGTGTTACAGGAGACAACAGCTGGGTCTAGCCAACAACCCCAGACCCGGGGTCAAAGAGGCAGCCAGTCAGCCATGGAACGAGACCAGCAGGAACTGAATCGGGCCTTGCAATCTTACAACCTAATGAACCCTGATGAGGAGAACAACGAGATATTGCCCACACAGCTTGTGGTTGTTCCCGGAGGAGCTGACTGGAACAATATCCGAGAAGTTGGTGGAATTCCACCAGAGCAGGCTAGGCCCAGCGCCAGCAGGGTTGGGATGGGACTTATGTCGGCACTGTCCAACTATTTTCCCTCCTCTGTTGTGTACACTCCACCTAAAAGAGAATCCCATTTTCCAAGATTTCCTTCTCCACCTCAAGCGAGGGTGTCCAGTGAAAATTCTGAAGAAACGGCTTCAGATGAGGAAAACTCTAATGTCTAGACAAAGGTCATTCACCTGAAGCTGGACCTCATGATGCCTTTAGCTTTAGCTTTTAATGTACCATCCTGTTGTATACTCTGATGCATGGTGAATATTTCTTTTGGAAAGGTGAATGTAATTTCTTATGTCACGGTTTATTTTTAAAATATTGGAAAAATGTTACTTCAGGAAATGTGAAATGATTGTTGACAGTTTATTTTATGAAGTATTTATGAATATATCTATTGAAAAATTGAATGCAAATGAAATTTGATTTCTTTAGTCACTGTTGATTTACTTAATTATTTTACATTGATTTAATGTACATTTTTGTGATATTTATTTATCCTCCTAGTGTAAAACTTCTGTCTGTCAGTTCTTCTTTCTTCTTGTTTGTTCTTAATTTTTAGTGTTGGAGAGGATCTGTCAGAGGGTTTGAACTCGAGACTTTTTCGAATTTAACAACCATCAGCTTTTGCCGACTCAATCACGCCTCCAACACAATTAAGTATACGTGTCAACTGTTTATGCGCCATTGAGGCCATTGACTCCGATCTCAGCCTGCTTTACTTTTTGGATTTGCTTCCATAGCCTTTGTCCAACCAAGAACAAACTACAAGGCAGCAGTTGTTTGATTTTGGAGTTGTCTCTCCTTGAAGAGTGGCTGTCCCCAGCTAACGAGCCTCATCTACCCGAGGGTTTGAACTTGAGACTTTTCTGTTTCACAACCATGAGCTTTACCGACTCGACCACGCCAACCCCTTCAGTCGGTTCAAGTTATTGGTTAATTGCCATTTCATTAACTCATTAAGCCCGGAAAAATTTTCATTTTTCACTGGATTTGTTTTTCACTCCATTTTTTTCAGTATCTATGCCGCAAAACAATTCATATCTTTTTTACAACCTTGTGCTTAGTTCACAACATCCATTTGTGGCTTTGTGGAAAATCTTAGAACTTCGACCTACTTCTAATTCAGTGATTTTGTTCAAACTATTTAGATACCTTCTTTTTTGATGACAGTACAAGAATATCTAATTTTTGATGTAATTAAATGGTCAGTTTCATTTTAAAATTACTATATTAAAAAATAAAAGGGGAGATGCGAAAATAAAATACTAGCAATAGCTAAAGGTACGTCGAGGCGGTTGGCTGATTTCTTTCCTGATTTGCGGACAACGTACCGAGTAGGGTCAGATAACAAAATTTGAGAGATCTCAAGCTACTGGTCAGGTTTTGACACAAATATTTTTCACGGGATCCTGGGTAGTCTCTACCTCTTTTTAAACAAATGACTAAAAAGTGGAAAATAAAACAGATATAAAAATCTTTATAATAACTAGCTTTTAAATGCACTGAAATTAGAAGATAAAACTAATTGGCTTTGTTTAACAAAAGCTTTACTCGCTTAAGTATGTGAACCAGTTTCCTGCAGTTTTTGTCTGTGTGCCTTAAATCCTTAGATTATGTCCTTGTGATAGGAGTTGTGTGTTCATCTCCCTGTGTTTAACATTATCTACAGATTTACTTGCATTTTGATCTATTTACTCGTCTACCATTTTAAATTGTCCGTTTGTCACATGTGTGAAAAATTTGTATTGTATGAAAAATTGTCAAAATGAACTGAAAGTATTTGTAAAACAATTGTAAATTCACATTTAAAAACAACCTGTTTAAGCATTAAACTTGCTGGCTTCATATTTCAAATTTGTTTTTATTTTTATATGATCAGGAATATATGGCGCAAAGGAATTCCGATGAATAAAAACAATAAAACATAAAATCTTACATTTAAATTTTTTTTAAAGGTGTAATTATAACCATTGAAATGATTTACAATTTATTTTATACACCAAGATCTGCATTACTTGGTGGTAGTAAGGTTACATTCTGACCAACTGACCACCACTTCTCATGTCATAAAGATCTTCATGCTGACCACCACTTCTCATGTCATAAAGATCTTCATGCTAACTAACTGACCACCACTTCTCATGTCATAAAGATCTTCATGCTGACCACCACTTCTCATGTCATAAAGATCTTCATGCTAACTAACTGACCACCACTTCTCATGTTAAAGATCTTCATGCTGACCACCAGTTCTCATGTCATAAAGATCTTCATGCTAACTAACTGACCACCACTTCTCATGTCATAAAGATCTTCATGCTGACCACCACTTCTCATGTCATAAAGATCTTCATGCTAACTAACTGACCACCACTTCTCATGTTAAAGATCTTCATGCTGACCACCAGTTCTCATGTCATAAAGGTCTTCATGCTAACTAACTGACCACCTCTTCTCATGTCATAAAGATCTTCATGCTGACCACCAGTTCTCATGTCATAAAGATCTTCATGCTAACTAACTGACCACCACTTCTCATGTCATAAAGATCTTCATGCTAACTAACTGACCACCTCTTCTCATGTCATAAAGATCTTCATGCTGACCACCAGTTCTCATGTCATAAAGATCTTCATGCTAACCAACTGACCACCACTTCTCATGTCATAAAGATCTTCATGCTGACCACCACTTCTCATGTCATAAAGATCTTCATGCTAACTAACTGACCACCACTTCTCATGTTAAAGATCTTCATGCTGACCACCAGTTCTCATGTCATAAAGGTCTTCATGCTAACTAACTGACCACCTCTTCTCATGTCATAAAGATCTTCATGCTGACCACCAGTTCTCATGTCATAAAGATCTTCATGCTAACTAACTGACCACCACTTCTCATGTCATAAAGATCTTCATGCTAACTAACTGACCACCTCTTCTCATGTCATAAAGATCTTCATGCTGACCACCAGTTCTCATGTCATAAAGATCTTCATGCTAACCAACTGACCACCACTTCTCATGTTAAAGATCTTCATGCTGACCCACTGACCCTTACTTCTCAAATAATAAAAATCTTCATGCTGACCAACTGACCACCACTTCTCATGTCACATGCTGACCAACTGACCACCACTTCTCATGTCATGAAGATCTTCATGCTGACCACCACTTTTTGTTCTCAGGCAGAAGAGGAAACAGTGCGGTTGAACTTCCTGAGGTTAAAAGAAGTGAATAACCTTGACCTTGTCTCTAACCTTGATGACTTCACCTGCCCGATATGTTTTGAGGAGATCACTGCAGGTGAAGGTATCATGCTGCGGGATTGTCTGCACACCTTTTGCAGGTGAGTTCTATCTGCGCTCAAACTTTTTATCTCATTTGCACTTAAATTTAGCAGATGATTCTCAGCACAAAATTTGTTGAGTCATTGTCAAAAGTTGATGACCCAGAGAATGACTTAGGCAAATCTTTACTGAAATAAGTTATCTGGGTAATATGATGGCCATGAGGGTCATGTGATGGCCATGAGGGTCATGTGATGGCCATGAGGGTCAAGGGATGGCCACGAGGGTCATGTGATGAGGGTCATGTGATGGCCATGAGGCTCATGTGATGGCCGTGAGGGTCATGTGATGGCCATAAGGGTCATGTGATGGCCATGAGGGTCATGTGATGGCCATGAGGGTCATGTGATGGCCATGAGGGTCATGTGATGAGGGTCATGTGATGGCCATGAGGGTCATGTGATGAGGGTCATGTGATGGCCATGAGGGTCATGTGATGGCCATGAGGGTCATGTGATGGCCATGAGGGTCATGTGATGAGGGTCATGTGATGGCCATAAGGGTCATGTGATGGCCATGAGGGTCAAGGGATGGCCACGAGGGTCATGTGATGAGGGTCATGTGATGGCCATGAGGCTCATGTGATGGCCGTGAGGGTCATGTGATGGCCATAAGGGTCATGTGATGGCCATGAGGGTCATGTGATGGCCATGAGGGTCATGTGATGGCCATGAGGGTCATGTGATGAGGGTCATGTGATGGCCATGAGGGTCATGTGATGAGGGTCATGTGATGGCCATGAGGGTCATGTGATGGCCATGAGGGTCATGTGATGGCCATGAGGGTCATGTGATGAGGGTCATGTGATGGCCATGAGGGTCATGTGATGGCCATGAGGGTCATGTGATGAGGGTCATGTGATGGCCATGAGGGTCATGGGATGGCCATGAGGGTCATGTGATGGCCATGAGGGTCATGTGATGGCCATGAGGGTCATGTGATGAGGGTCATGTGATGGCCATGAGGGTCATGTGATGGCCATGAGGGTCATGTGATGAGGGTCATGTGATGGCCATGAGGGTCATGGGATGGCCATAAGGGTCATGTGATGAGGGTCATGTGATGAGGGTCATGGGATGGCCATGTGATGGCCATGAGTGTCATGTGATGGCCATGAGGGTCATGTGATGGCCATGAGTGTCATGTGATGGCCATGAGGGTCATGTGATGGCCATAAGGGTCATGTGATGAGGGTCATGTGATGAGGGTCATGGGATGGCCATGTGATGGCCATGAGTGTCATGTGATGGCCATGAGGGTCATGTGATGGCCATAAGGGTCATGTGATGGCCATGAGTGTCATGTGATGGCCATGAGTGTCATGTGATGGCCATGAGGGTCATGGGATGGCCATGAGGGTCATGTGATGGCCATGAGGGTCATGTGATGGCCATGAGGGTCATGTGATGGCCATGAGGGTCATGTGATGAGGGTCATGTGATGGCCATAAGGGTCATGTGATGGCCATAAGGGTCATGGGATGGCCATAAGGGTCATGTGATGAGGGTCATGTGATGAGGGTCATGGGATGGCCATGTGATGGCCATGAGTGTCATGTGATGGCCATGAGGGTCATGTGATGGCCATAAGGGTCATGTGATGGCCATAAGGGTCATGTGATGAGGGTCATGTGATGAGGGTCATGGGATGGCCATGTGATGGCCATGAGTGTCATGTGATGGCCATGAGGGTCATGTGATGGCCATAAGGGTCATGTGATGGCCATGAGTGTCATGTGATGGCCATGAGTGTCATGTGATGGCCATGAGGGTCATGGGATGGCCATGAGGGTCATGGGATGGCCATGAGGGTCATGGGATGGCCATGAGGGTCATGTGATGGCCATGAGGGTCATGTGATGAGGGTCATGTGATGGCCATAAGGGTCATGTGATGGCCATGAGGATCATGTGATGAGGGTCATGTGATGGCCATGAGGGTCATGTGATGGCCATGAGTGTCATGTGATGGCCATGAGGGTCATGGGATGGCCATGAGGGTCATGTGATGGCCATGAGGGTCATGTGATGGCCATGAGGGTCATGTGATGGCCATGAGTGTCATGTGATGGCCATAAGGGTCATGTGATGGCCATGAGGGTCATGTGATGGCCATGAGGGTCATATGATAGCATGAGGGTCATGTGATCTAGGCTGATAACCTTGAGACCCTCCACAGGGAATGTCTGACTGAAGCTGTGCGGCACTGTGAGGATGCTGTGGTCAGATGTCCTTTCCAAGATGCCATCTACTCGTGTGAGTCTGTGCTACAGGAGAGGGAGATCAAAGCTGTGAGTAGCAGGGTGACAGGGGGGGGGGGCTGGGTGCCATTGGGGGGTGGGGCAACAGTGGGGGCTGGGTAGTATTGGGGGGGGGCTGGATACCATTGGGGGGGGGGGCAACAGTGGGGGGCGAGGTACCATTGGGGGGCGAGGTACAATTGGGGGGGGGGGGCTGGGTAACACTGGGGGGCTGGGCAACAGTGGGGGCTGGGTACCAGTTGGGGACGGGGTTGATTTTATTTTTCACAAGTGATATTTCTGTACTTTTTGATTGATCTTGTCTATCAGTGAAATTGTAGCTCATCAAATATTTTTGCCCTAGCATCCCTTCTATTGGACTAAACATTTATCCTCCCTATCAGACCTTACATTTTTGTCCCAGAATTCTATACATTTTAAAAATGCTTTTTATTGGACCATAAATTTTAATCATTAAAACTCCTTCTCTTGGACCATACATTTTAGCCCTAAAACTCCTTCTGTTGGACCATACATTTTAACCCTAAAACTTCTTCTGTTGGACCATAAATTTTAACCCAAAACTTCTTCTGTTGGACCATAAATTTTAGCCCTAAAACTCCTTCTGTTGGACCATAAATTTTAGTCCTAAAACTGTTGTTCCAGTTGGTGCCACAAGACCTGTACCTGAAGTTCCTGAAGCGTGGCCTGGACCAAGCAGAGTCTCAGACACCAAACGCTTACCACTGTAAGACCACAGACTGCCCAGGCTGGTGCGTCTATGAGGACCTGGTCAACTTCTTCAAGTGTCTGGTCTGTAACAAGGAAAATTGCCTCACCTGCAAGGTAGGTCACATCACCTGAGTATACACTAATTTCTGCACTATATAAACCACCTAATTGGGCGCAGTAAAACTTAATGTCTTGGAGATATGTCTTTGCTTAGAGTTATATAATTGCTGTCATTTTTTTAAGGATAAAATAATCTAGCATATCATTCTGTTGATTAATATTAAGCATTTATTTAATTTAAATTATGGTGTTCTATCCTTTAAAAAAAAGTTTAAATAGGTTAATTATTTGAATTATCTGCAGGCAATTCATGAGAACCAAAATTGCAAGCAGTACCAGGATGGGTTGAAATCCCGCTCTCGCAATGATATAGAAGCCAAGCAGACGCAACGCATGTTGGAGGTGAGATTTTAAAACAATGTTGTGCTTAGGGTCACTTTAAATCAAATGTACTTAGGGTCACTTTAAATCAAATGTACTTAGGGTCACTTTAAATCAAATGTTGTGCTTAGGGTCACTTTAAATCAAATGTTGTGCTTAGGGTCACTTTAAATCAAATGTTTTACTTAGATCACTTTAAATCAAATGTTGTGCTTAGGGTCACTTTAAATTTAAATCAACTGTTTTACTTAGGGTCACTTTAAATCAAATGTTGTGCTTAGGGTCACTTTAAATCAAATGTTGTACTTAGGGTCACTTTAAGTAAAATGTTGTGCTTAGGGTCACTTTGAATCAAATGTTTTACTTTGGGTCACTTTAAATCAAATGTTTTACTTTGGGTCACTTTAAATCAAATGTTGTACTTAGGGTCACTTTAAATCAAATGTTCACTATAACCTCAGTGTGAACTGCTTGTATTGACAACAGGACCAGCATGCTATGTGCTGGGCTGAACAAAGTTAGGCTCTCCACAAAGCAGTTTTAGAAGGCTGTTCCACTTTGATCTTACAAGTTTTTCTATGTTCAACAAGACACAAATGTTTATCTGTTAATATTAAATATCTATAATAATAATTATCCATAATAATGTTTTGTTTTTTAAAAATGTTTAAAATTTGACATTCCATTTTTTTAAATCGCCAGAAAATGGTGGAAGATGGGGAGGCCATGCATTGCCCCCAGTGTTTAATTATTGTGCAGAAGAAAGGGGGCTGTGACTGGATCAAGTGTTCAATCTGTAAAACTGAAATATGTTGGGTCACCAAAGGACCACGATGGGGCCCTCTTGTTAGTATTCATTACAAAATAAGATTAAATATGCAGCTGGTACATGTTTAAACAAGAATCAAAATTTAATTTTTTAAGCTTTCAATTTTTTTCGCTTTTGTTTTTACTTTATTCAGTTTTTACTTTGAATTTTATCCTTTAATTTTTCATGTTTCTAGTTTTTACTTTTTAGTTTCTTGTATTCTTATGCTAGTTTTTACTTTTAGTTTTAATTTTAATCTTTCCTGTTTTTTATTTCACCAGGGTGAAGGAGACACAAGTGGTGGCTGCATGTGTCGAATCAATGGTAAAAAATGTCACCCATTGTGCATTAACTGTCACTGAGAAAAAATGTCACCTGCATTTAACTGTCACTGAGAAAAAATATCACCTGCATTTAACTGTCACTGAGAAAGAAATGTCACCTGCATTTAATGTCAGAGAAAAATGTTGCCTGCATTTAACTGTCATTGAGAAAAAAACTCGCCTAGCAGGCAGCATTTTTCTAGCAGTCTCCAGGCCTTGAAAGAAGTTGATTGTTAGTGTAATTTCATCCATCTGGTCAGTTCATCAGCTGACTACACAGTGTTTTGATCCTATTTTTGTCCAGCTAACATCCATGACACAGTGGTGTTTATTCTTGTGGAGCCATTGAGCAGCCATTAGTAGGATAATCAATATTTAAGATAATTCAAATATATGTAATGTAGGATATTTTTCTATTCTTCAATTCAGTAGTTTCCTGATATATGCAATGAAATAAGGACAGTGACCCTAGTTATGACACTGACACCTAATACTGTGACTTGACACCAATGTTGTCACAAAACATTATTGACACTTCCAAACTGCCAGTTCTCTGTCTACACAAATGTTGTTTATGTGTTATAGAGTTAAGCACTAAAGTACCAGCTTTCCCCTATCCCCCCCCCCCCCCCCCCAATAGGGAAAGACTGCCGCTACCAACTGTACCAATGTCCTCCATTTATCCAGAATTTATGAATTTATCCAGATGGTTGTTTATTTACTTTTGACTTTTCCTGCTTCATGAAGATTTTTGTCACATTTGAACACACCAACCTTTTTTTTTGGCTTGTTCTCACTTTGTGACCTTGCCATGGCCCTGAACTTGGATACGACCTTCCTCTGAAACTTGTCATCCTCATATCAAATTTTTGTCTTTCCCTGGAAATCTTCAGTTTAAACGTTTTCTTTTTACTTTGTCCTACACTGAGTACAGAGGAGTATTGTAACAATACACAAAAAATTTGATGAAACGTTGCCAGTTTTTGCCATTTTACACCCCTATGTTATTGCATACCGAATATAAAATATATATTGGAACATAAAGGATGAATAATAATTGTTTAAAAAATCTAAATCCAGATTTTGACAAATTTTGAATTTTTACAACCTTCTGGAGCTAAAAAAACTTAATTTTGCAATCCTGTCCGTCTGTTTGTGTGTTTGTAAACTCGATAACTTGAGTACCATTTCAATTTCATATGTAAGAACTATATCAAATTTGTCGTTGTCTCTCAACTTCTGAGTGATTTCCAGTAAACAAAAGTGGTACTAAGACTACTTCCAGCTAGTTAAAACCTATAACATGAGTACCATTTAAGTTAGATGGAGGAAATATCAAATTAGTACAGGTCATCTCATGCCTTATTGCAATATAAGAAGAGAAAGTTTAGTGGAGATCACTCTTGCTTTATTTTTAAAAAATGGCCTGCAAAAATTTAGAAATACAATAGAATATTCACTTCAAGCTTCCATATATCATTGTATAATTAATAAATAATTTTTGCCTGCAAAGTATATTTTTCTTACTTGAAAACCTTCAGATTTCTTAATACAGAAAGCCAAATAAATGTATTTAAATTGTACAGAAGAGTGTAATTGTGTATAATTGTAGTACAAATTGGTGTCTTACTTGATTTGTTAAATTACCATTTTCTTTACCCCCTGACTTCCTTGCTTTCATCTTTGATGTACATTTTCAATAATTTAAAATATATATTAAAATTTGTTAATTTCATGATCTAATAAACAAAAATGAAACTATTTACACATTGCATAGTTAATTTGTTTCTCTTAAGTTTAAGAGATCTATAGTCTAGGCCACTCTAGGCTATACCTATACATCCAGTAGAAGAATTGTTTGAACACATACCAAGGTAGATCACACTAGATCTAGATGCAGACTAGTTCGATGGTGGACTATGTTAAATCGTTATAAGAGCTTGAGAAACATTTCCAATGGCCAATGGGTTATTTGACACAAAACAAGAGGCTGTGTGTTACTAATCCAGAGATTCTGGGGCAATTGAGGCGCTTTTAAAAGGAAGCTAAAAGTTTCCCTTTCAAACCTGTCTATGGGGCAAGTGAAGTAGAGTTCACTTGTTTCTGTGACCTCGGCATATGAAGAGATAGTGTGGTCTGCACTATGCCCAGCCGCCTTTACTTTCCCTAACGAGAGTTAGGTACCCATCAGAGTTGGGTGGCCTGAGGGACGTTCTACTGCATTGAACCGGATTCGAACTCGAGATTTACGGGTTAGCAGCCCAGCTCTCTACCGCTAGACCACTCCGTCTCACAAAAGGAAGGTGGAGTCTCAGTAATGATGGAGGAGACTGAATACATTAATATAATACAATATTATTGATAGATCTAGATTATTCTAGATCTACGTTTTTTCCTGTGGAGAGAGGAGACTAATAATACTGACAATATTCACCGAATTGTAAAGGTAGTAAAGAAAGAGTAAAGACTAGAAGACTGGTTGTAGATTAATCTAATCATGTCTAATGTTTTAAATTTTAAATGTTTTTAGTTTTTTCGGTAACTAAGCAAAATTAAAAAACAAAAACACTTTTTAAAATTCATGTCAACAATAATGAGATGGAAGGATTCTCGTCAACTCGGTAATGCACCTTAATTTTAATTAAAGTAACTTTGTTTACATGTAGATCTAGATCTAGATCTAGTTATTTTTTTTCGTTAATCCAACAAATCTTTTTTTGAGGCTGAGGCAACTCAAGTAAAAAGATACAGATATTTTTCACAACATGAAAACACCATTAGATTATGGTACAACATTTAAACAAAAATTACATTTGCTATGGCTAACATGAAAGTATCAATTAATTAGAATTTCTGAGCTAAAAATATCAAGTAAATATTTAACATTAATCTGAAAACTCGCGAAACAACGAGAATACAAACTGTGAAGTAGCCAGGGAAAGGTAACAATGTAAATCAAGTTCATAAAAATATCGAATCTTGGTTACTTGTACCGTAATCTAGTGGTGTTAACTTGTTGTACCATAATATAATGGTGTTTACATGTTTTAGCACGAGATTTATTCAGCTACAGTCAATGACAAAATGTTCTGAATGATTAACAAAGGAAATAATTGTTGTTGTTTTTTTCGGTCAGGCGTCTAGAACTGTAAAAATCACTGCATTATTAGAACAACAAACATCAGTTAATTGTAGACAGTTGATAATGATACGCTGGTCTGGCATTTCCCAGGGAAGTTACGTATAAATCACGTGATAACATTTCAGTAGACGATTTTTGTATTCTGCCACTCAAGTGTTTGATTCCCCCCCCCCCCCCCCCCCCCCCAGTCCACAGATATTTTTAAGTCAACACCAGGCGTGTTGTAAATCTGTAGCCTACATGATGTTTACGATTCCACCCGACCAGGAAGGTTTTATTTTCGGTGGACTTTGACCTCAACAAAGTATCCACATTCTAAGACGTCACACTGACCGATGTTTGTAGTTACGCCGTCTTTCAAGAGTTGGCAGACATCATAATTGTCCAACATACTTGAGTCCTGTGTTTCTTTCAGACATTTGTTACCCTGGTCGGGGATGGTCACTTGAGATGCCTGAAAGAAACTTTATACGAGTCACTTTTTATTGGACTTTTCAGCTTCATCATCCACATCACCCCATCACCCCCATCACCCCATCACCCCCATCACCCCATCACCCCATCACCCCCATCACCTCCATCATACGACGTCATCCTCTCTTAGCTCACATTTTAGTTGTTTTTGTTACAGCATTTATTTGAAATCTATTAAGTTCGACTCAACAATCGCCATATTGACATATTTCTATCACATTTTTAAAATGTCTTTTTAAAAATGCGCTATAACTGCGGGTGTAATTTTTCAATTTTTTTTTTACGTGTAATATGATCGTTTTTTTAACTGCCTCGTACCCTCCCCTCGTCTGACGTCATCCGCCCACAACCCACCCCTCTCTCTAGTAGTGTGACTTATTTTCGAGTTTCCAACCAGAAGACCCTGGTGACTAGTCACTTCTTGCCAGAGATGGTATCTACCTGTATCAGATGGTATCTGCTTGTATGATATGGTATCTGCTTGTATGAGATGGTATCTGCTTGTATGATATGGTATCTGCTTGTATGAGATTGTATCTGCTTGTATGAGATGGTATCTGCTTGTATGAGATGGTATCTGCTTGTATGAGATAGTATCTGCTTGTATGAGATGGTATCTGCTTGTATGAGATGGTATCTGCTTGTATGAGATGGTATCTGCTTGTATGAGATGGTATCTGTTTGTATGAGATGGTATCTGCTTGTATGAGATGGTATCTGCTTGTATGAGATGGTATCTGCTTGTATGAGATGGTATCTGCTTGTATGAGATGGTATCTGCTTGTATGAGATGGTATCTGCTTGTATGAGATGGTATCTGCTTGTATGAGATGGTATCTGCTTGTATGAGATGGTATCTGCTTGTATGAGATGGTATCTGCTAGCTAGATCTAGACCTAGTTCAGCATATTGTGAAGGCCTCAAGGAAGGTATGGGGAAATAACTGTGATAAAAAGTTTTATTCGGGGAACTACCCGGATTTTTTTTTTACTTCCTGGATTAAAAATTGAAACATAAAAAAAAAGCTTTAGAGATAAGTAAATAGATAGTTTACAAGTATTTTAAAAATGAGCCACACTCACCCATACCATACCTCCCCCTCCCCTCCGCCTACCACACACAGGCTATTAAATAAAAATGTATATTACAATAAATACTTGTCCCATTTTTATTGTGTATAAATAAGAATAATCGGGAATACCCACAACCACAACAGTTGACGTTACTCGGGTGGATTAACTGTCTCAGTGTATGCGGGGACAAGCAACACGCCACTGAACACAGTTCACATAGAGACACCAACGACGTAAGTTGTTTTGTTTAGATGTGTTGTTTAGTCTCGTTAATCCTGCCGTCTTCTCTTTAATCTTTGTGAAACTTCAGTAAACACAGGCGACATCGAAATATCGATATTTACCCATGTGTTTTATTTGAAACACAGTCTGACTTAAAGACATAATTTTTTTAAAGTATTTTGTTCAACCTATGTTACATTTTTAAAATGTCAGCTAGTAGAATATATGTCAGTGTCTGTCACTCTCGTACATTGACACACACACACATATATATATGTCACCGAACCTTGTGACGTCACAATGTGCGTGTTAAACTATTCTCTCCCAGAATGTCACGTGAAATACAAAAATATCTTAAATTCAGCAGTCAAACAATAACTCTATACTCTTTTAATGAAAGGTCGGAGATCTACAAAAAAATTATTAGGTGACATAAGGCCGTCTGTGGTTGTTACTCTCCCCTTCTCCAACGGAGCATGGGGTGATGTCCTAGATTCCCCCCCCCCCAAACGGAGCATGGGGTAATGTCCTAGACCCCCCCCCTCAACGGAGCATGGGGTAATGTGCTAGACCCCCCCTCCCCCCAACGGAGCATGGGGTAATGTCCTAGACCCCCCCTCCCCCCCAACGGAGCATGGGGTAATGTCCTAGACCCAACCCCCCCCCCAACGGAGCATGGGGTAATGTCCTAGACCCAACCCCCCCCCCCAACGGAGCATGGGGTAATGTCCTAGACCCCACCCCCCCCCCCCAACGGAGCATGGGGTAATGTCCTAGACCCCACCCCCCCCAACGGAGCATGGGGTAATGTCCTAGACCCCACCCCCCCCCCCCAACGGAGCATGGGGTGATGTCCTAGCCCCCCCCAAACGGAGAATGGGGTAATGTCCTAGACCCCCCCTCCCCCCAACGGAGCATGGGGTGATGTCCTAGCCCCCCCCCCCCCAAACGGAGCATGGGGTAATGTCCTAGACCCCACCCCCCCCCCCCCAACGGAGCATGGGGTAATGTGCTAGACCCCCAACCCCCCCCCCCCCCCCCCAACGGAGCATGGGGTAATGTCCTAGACTCAACCCCCTCCCCCCAACGAAGCATGGGGCAGTCCTAGACACCCCCATCCCCCAAAGCAGCATGGGGTAATGTCCTAGACTCAACCCCCTCCCCCCAACGGAGCATGGGGTAATGTCCTAGACTCAACCCCCTCCCCCCAACGAAGCATGGGGCAGTCCTAGACACCCCCATCCCCCAAAGCAGCATGGGGTAATGTCCTAGACTCAACCCCCTCCCCCCAACGGAGCATGGGGTAATGTCCTAGACTCAACCCCCTCCCCCCAAAGCAGCATGGGGTAATGTCCTAGACCCCCCCCCCCAACCCTCACCCAATCATAGCCCTAGAGTCCATTTTTGTTTGATCTAGATAGTTCAAGATCTCGTCGGGATGAATATTTTTCTAATTTCACATGGGACATTTTTACAAGGACATTTTTTCCAAGGACATTTGTTTTACGAGGGACATTTTTACCGGGAACTTTTTCACAAGGGACATTTTTCTACGGAACCATTTTTCAGGAGATTTTCAACTCGGAACTACTACCACAATTTGGAGCAATGAAAAGTATTGCTGGCTGGGTCTTACCTGCACTGTTGCTGTTTGCCGCAATACCAGACTCTAAACAGGGAGCTAACGGAGGAAACAATTGCTTAGGTAATTTAGAGTTACTTTATTTAAATCTTGATGAAGAGTAGCACACCTTAGTACATGAGTTGTGTCCCTTTGATGTGTGTTGGGATAATGTCTGAGATAAGTTGGGATAATTTCTGAGACAAGTGGGGATAATGTCTGAGGTGAGTGTGTTGGGATAATGTCTGAAATTAGGGTGTTGGGATAATGTCTGAGATAAGTTAGGATAATGTCTGAGACAAGTTAGGATAATGTCTGAGATGAGGGCGTTGGGATAATGTATGAGATAAGTTGGGATAACGTCTGAGACAAGTTGGGATAATGTCTGGGATGAGGGTTTTGGTATAAAGTCTGAGACAAGTTAGGATAATGTTTGGGATAATGTCTGAGATGAGTGTGTTGGGATAATGTCTGGGATAAGTGTGTTGGGATAGTTTCTGGGATAAGTGTGTTGGGATAATGTCTGAGGTGAGGATGTTGGGATAATGTCTGGGATAAGTGTGTTGGGATAATATCTGAGGTGAGTGTGTTGGGATAATGTCTGGGATAAGTGTGTTGGGATAATATCTGAGGTGAGTGTGTTGGGATAATGTCTGGGATAAGTGTGTTGGGATAATGTCTGGGATAAGTGTGTTGGGAAAGTGTCTGGGATAAGTGTGTTGGGATAGTGTCTGAGGTGAGTGTGTTGGGATAGTGTCTGGGATAAGTGTGTTGGGATAATATCTGAGGTGAGTGTGTTGGGATAATGTCTGGGATAAGTGTGTTGGGATAATGTCTGGGATAAGTGTGTTGGGATAGTGTCTGGGATAAGTGTGTTGGGATAATGTCTGAGATGAGGGTGTTGGGATAGTGTCTGGGATAAGTGTGTTGGGATAATGTCTGAGGTGAGTGTGTAAGGATAATGTCTGGGATAAGTGTGTTGGGATAGTGTCTGGGATAAGTGTGTTGGGATAATGTCTGAGGTGAGGATGTTGGGATAATGTATGGGATAAGTGTGTTGGGATAATGTCTGGGATAAGTGTGTTGGGATAATGTCTGAGGTGAGGATGTTGTGATAATGTCTGGGATAAGTGTGTTGGGATAATGTCTGAGGTGAGTGTGTTGGGATAGTGTCTGGGATAAGTGTGTTGGGATAATATCTGAGGTGAGTGTGTTGGGATAATGTCTGGGATAAGTGTGTTGGGATAATGTCTGGGATAAGTGTGTTGGGATAGTGTCTGGGATAAGTGTGTTGGGATAATGTCTGAGGTGAGGATGTTGTGATAATGTCTGGGATAAGTGTGTTGGGATAATGTCTCAGGTGAGTGTGTTGGGATAGTGTCTGGGATAAGTGTGTTGGGATAATGTCTCAGGTGAGTGTGTTGGGATAGTGTCTGGGATAAGTGTGTTGGGATAATGTCTGAGGTGAGTGTGTTGGGATAGTGTCTGGGATAAGTGTGTTGGGATAATGTCTGAGGTGAGTGTGTTGGGATAATGTCTGGGATAAGTGTGTTGGGATAGTGTCTGGGATAAGTGTGTTGGGATAATGTCTGAGGTGAGTGTGTTGGGATAATGTCTGGGATAAGTGTGTTGGGATAGTGTCTGGGATAAGTGTGTTGGGATAATGTCAGAGGTGAGTGTGTTGGGATAGTGTCTGGGATAAGTGTGTTGGGATAATGTCTGAGGTGAGAGTGTTGGGATAATGTCTGGGATAAGTGTGTTGGGATAATGTCTGAGGTGAGTGTGTTGGGATAATGTCTGGGATAAGTGTGTTGGGTAACCAGACGATTCTCTTCACTAGTGTGTACCTACATAGTGGCTCTACTGGAGCAGTTGACTGAGATAAGGCAGACATCAGTTATAGAGACGTTGGATCAGTTCTGCTCTTACCTCCCCGTGGATGTCCAGCCAATGTGTCACACAGCAATCAAGGCGCTGGGACCGGCGGTCATAAAGCTGTGAGTAGTGGGGGGGGGGGCGGGGGTGGTCATAAAGCTGTGAGTAGTGGGGGGGGGTGTTCATTAAGTTGTGAGTAGTGGGTGTTGGGTGGGAAACAAAATGGGAACACAATTCAGCTGTGTTAACTTTTCGGTTCTTTTAAAACAAGGACGTTAACTCCTGGCGTTTTTATTCTCCGGACAGATTAATTGCTAGGGAGGATCCAAATGTGATCTGCCACGCCCTCAAGATCTGCTACACGGAGCCAGGACAGCCCGTGTGTCGAGGGCCGGCGCCCCCTGGGTCGTCTGGTGTTAAGGTAAGGCAGGTTGTTGGTGCAGCAGAGTTGAGCTGATGGCATGCAATAAATGACTGAAGCGAGTCCTATTACTGGAATCTTTTATTACAGGATCCTGACTTTAAAGCAAAAGTTCTGGCAGCAAGACTTTCTCTCTCCCCAGCAATTGGCCAGGTAAGTCACGTGATACGTGTGTATAGCTAGAATCCCATTGTGTTAACATTATCCTAGTGTGTTGCTAGAATCCCAATATGTTAACATTATCCTAGTGTGTTGCTAGAATCCCATTATGTTAACATTATCCTAGTGTGTTGCTAGAATCCCAAAATGTTAACATTATCCTAGTGTATAGCTAGAATCCCATTGTGTTAACATTATCCTAGTGTGTTGCTAGAATCCCAATATGTTAACATTATCCTAGTGTGTTGCTAGAATCCCAATGTGTTAACATTATCCTAGTGTGTTGCTAGAATCCCAATATGTTAACATTATCCTAGTGTGTTGCTAGAATCCCAATGTGTTAACATTATCCTAGTGTGTTGCTAGAATCCCAATGTGTTAACATTATCCTAGTGTGTTGCTAGAATCCTAATATATTAACATTATCCTAGTGTGTTGCTAGAATCCCAATATGTTAACATTATCCTAGTGTGTTGCTAGAATCCCAATATGTTAACATATCCTAGTGTGTTGCTAGAATCCCAATATGTTAACATTATCCTAGTGTGTTGCTAGAATCCCAATGTGTTAACATTATCCTAGTGTGTTGCTAGAATCCTAATATATTAACATTATCCTAGTGTGTTGCTAGAATCCCAATATGTTAACATTATCCTAGTGTGTTGCTAGAATCCTAATATATTAACATTATCCTAGTGTGTTGCTAGAATCCCAATATGTTAACATTATCCTAGTGTGTTGCTAGAATCCCAATATGTTAACATATCCTAGTGTGTTGCTAGAATCCCAATATGTTAACATTATCCTAGTGTGTTGCTAGAATCCCAATGTGTTAACATTATCCTAGTGTGTTGCTAGAATCCTAATATATTAACATTATCCTAGTGTGTTGCTAGAATCCCAATATGTTAACATTATCCTAGTGTGTTGCTAGAATCCCAATATGTTAACATATCCTAGTGTGTTGCTAGAATCCCAATATGTTAACATTATCCTAGTGTGTTGCTAGAATCCCAATGTGTTAACATTATCCTAGTGTGTTGCTAGAATCCCAATGTGTTAACATTATCCTAGTGTGTTGCTAGAATCCCAATGTGTTAACATTATCCTACTGTTGTGTGTTGATCTCCAGTTGAGTCACCTGAACGTGTTGACCTTCTGCCAGATCCCAGGTGTCAGAGAACTGTGTTACTGGATACACAGGTCAGTGGGTCAAGGTCACCTGATTCAAGGTCGTTGTTAATTCCAGTGGGGGGGGGGGGGGGGTCAACGTTTGAATTAAGTATGTGTGACGTTAGGTTTTTATGAAGCTACTAGAATGTGTGACACTTAGAATGTATGACACTTAGAATGTATGACAATTAGAATGTATGACACTTAGAAAGTATGAAACTTAAAATGTATGACACTTGGAATGTATGACACTTAGAATGTATGACACTTAGAATGTATGACAGAATGTATGACACTTAGAATGTGTGACACTTAAAATTTATGACACTAGACACCCATGACATTTTCCCTGTTCTAGGTTTTCTGACCAGCATGAGCCGGTCAAGGACGATGACCAAGACGGATTTAGCACCATGTTTGTAAGCATTTTCCTTGAATCCTATATTAGTAAAATATTTTTACCTTACATTTAGACCTTTTTATTTATTACTAACCCAATCAACACCACCACTACATCCCACACCACCAGTACACCCCACACCACTAGAACCACCATTAATCCCACCAAACACCAGTGTTAAAACTTGATCTCTGTGCAGGGAATGAGAGGCACAGCCTGGAGAGGCAAGGACTGCTCAGACCAGGCACCGGACATTCACCCTGGGGCCATGTAAGTTATCCAGTCCTGGGGCCATCTAAGTTAGCCAGTCCTGGGGCCATCTAAGTTAGCCACTCCAGGGGCCATGTAAGTTAGCCATTCATGGGGCCATCTAAGTTAGCCAGTCCTGTGGCCATCTAAGTTAGCCAGTCCTGTGGCCATCTAAGTTAGCCAGTCCTGGGGCCATCTAAGTTAGCCAGTCCTGGGGCCATCTAAGTTAGCCAGTCCTGGGGCCATCTAAGTTAGCCAGTCCTGGGGCCATCTAAGTTAGCCAGTCCTGTGGCCATCTAAGTTAGCCACTCCAGGGGCCATGTAAGTTAGCCAGTTCTGGGGCCATGTAAGTTGTCCTGGGGCCATAAGTTAGCCAGTCCAGGGACCATGTAAGTTAGCCAGTCCTGGGGCCATCTAAGTTAGCCACTCCAGGTGCCATCTAAGTTAGCCAGTCCTGGAGCCATCTAAGTTAGCCAGTCCTGGGGCCATCTAAGTTAGCCAGTCCTGGGGCCATCTAAGTTAGCCAGTCCTGGGGCCATCTAAGTTAGCCAGTCCTGGGGCCATCTAAGTTAGCCAGTCCTGTGGCCATCTAAGTTAGCCAGTCCTGGAGCCATCTAAGTTAGCCAGTCCTGGAGCCATCTAAGTTAGCCAGTCCTGGGGCCATCTAAGTTAGCCAGTCCTGGGGCCATCTAAGTTAGCCAGTCCTGGGGCCATCTAAGTTAGCCAGTCCTGTGGCCATCTAAGTTAGCCACTCCAGGGGCCATGTAAGTTAGCCAGTTCTGGGGCCATGTAAGTTGTCCTGGGGCCATAAGTTAGCCAGTCCAGGGACCATGTAAGTTAGCCAGTCCAGGGACCATGTAAGTTAGCCAGTCCTGTGGCCATCTAAGTTAGCCACTCCAGGGGCCATGTAAGTTAGCCAGTCCAGGGGCCATCTAAGTTAGCCAGTCCTGTGGCCATGTAAGTTAGCCAGTTCTGGGGCCATCGAAGTTAGCCAGTCCTGGGGCCATGTAAGTTAGCCAGTCCTGGGGCCATCTAAGTTAGCCAGTCCTGGAGCCATCTAAGTTAGCCAGTCCTGGAGCCATCTAAGTTAGCCAGTCCTGGGGCCATCTAAGTTAGCCAGTCCTGGAGCCATCTAAGTTAGCCAGTCCTGGGGCCATCTAAGTTAGCCAGTTCTGGGGCCATCTAAGTTAGCCAGTCCTGGGGCCATCTAAGTTAGCCAGTCCTGGGGCCATCTAAGTTAGCCAGTCCTGGGGCCATCTAAGTTAGCCAGTCCTGGGGCCATCTAAGTTAGCCAGTCCTGGGGCCATCTAAGTTAGCCAGTCCTGTGGCCATCTAAGTTAGCCACTCCAGGGGCCATGTAAGTTAGCCAGTTCTGGGGCCATGTAAGTTGTCCTGGGGCCATAAGTTAGCCAGTCCAGGGACCATGTAAGTTAGCCAGTCCAGGGACCATGTAAGTTAGCCAGTCCTGTGGCCATCTAAGTTAGCCACTCCAGGGGCCATGTAAGTTAGCCAGTCCAGGGGCCATCTAAGTTAGCCAGTCCTGTGGCCATGTAAGTTAGCCAGTTCTGGGGCCATCGAAGTTAGCCAGTCCTGGGGCCATGTAAGTTAGCCAGTCCTGGGGCCATCTAAGTTAGCCAGTCCTGGAGCCATCTAAGTTAGCCAGTCCTGGAGCCATCTAAGTTAGCCAGTCCTGGGGCCATCTAAGTTAGCCAGTCCTGGAGCCATCTAAGTTAGCCAGTCCTGGGGCCATCTAAGTTAGCCAGTTCTGGGGCCATGTAAGTTAGCCAATCCTGGGGCCATCTAAGTTAGCCAGTCCTGTGGCCATCTAAGTTAGCCAGTTCTGGGGCCATCTAAGTTAGCCAGTTCTGGGGCCATGTAAGTTAGCCAATCCTGGGGCCATCTAAGTTAGCCAGTCCTGTGGCCATCTAAGTTAGCCAGTTCTGTGGCCATCTAAGTTAGCCAGTTCTGGGGCCATGTAAGTTGTCCTGGGACCATGTAAGTTAGCCACTCCAGGGGCCATCTAAGTTAGCCAGTCCTGGAGCCATCTAAGTTAGCCAGTCCTGGAGCCATCTAAGTTAGCCAGTCCTGGAGCCATCTAAGTTAGCCAGTCCTGGAGCCATCTAAGTTAGCCAGTCCTGGGGCCATCTAAGTTAGCCAGTCCTGGGGTCATCTAAGTTAGCCAGTCCTGGGGCCATCTAAGTTAGCCAGTCCTGGGGCCATCTAAGTTAGCCAGTCCTGGGGCCATCTAAGTTAGCCAGTCCTGGGGTCATGTAAGTTAGCCAGTTCTGGGGCCATCTAAGTTAGCCAGTCCTTGGACCATTTAAGTAAGCCAATCATTGTTATCACTACAGTAATCTATTGTAAAAAAAAAGACACCCAGTAAAGAATATTGTGTAACGCACCATGTCATGTCGTGATCCGGTTGACTTCACCAAAGCTCAAATTTCCGATCAACTTCCGGGTGTATGACGTCACGACTGAGTGAAGCTCAGATCTGGTTTCACATGACTGAATCGTTAAGTCAAGTCTGCTGCAGTAGGCTCAATGTCTGCTGCAGTAGGCTCAATGTCTGCTGCAGTAGGCTCAATGTCTGCTGCAGTAGGCTCAATGTTTGCTGCAGTAGGCTCAATGTCTGGTGTGGCTCAATGTCTGGTGTCCTATATATTAACACACACTAAGAAATGTTTTGTCTTGATCTATTTTGTCTTGATCTATTTTGTCTTGATCTATTTTGTCTTGATCTATTTTGTCTTGATCTATTTTGTCTTGATCTATTTTGTCTTGATCTATTTTGTCTTGATCTATTTTGTCTTGATCTATTCTTCATGTTCCCAGTCCACAGAACGGTGACAGGGAAGTTGACTCGAATTGCAATGGAATTTTCGTAAGTCAAGTTTGACTTAGAAATTCTACATAGAAATTAGACTTAGAAATTTGACTTCTAAATTTGACTTAGAGCAGGCATCTAAAAGCACCAGTAGATAATTCTTTAAGCTTGAACAGACATGTAAAAAAGGGGGTGGTGTGGTGAAATAGTAGAGCGTATGACTGTTTAACACGAAAGGTTCGAGTCCTGTGTACGTCCTGTGTCCACCCGGCTCTGACGGGTACCTGATTCACATTTGGGAAAGTAAAGGCGGCTGGGCATTGTGCTGACCACACTATCCCTACATACGCCGAGGTCACAGAAACAGTTGAACTCTACTTCACCTTCCCCGTGGACTATAAGGTTCTAAAAGGGTAATGAATACAGCCAAATGTATGACAATTGTATGGTGCTAGCTGACTTATGTATGACACTTGTATGGTGCTAGCTGACTTATGTATGACACTTGTATGGTGGTAGCTGACTTATGTATGACACTTGTGCTAGCTGACTTATGTATGACACTTGTATGGTGCTAGCTGACTTATGTGTGACACTTGTATGGTGCTAGCTGACTTATGTATGACACTTGTATGGTGCTAGCTGACTTATGTATGACACTTGTATGGTGCTAGCTGACTTATGTATGACACTTGTATGGTGCTAGCTGACTTATGTATGACACTTGTATGGTGCTAGCTGACTTATGTATGACACTTGTATGGTGCTAGCTGACTTATGTGTGACACTTGTATGGTGCTAGCTGACTTATGTATGACACTTGTATGGTGCTAGCTGACTTATGTGTGACACTTGTATGGTGCTAGCTGACTTATGTATGACACTTGTAAGGTGCTAGCTGACTTATGTATGACACTTGTAAGGTGGTAGCTGACTTATGTATGACACTTGTATGGTGCTAGCTGACTTATGTATGACACTTGTATGGTGCTAGCTGACTTATGTATGACACTTGTATGGTGCTAGCTGACTTATGTATGACACTTGTATGGTGCTAGCTGACTTATGTATGACACTTGTATGGTGCTAGCTGACTTATGTATGACACTTTTAAGGAGGTAGCTGACTTATGTATGACACTTGTATGGTGCTAGCTGACTTATGTATGACACTTGTATGGTGCTAGCTGACTTATGTATGACACTTGTATGGTGCTAGCTGACTTATGTGTGACACTTGTATGGTGCTAGCTGACTTATGTATGACACTTGTATGGTGCTAGCTGACTTATGTATGACACTTGTATGGTGCTAGCTGACTTATGTATGACACTTTTAAGGAGGTAGCTGACTTATGTATGACACTTGTATGGTGCTAGCTGACTTATGTATGACACTTGTATGGTGCTAGCTGACTTATGTATGACACTTGTATGGTGCTAGCTGACTTATGTATGACACTTGTATGGTGCTAGCTGACTTATGTATGACACTTGTATGGTGCTAGCTGACTTATGTATGACACTTGTATGGTGCTAGCTGACTTATCTGAATGTCACCTGACATTATTTGAACTTTGCTCCCACCAATAAAGGGAGTGAACAACCTGACCCAACAAAACTACGAAGACGAACTGTGTGGCTCATCTCAGCCCAGGGGAGTTGTCGTTCTTGGGGATTCTATCAGCGCCCACTTCCACTTGCCCAGACAGTGGTTTGATGCTACACTCATTTCTAAGGTAGCTTTTTACAAGCTTTTAGTGGTTTGATGCTACACTCATTTCTAAGGTAGCTTTTTACAAGCTTTCAGTGGTTTGATGCTACACTCATTTCTAAGGTAGTTTTTTACAAGCTTTTAGTGGTTTGATGCTACACTCATTTCTAAGGTAGTTTTTTACAAGCTTTTAGTGGTTTGATGCTACACTCATTTCTAAGGTAGTTTTTTACAAGATTTTAGTGGTTTGATGCTACTCTCATTTCTAAGGTAGTTTTTTACAAGCTTTCAGTGGTTTGATGCTACACTCATTTCTAAGGTAGTTTTTTACAAGCTTTTGGTGGTTTGATGCTACACTCATTTCTAAGGTAGCTTTTTACAAGCTTTTAGTGGTTTGATGCTACACTCATTTCTAAGGTAGTTTTTTACAAGATTTTAGTGGTTTGATGCTACTCTCATTTCTAAGGTAGTTTTTTACAAGCTTTTAGTGGTTTGATGCTACACTCATTTCTAAGGTAGTTTTTTACAAGCTTTTAGTGGTTTGATGCTACACTCATTTCTAAGGTAGCTATTTACCAGTTTTTAGTGGTTTGATGCTACACTCATTTCTAAGGTAGCTATTTACAAGTTTTTAGTGGTTTGATGCTACACTCATTTCTAAGGTAGCTTTTTACAAGTTTTTAGTGGTTTGATGCTACACTCATTTCTAAGGTAGCTTTTTACAAGTTTTTAGTGGTTTGATGCTACACTCATTTCTAAGGTAGTTTTTTACAAGTTTTTAGTGGTTTGATGCTACACTCATTTCTAAGGCAGTTTTTTTACAAGATTTTAGTGGTTTGATGCTACAATCATTTCTAAGGTAGCTATTTACTAGTTTTTAAGTAGTTCGCAACATCTGTTAGTTTGTGGGTTTGTGGCAAATCTTGTAACTCAATTTTGACCCACTTCTAATGCAGCGATTTCGTTCTAACTTTCCAGATACGTCCCACTTCCATGACAATCAAGTTTTTTAATTTAATTAGATACTTAATTAATGATTAAAAATTAAATAAACGGGTATGAAATTAAGGGGGATAAAAAAATTAAGTCACTCGATAGATTACCATACTTAATAACAGAAGACGCGACCACTCTAACAGTCTGATGAGCTGTGGTTCACACACCACACGACCACCCTAACGGTGAGCTGTGGTTCACACACCATAGCAATTTCGTTCAAATTATCCAGATGCGCTTTTCTTACATGTGATATTTATTTTTAATCAATTAGATGTTAAATGAGTCGTTAAAAATTAACGAAACGATTTAGAAACAAAAGGGAGATAGAAATATTCATTACAGTAGCAATCGCTTGACCACTTGCTTATCCAGTAAGCCTTATATATTTATTTGCGCGCATCTAAGTTAGGTGCTTAAAGGACAATATGTGCATGCATCAGAGACTCTTCTGAATGCATGGTTAAAATAAGCAAGTAGCCACTTACATCAAATATAACTCACGAAATGTCACCTAATTAAAATTTTGTCTAGTCCATTTTATAACCCACGTAATATCGCCCAGTTAAAGTTTGCCATGTTGCCCTTATTATGGTTGGGTTTTTTCAGGATTCATTTAAAAACTTGCTGACGATTTTGGAAAATGAATTTGATTGGCCGTCCATGTCCACAATGACAGGTATCTACACATTTCCATAGCAACACAACTCTACAGGTTTCCATACCAACACAACCCTACAGGTTTACATAGCAACACAACTCTACAGGTTTCCATACCAACACAACCCTACAGGTTTACATAGCAACACAACTCTACAGGTTTACATAGCAACACAACTCTACAGGTTTAAATACCAACACAACTCTACAGGTTTACATACCAACACAACTCTACAGGTTTACATAGCAACACAACTCTACAGGTTTCCATAGCAACACAACTCTACAGGTTTCCATAGCAACACAACTCTACAGGTTTACATAGCAACACAACTCTACAGGTTTCCATAGCAACACAACTCTGCAGGTTTACATAGCAACACAACTCTACAGGTTTACATAGCAACACAACTCTACAGGTTTACATAGCAACACAACTCTACAGGTTTCCATAGCAACACAACTCTACAGGTTTAAATACCAACACAACTCTACAGGTTTAAATACCAACACAACTCTACAGGTTTAAATACCAACACAACTCTACAGGTTTAAATACCAACACAACTCTACAGGTTTAAATACCAACACAACTCTACAGGTTTAAATACCAACACAACTCTACAGGTTTACATAGCAACACAACTCTACAGGTTTACATAGCAACACAACTCTACAGGTTTCCATAGCAACACAACTCTACAGGTTTACATAGAAACACAACTCTACAGGTTTACATAGCAACACAACTCTACAGGTTTAAATACCAACACAACTCTACAGGTTTCCATAGCAACACAACTCTACAGGTTTACATAGCAACACAACTCTACAGGTTTCCATAGCAACACAACTCTACAGGTTTCCAGAGCAACACAACTCTACAGGTTTACATAGCAACACAACTCTACAGGTTTACATAGCAACACAACTCTACAGGTTTACATAGCAACACAACTCTACAGGTTTCCATAGCAACACAACTCTACAGGTTTACATAGAGTCAAATACCAACACAACTCTACAGGTTTAAATACCAACACAACTCTACAGGTTTAAATACCAACACAACTCTACAGGTTTAAATACCAACACAACTCTACAGGTTTAAATACCAACACAACTCTACAGGTTTAAATACCAACACAACTCTACAGGTTTAAATACCAACACAACTCTACAGGTTTCCATAGCAACACAACTCTACAGGTTTACATAGCAACAAAACTCTACAGGTTTACATAGCAACACAACTCTACAGGTTTAAATACCAACACAACTCTACAGGTTTAAATACCAACACAACTCTACAGGTTTAAATACCAACACAACTCTACAGGTTTACATAGAGTCAAATACCTGTCGCTTATTTTACATACAGCTTTCTGTATTGCTAGGTTATGGGGAGAACCTCTGGCCCGAGGCAATTACAGGTGCAGTAGATTCTATCTACAAGAGGCTAAGAGAAAGGAACCGTTGTAATCACAGAGACTACCAGAACTTGGCAGCAAATGGTGAGTTATCACACAGCAGCCAATGGTGAGTTATCACACAGCAGCCAATGGTGAGTTATCACACAGCAGCTAATGGTGAGTTATCACACAGCAGCTAATGGTGAGTTATCATACAGCAGCTGGTGAGTTATCACACAGCAGCTAATGGTGAGTTATCACACAGCAGCTAATGGTGAGTTATCACACAGCAGCTAATGGTGAGTTATCACACAGCAGCTAATGGTGAGTTATCACACAGCAGCTAATGGTGAGTTATCACACAGCAGCTAATGGTGAGTTATCACACAGCAGCTAATGGTGAGTTATCACACAGCAGCTAATGGTGAGTTATCACACAGCAACTAGCATCTCACTCACATTCACAGTTACCATTTCCCTCAAAGTAATGCATGTACTATAACGTCATACAACTAGATATCATATTATCATGACGTCATATAACTACACGTCCCATGTATCATGACGTCGTATCTAAGTTTACTGTATGTAGTATGACGTCATGTAATCTTGACTCACCTGTCTTCCTCAGGTGTCAGCTCATGGAAAGTCATGAAAGCTGCGAAAACGTGAGTGTCACCTAACGTCTCTCACTCATTCACTGTCTTACCTCTAGGTTGCCCATTATGTCCTGTAGGTTGTCCATTATGTCCTGTAGGTTGTCCATTATGTCCTGTAGGTTGTCCATTATGTCCTGTAGGTTGTCCATTATGTCCTATAGGTTGTCCATTATGTCCTTATGTTATCCATTATGTCCTGTAGGTTGTCCATTATGTCCTGTAGGTTGCCCATTATGTCCTGTAGGTTGTCCATTATGTCCTGTATGTTGTCCATTATGTTCTTTAGGTTGTGAATTATGTCCTATAGGTTGTCCATTATGTCCTTATGTTATCCATTATGTCCTGTAGGTTGTCCATTATGTCCTGTAGGTTGTCCATTATGTCTTGTAGGTTGTCCATTTTGTCCTGTACGTTGTCCATTATGTCCTGTAGGTTGTCCATTATGTCCTGTAGGCTGTCCATTATGTTCTTTAGGTTGTCCATTCTGTCCTGTAGGTTGTCCATTATGTCCTCTAGGTTGTCCATTATGTCCTGTAGGTTGTCCATTTTGTCCTGTAGGTTGCCCATTATATCCTGTAGGTTGTCCATTATGTCCTGTAGGTTGTCCATTATGTCCTGTAGGTTGTCCATTATGTCCTGTAGGTTGTCCATTATGTCCTGTAGTTTGTCCATTATGTCCTGTATGTTGTCCATTATGTCCTTATGTTGTCCATTATGTCCACTATTAACCTGACGTTATGTCCTACAGGCTGTCTAGACATGCAGGAAAGGACCAGCCTTTGCTTGTCTATTTTGCCTTGGCTGGAAACGACGTCTGTACCAGGTATAAGAGAAACAGCTGAATAGATGTCACGGTGACATTTAGATGTCACTTTAGTGCGCATGCGTAAATTTGTTTATTTTACGTTTACATTCGAAGCTCACAAAACTTGACACTATTGGGGCATTTTAGAGATGACGTTACTTGACACGACAATTTAAACTTGACATTACTGGCCATGACAGTTTAGAACATGACATTACTGGCCATGACAATTTGGAACTTAACCACGATAACGATATTGTCCTCAGCCGTTGGAATTCTGTGGATGATATGACGTCACCAGAAGAGATGTACAACAACACAATGGCGACACTAGATCTCCTGGTAAGTTCAGGTGCAACAACTCTTGCCACAACCTGCCTCAGGTGCAGCAACTCTTGTCACACAACTGTCTCAGGTGCAACAACTCTTGTCACACACCTGCATCAGGTGCAGCAACTCTTGTCACACATCTGCCTCAGGTGCAACAACTCTTGTCACACAACTGTCTCAGGTGCAACAACTCTTGTCACACACCTGCCTCAGGTGCAACAACTCTTGTCACACACCTGCCTCAGGTGCAACAACTCTTGTCACACACCCACACACCTGTCTCAGGTGCAACAACTCTTGTCACACACCTGCCTCAGGTGCAACAACTCTTGTCACACACCCACACACCTGTCTCAGGTGCAACAACTCTTGTCACACACTTGCCTCAGGTGCAACAACTCTTGTCACACACCTGCCTCAGGTGCAACAACTCTTGTCACAACCTGTCTCAGGTGCAACAACTCTTGTCACAACCTGTCTCAGGTGCAACAACTCTTGTCACACACCCACACACCTGTCTCAGGTGCAACAACTCTTGTCACACACCCACACACCTGTCTCAGGTGCAACAACTCTTGTCACACACCTGCATCAGGTGCAACAACTCTTGTCACACATCTGTCTCAGGTGCAACAACTCTTGTCACACACCTGCCTCAGGTGCAACAACTCTTGTCACACACCCACACACCTGCCTCAGGTGCAACAACTCTTGTCACACACCTGCCTCAGGTGCAACAACTCTTGTCACACACCTGTCTCAGGTGCAACAACTCTTGTCACACACCCACACACCTGTCTCAGGTGCAACAACTCTTGTCACACACCTGCATCAGGTGCAACAACTCTTGTCACACACCTGTCTCAGGTGCAACAACTCTTGTCACACACCTGCCTCAGGTGCAACAACTCTTGTCACACACCCACACACCTGTCTCAGGTGCAACAACTCTTGTCACACACCTGCATCAGGTGCAACAACTCTTGTCACACATCTGTCTCAGGTGCAACAACTCTTGTCACACACCTGCCTCAGGTGCAACAACTCTTGTCACACACCCACACACCTGTCTCAGGTGCAACAACTCTTGTCACACACTTGCCTCAGGTGCAACAACTCTTGTCACACACCTGCCTCAGGTGCAACAACTCTTGTCACCCACCTGCATCAGGTGCAACAACTCTTGTCACACAACTGTCTCAGGTGCAACAACTCTTGTCACACACCTGCATCAGGTGCAACAACTCTTGTCACCCACCTGCATTAGGTGCAACAAGTCTTGTCACACAACTGTCTCAGGTGCAACAACTCTTGTCACACACCCACACACCTGTCTCAGGTGCAACAATTCTTGTCACACACCTGCCTCAGGTGCAACAACTCTTGTCACACAACTGTCTCAGGTGCAACAACTCTTGTCATACACCTGCATCAGGTGCAACAACTCTTGTCACACAACTGTCTCAGGTGCAACAACTCTTGTCACACACCTGCATCAGGTGCAACAACTCTTGTCACCCACCTGCATTAGGTGCAACAAGTCTTGTCACACAACTGTCTCAGGTGCAACAACTCTTGTCACACACCTGCCTCAGGTGCAACAACTCTTGTCACAACCTGTCTCAGGTGCAACAACTCTTGTCACCCACCCACACACCTGTCTCAGGTGCAACAACTCTTGTCAGACACCTGCATCAGGTGCAACAACTCTTGTCACACACCTGCATCAAGTGCAACAACTCTTGTCACACACCTGCATCAAGTGCAACAACTCTTGTCACACACCTGCATCAAGTGCAACAACTCTTGTCACACACCTGCATTAGGTGCAACAACTCTTGTCACACACCTGCATTAGGTGCAACAACTCTTGTGATGTAGATGGTAATTCCAGTTTCAAGACAAATTTTGTTAATTAAAAATAAAAGTTACTAAAACATTAAATCCTATGGACATACAACCAGTCATGTGTACTCTCAGGGGCAGACTCTCCCAAACAACAGTCACGTGATACTGGTGAGCCTATTGGACGGGGGCGTCATCTACGACATCATGGCGACCAGAGTACATCCGGCGACAACATACTGGGGCACGTTCACATACGGGGATCTATACCAGTATTACGAATGTTTACAGGTAGTTCAAACCATTCGTTTTGTCCATGACTCCAACTATTCTTTTAGTCGATGACTCCAACTATTCGTTTTGTCCATGACTCCAACTATTCGTTTTGTCCATGACTCCAACTATTCGTTTTGTCCATGACTCCAACTATTCGTTTTGTCCATGACTCCAACTATTCGTTTTGTCCATGACTCCAACTATTCGTTTTGTCCATGACTCCAACTATTCGTTTTGTCCATGACTCCAACTATTCGTTTTGTCCATGACTCCAACTATTCGTTTTGTCCATGACTCCAACTATTCGTTTTGTCCATGACTCCAACTATTCGTTTTGTCCATGACTCCAACTATTCGTTTTGTCCATTAACGGCTGTTTCTGTTTCTCAGATGACATTGTGTGTCGGGTGGTTGAACGCCAACAAAACGATACGGGATATGACGAGCAAGGTCAGTGGCCGGACAAGTTGATGTGTGGGTCATTGTGTGGGACACTCTTGTGTGTGGGACACTGTGGTGTGTGGGGCAGAGTGGTGTGTGGGACACTGGTGTGTGGGACACTGTGGTGTGTGGGACACTGGTGTGTGGGACACTTATGGGTGGGACACTGTGGTGTGTGGGACACTGGTGTGTGGGACACTGGTGTGTGGGACAATGGTGTGTGGGACAATGGTGTGTGGGACACTATGGTGTGTGGGACACTGTGATGTGTGGGACACTCGTGTGTGTGGGGCACTGTGGTGTGTGGGACACTGGTGTGTGGTAAACAAAGCTGGTGTTGAAGATAAAATACCACTACAACCACTCCCCGCTAACAAAGCTTGTGTTGAAGATAAAATACCACTACAACCACTCCCCGCTAACAAAGCTGGTGTTGAAGATAAAATACCACTACAACCACTCCCCGCTAACAAAGCTGGTGTTGAAGATAAAATACCACTACAACCACTCCCCGCTAACAAAGCTTGTGTTGAAGATAAAATACCACTACAACCACTCCCCGCTAACAAAGCTGGTGTTGAAGATAAAATACCACTACAACCACTCCCTCCTAACAAAGCTGGTGTTGAAGATAAAATACCACTACAACCACTACCTCCTATCAAAGCTTGTGTTGACGATAAAATACCACTACAACCACTCCCCACTAACAAAGCTTGTGTTGACGATAAAATACCACTACAACCACTACCTCCTAACAAAGCTTGTGTTGAAGATAAAATACCACTACCACCACTCCCTCCTATCAAAGCTTGTGTTGACGATAAAATACCACTACAACCACTCCCCGCTAACAAAGCTTGTGTTGACGATAAAATACCACTACAACCACTCCCCACTAACAAAGCTTGTGTTGAAGATAAAATACCACTACAACCACACCCTCCTAACAAAGCTTGTGTTGACCATAAAATACCACTACAACCACTCCCCGCTAACAAAGCTTGTGTTGACGATAAAAAACCACTACAACCACTCCCCACTAACAAAGCTTGTGTTGAAGATAAAATACCACTACAACCACACCCTCCTAACAAAGCTTGTGTTGACCATAAAATACCACTACAACCACACCCTCCTAACAAAGCTTGTGTTGAAGATAAAATACCACTACAACCACTCCCCGCTAACAAAGCTTGTGTTGAAGATAAAATACCACTACAACCACTCCCCGCTAACAAAGCTTGTGTTGACGATAAAATACCACTACAACCACTCCCCGCTAACAAAGCTTGTGTTGAAGATAAAATACCACTACAACCACTCCCCGCTAACAAAGCTTGTGTTGACCATAAAATACCACTACAACCACTCCCCGCTAACAAAGCTGGTGTTGAAGATAAAATACCACTACAACCACTCCCCGCTAACAAAGCTTGTGTTGAAGATAAAATACCACTACAACCACTCCCCGCTAACAAAGCTGGTGTTGAAGATAAAATACCACTACAACCACTCCCTCCTAACAAAGCTGGTGTTGAAGATAAAATACCACTACAACCACTCCCTCCTATCAAAGCTTGTGTTGACGATAAAATACCACTACAACCACACCCTCCTATCAAAGCTTGTGTTGACGATAAAATACCACTACAACCACACCCTCCTAACAAAGCTTGTGTTGACGATAAAATACCACTACAACCACTACCTCCTAACAAAGCTTGTGTTGAAGATAAAATACCACTACCACCACTCCCTCCTATCAAAGCTTGTGTTGACGATAAAATACCACTACAACCACTCCCCGCTAACAAAGCTTGTGTTGACGATAAAATACCACTACAACCACTCCCCACTAACAAAGCTTGTGTTGAAGATAAAATACCACTACAACCACACCCTCCTAACAAAGCTTGTGTTGACCATAAAATACCACTACAACCACTCCCCGCTAACAAAGCTTGTGTTGACGATAAAAAACCACTACAACCACTCCCCACTAACAAAGCTTGTGTTGAAGATAAAATACCACTACAACCACACCCTCCTAACAAAGCTTGTGTTGACCATAAAATACCACTACAACCACACCCTCCTAACAAAGCTTGTGTTGAAGATAAAATACCACTACAACCACTCCCCGCTAACAAAGCTTGTGTTGAAGATAAAATACCACTACAACCACTCCCCGCTAACAAAGCTTGTGTTGACGATAAAATACCACTACAACCACTCCCCGCTAACAAAGCTTGTGTTGAAGATAAAATACCACTACAACCACTCCCCGCTAACAAAGCTTGTGTTGACCATAAAATACCACTACAACCACTCCCCGCTAACAAAGCTTGTGTTGACCATAAAATACCACTACAACCACTCCCTCCTAACAAAGCTTGTGTTGACGATAAAATACCACTACAACCACTCCCCGCTAACAAAGCTTGTGTTGACCATAAAATACCACTACAACCACTCCCCGCTAACAAAGCTTGTGTTGACCATAAAATACCACTACAACCACTCCCTCCTAACAAAGCTTGTGTTGAAGATAAAATACCACTTCAACCACTCCCTCCTAACAAAGCTTGTGTTGAAGATAAAATACCACTACAACCACTCCCTCCTAACAAAGCGTGTGTTGACGATAAAATATCCCCCACAGAGAGCCGAACAACTCACCGCTGTTCTCCAAAAAATAGTGCAGGTCCACAAGGGACGCTACCCCAACTTTCAGATGCATTTCCTGGAGTTCAATCATCACGAAGGTAAGTCACAACTGACTTTTAGTTGTCACAACTGACTTTTAGCTGCCACACCTGATTTTTAGTTTCACGTCTGTGTTGTAACTGTCACTGACATTTTAAAGCTGTCCCATATATATAGTAATAGCTGTCTTGTAACTGTAAACATGTCTAGTAACTATCACAACTAGCATATGTTTTTCAAATACTCGCTAGTTCTCGTTTATCTAACTTCTCTTGTTATATTCGTTAGTTCTCCTGTTATGTTCGCTAGTTCTCATGTATATAACTTCTCCTGTTATATTCGCTAGTTCTCGTGTATCTAACTTCTGCTGTTATATTCCTATTACCACATGTGTAGTGTTGAAAAAGTGGCTGGACAGTGGGAGAGAAGCGTGGGAAATGATGGACGCCATTGACTCTTTTCACACTAGCCAGGTACGTCAGTTGTGATACTTTTACAGGTGGTTAGATACAGGTGGTTAGTCACAGGTGGTTAGATACAGGTGGTTAGACAAAGATGGTTAGTCACACGTGGTTAGATACAGGTGGTTACTCACAGGTGGTTAGATACAGGTGGTTAGTCACAGGTGGTTAGATACAGGTGGTTAGTCACAGTTGGTTAGATACAGGTGGTTAGATACAGGTGGTTAGACAAAGATGGTTAGTCACACGTGGTTAGATACAGGTGGTTAGTCACAGGTGGTTAGATACAGGTGGTTAGACAAAGATGGTTAGTCACACGTGGTTAGATACAGGTGGTTAGTCACAGGTGGTTAGATACAGGTGGTTAGATACAGGTGGTTAGATACAGGTGGTTAGACAAAGGTGGTTAGCCACATGTGGTTAGATAAAGGTGGTTAGATAAAGGTGGTTAGATACAGGTGGTTATATACAGGTGGTTATATACAGATGGTTAGACAAAGGTGGTTAGATAAAGGTGGTTAGTCACAGGTGGTTAGATACAGGTGGTTAGTCACAGGTGGTTAGATACAGATGGTTAGTTACAGGTGGTTAGTCACAGGTGGTTAAATACAGGTGGTTAGATACAGGTGGTTAGATACAGGTGGTTAGATACAGGTGCTTAGTCACAGGTGGTTAGATACAGATGGTTAAATACAGGTGGTTAGATACAGGTGGTTAGATACAGGTGGTTAGTCCTTGGTGGTTAGATAGTGATTCACCTAAATAGTTTAGTACAATTAGTCAAGATTATTGAGTTTAATTTACTAAACAGTTTAGAACATTTTCTTTTAAATATATTTACCTAGATAGTTGAGCTTAATTTATTTAGATCCTTGAACTAAAATTACTTGTTAACTGAACTTAATTCTAATTGATATTTAAGCTTATTAATTAATTAAATTCATCTAGCTAGTTGATCTAAACCTAGATAATTTAGCTAAATTGACCTAGATAACTGAGCTAAATTGGCCTAGAGAGCTGAGCTAAATTGACCTAGAGAGATGAGTTAAATTGAGCTAGATAACTGAGCTAAATTGACCTAGAGAGCTGAGCTAAATTGACCTAGATAGCTGAGCTAAATTGACCTAGATAACTGAGCTAAATTGAGCTAGAGAGTTGAGCTAAATGTAGCGTGTACTCACCAGGACTTCCAGGCCTTCAGTGCTGAGCACATCTGGAACCAGACGCTGGCCAGTTTCCCACAGGCACTGGGGCCAGTCAACCCACACAACGATAGGATAGTCCAGTTGTTTGGTCAGCAAGGTGGACATTAGCAGTGGACATTAGCCGTGGACATGAGGAGTGGACATGAGCAGTGGACATTAGCCGTGGACATGAGGAGTGGACATGAGCAGTGGACATGAGCAGTGGACATGAGCAGTGGACATGAGCAGTGGACATGAGCAGTGGACATTAGCAGTGGACATGAGCAGTGGACATGAGCAGTGGACATGAGCAGTGGACATGAGCAGTGGACATGAGGAGTGGACATGAGCAGTGGACATGAGCAGTGGACATGAGCAGTGGACATGAGCAGTGGACATGAGCAGTGGACATGAGCAGTGGACATGAGCAGTGGACATGAGCAGTGGACATGAGGAGTGGACATGAGCAGTGGACATGAGCAGTGGACATGAGCAGTGGACATGAGGAGTGGACATGAGCAGTGGACATGAGCAGTGGACATGAGGAGTGGACAATGAGCAGTGGACATGAGCAGTGGACATGAGCACAATGAAAGTCTTTCAACCTTCATTTAACACCGCAGATCAGATGTGTGTCTTTGATTCATGCATTCTACCATTTTAAAATTTGGGGGAGGGTGTGGATACCGCCCTTTTCTCTCCCGCCCCCTAATTTTAGAGAAACCACGTTTTTGAAAAGATATCTCATTTATTTTTTGTTTGTAAAATAAAACATTTTACATTATAATAAACTGCCATTTTTTTTTTGTAAAGAAAAATAATTTTATGAAATGAGAAATGTTTTAATTGTGCACGAGAGCAGCAATCAGTCCAAACTCTCAGACAATCCCAGACAGTGTAAACTTCAGTCCAAACTCTCAGACAATCCCAAACTGTGTAAACATCAGTCCAAACTCTCAGACAATCCCAGACAGTGTAAACTTCAGTCCAAACTCTCAGACAATCCCAAACTGTGTAAACTTCAGTCCAAACTCTCAGACAATCCCAAACAGTGTAATCATCAGTCCAAACTCTCAGACAATCCCAAACTGTGTAAACTTCAGTCCAAACTCTCAGACAATCCCAAACAGTGTAAACTTCAGTCCAAACTCTCAGACAATCCCAAACTGTGTAAACTTCAGTCCAAACTCTCAGACAATCCCAAACAGTGTAAACTTCAGTCCAAACTCTCAGACAATCCCAAACTGTGTAAACTTCAGTCCAAACTCTCAGACAATCCCAAACAGTGTAAACTTCAGTCCAAACTCTCAGACAATCCCAAACTGTGTAAACTTCAGTCCAAACTCTCAGACAATCCCAAACAGTGTAAACTTCAGTCCAAACTCTCAGACAATCCCAAACAGTGTAAACTTCAGTCCAAACTCTCAGACAATCCCAAACTGTGTAAACTTCAGTCCAAACTCTCAGACAATCCCAAACAGTGTAAACTTCAGTCCAAACTCTCAGACAATCCCAAACTGTGTAAACTTCAGTCCAAACTCTCAGACAATCCCAAACAGTGTAAACTTCAGTCCAAACTCTCAGACAATCCCAAACTGTGTAAACTTCAGTCCAAACTCTCAGACAATCCCAAACAGTGTAAACTTCAGTCCAAACTCTCAGACAATCCCAAACAGTGTAAACTTCAGTCCAAACTCTCAGACAATCCCAAACAGTGTAAACTTCAGTCCAAACTCTCAGACAATCCCAAACAGACATGTCGTGTCTGACAGTTGACGTGACATGTCGTGTCTGACAGTTGACGTGACACATGTCGTGTCTGGCAGTTGACGTGACACATGTCGTGTGTCACGTCAACCGTCACACAAGACATGTGTCACGTCAACCGTCAGACAAGACATGTGTCACGTCAACCGTCAGACAAGACATGTGTCACGTCAACCGTCAGACAAGACATGTGTCACGTCAACTGTCAGACACGACATGTCACGTCAAATGTCACACACGACATGTCACGTCAACTGTCATACAAGTCTCTATGACAAACAGCTTTTACTTCGAATCGTCTGATATAATGGCAGGACAATTTGAGCATAGAATTTCATCCATGATGTTGGGCTCAGATATTTGAAATGTTTAGCTCCAAATGTTTAGCTCCAAATGTTTAGCTCCAAATGTTTAGCTCCAAATGTTTTGCTCCAAATGTTTCACGATTCACCATGCATTTGTCTGCATTATTTGATTATTTATAATCCACGGATTTGATTTATTCTAAATTATTTTTGTTTGTTCGTAATTTTTAAGTTATCACGCCTCCTACAAACACAAACATACAGTAAAAACACCACAAACACAAACATACAGTAAAAACACCACAAACACAAACATACAGTAAAAACACCACAAACACAAACATACAGTAAAAACACCACAAACACAAACATACAGTAAAAACACCACAAACACAAAGATACAGTAAAAACACCACAAACACAAACATACAGTAAATACAAGACAAACAAAAGCTTCAATTTTATTTCTTTATTGGCTCGTCATCGTCTGCACGTAGACAGGAAACAAAAGATGAGCAGGGCCAACTTGGAGCCATCGGAGGGCCTAACAGGGCCATCACGAGCAGATAGACGGGTGTCTGCAGCAGGCGATTACCCTGTCATCACCTGTCAGACTTGCTGCAGCGACAACATCCAACTGGAGGAGGGCAGTGCAACTCTTGATTAAGTTGACTATGGCTTTGGCGATGACTTCAAGTTTTACAGCCAGTTCCACTTTAACGCACGCAAGATTCGCGCCTACTATGTTAATGTTTACCAGCAGGCCTACGGCGATATCAACCAGCAATTTTACAATTAGTCCAATTAATTCGCCCCCTGCGAGACCAACACTCAACAGGGTTTTCACGGTAACTGTTACACTGCCCAACAAGGTATCCAATAGTCCTCCACCTGTTAAGCCAGGTATCAATCCCAGAATACGTTTCTCCTCATTTTTCTCAATGGCGACTTCCGTGTCTGCATACACACAGACTACAAGTAGCAGGACGAGGCAGAAGGTGCGCATTTTGTTTTGCTATCTGATGGTAGCAGAGGTAGCCTGAATGGTATCAGTAGTTGGTGGCAGTAGAGGTTGACTGGATGGTAGCAGAGGTAGCCTGACCAGAACGGAGTGGAGATATATAGTCTAGAGGTGTCATTTAATATCATTTGAGCGTAATCCTCGTCATCCCACCGACTAACACCCGCCTCTTGATGAAACAATGGCCGCTAATCCCATGGTGCACAAATACGTTGTTTCTATGTACTAAACCACTCATGAGTGTACACCCACCCTATCAAGTATGTATACTGAATCTGTCAAGTGTGTACACTGAATCTGTCAAGTGTGTACACTCATTTTGTCAAGTATGTACACTCACATTGTCAAGTGTGTACATCCACCTTGTCAAGTATGTACACTGATTCTGTCAAGTGTGTACACCCACGTTGTCAAGTATGTACACTCACCCTGTCAAGTGTGTACAGTGATCCTGTCAAGTGTGTACACTGATTCTGTCAAGTGTGTACACTCACCTTGTCAAGTATGTACACTGATCCTGTCAAGTGTGTACACTCATTTTGTCAAGTATGTACACTCACATTGTCAAGTGTGTACACTGATCCTGTCAAGTGTGTACACTCATTTTGTCAAGTATGTACACTCACATTGTCAAGTGTGTACATCCACCTTGTCAAGTGTGTATACCCATCTTGTCAAGTGTGTACACTGATCCTGTCAAGTGTGTACCTCACCTTGTCAAGTGTGACAGGTTGCCTGTACACACTTTACAGAATCAGCATACACACTTCACAGAATCAGTGTAAACACCTGACATGATCAGTATACACACTTGACATGATGAGTGTACACACTTGACAAGGTGAGTGTACACACTTGACAAAGTGAGTATACACACTTGACAGATTCAGTGTACATACTTGACAAGGTGAATGTATACATTTGACAGAATCAGTGTACACAGTGGACAGAATCAGTGTACACACTTGACAGGATCACTGTACACACTTGAGAGGGTGAGTGTACATACTTGACAGGTTTGCTGTACACACTTGACATAATCAGTGTACATACTTGACAATGTGGGTGTACACACTTGACATAATCAGTGTACAAACTTGACAAGGTGGGTGTACACACTTGACAGAATCAGTGTACACACTTAACAGGATTAGTATACACACTTGACAGGATCAATGTACACACTTGACAATGTGAGTGTACATACTTGACAAAATGAGTGTACACACTTGACAGGATCAGTGTACACACTTGACAATGTGAGTGTACATACTTGACAAAATGAGTGTACACACTTGACAGGATCAGTGTACATACTTGACAAGGTGAGTGTACACACTTGACAGAATCAGTGTACACACTTGACAGGATCACTGTACACACTTGACAGGGTGAGTGTACATACTTGACAACGTGGGTGTACACACTTGACAGAATCAGTGTACATACTTGACAAGGTGGATGTACACACTTGACAATGTGAGTGTACATACTTGACAAAATGAGTGTACACACTTGACATGATCAATGTACACACTTGACAATGTGAGTGTACATACTTGACAAAATGAGTGTACACACTTGACAGATTCAGTGTACACACTTGACAGATTCAGTATACATACTTGATAGGGTGGGTATACACTCATGAGTGGTTTAGTACATAGAAACAACGTATTTGTGCACCATGGGATTAGCGGCCATTGTTTCATCAAGAGGCGGGTGTTAGTCGGTGGGATGACGAGGATTACGCTCAAATGATATTAACTGACACCTCTAGACTATATATCTCCACTCCGTTCTGGTCAGGCTACCTCTGCTACCATCCAGTCAACCTCTACTGCCACCAGCTACTGATACCATTCAGGCTACCTCTGCTACCATCAGATAGCAAAACAAAATGCGCACCTTCTGCCTCGTCCTACTACTTGTAGTCTGTGTGTATGCAGACACGGAAGTCGCCATTGAGAAAAATGAGGAGAAACGTATTCTGGGATTGATACCTGGCTTAACAGGTGGAGGACTATTGGATACCTTGTTGGGCAGTGTAACAGTTACCGTGAAAACCCTGTTGAGTGTTGGTCTCGCAGGGGGCGAATTAATTGGACTAATTGTAAAATTGCTGGTTGATATCGCCGTAGGCCTGCTCGTAAACATTAACATAGGAGACGCGGATCTTGCGTGCGTTAAAGTGGAACTGGCTTTAAAAATTAAAGTCTTCGCCGAAGCCATAGTCACCTTACTCAAGAGTTGCACTGCCATCCTCAAGTTGGATGTTGTCGCTGCAGCAAGTCTGACAGGTGATGACAGGGTAATCGCCTGCTGCAGACACCCGTCTATCTGCTCGTGATGGCCCTGTTAGGCCCTCCGATGGCTCCAAGTTGGCCCTGCTCATCTTTTGTTTCCTGTCTATGTGCAGACGATGACAAGCCAATAAAGAAATAAAATTGAAGCTTTTGTTTGTCTTGTATTTACTGTATGTTTGTGTTTGTGGTGTTTTTACTGTATGTTTGTGTTTGTGGTGTTTTTACTGTATCTTTGTGTTTGTGGTGTTTTTACTGTATGTTTGTGTTTGTGGTGTTTGTACTGTATGTTTGTGTTTGTGGTGTTTGTACTGTATTCTTTGTGAGCTATTCTGTTTTTTATCTTTTGTTTTGTGTTGACAATTTTTCTTCTTTTTATGCACTGGACCGATGTATTATTAATAGTCGGTAATAGAGAAACACGGAGTCTAAGGCGTAAAGGCTGTTACAAACCTTTCGCTCTGGTGCTAGAGGAGACTGGCCGTAAAGGTCTACTGTCTGTTAAGGTCTACTGGCTGTAAAGGTCTACTGGCTGTTAAGGTCTACTGGCTGTTAAGGTCTACTGGCTGTTAAGGTCTACTGGCTGTTAAGGTCTACTGGCTGTTAAGGTCTACTGGCTGTTAAGGTCTACTGGCTGTTAAGGTCTACTGGCTGTTAAGGTCTACTGGCTGTTAAGGTCTACTGGCTGTTAAGGTCTACTGGCTGTTAAGGTCTACTGGCTGTTAAGGTCTACTGGCTGTTAAGGTCTACTGGCTGTTAAGGTCTACTGGCTGTTAAGGTCTACTGGCTGTTAAGGTCTACTGGCTGTTAAGGTCTACTGGCTGTTAAGGTCTACTGGCTGTTAAGGTCTACTGGCTGTTAAGGTCTACTGGCTGTTAAGGTCTACTGGCTGTTAAGGTCTACTGGCTGTTAAGGTCTACTGGCTGTTAAGGTCTAGATCGCATCAACGTGCGACAGGTTCGCTAGTTTAAAAAGAAAAAAGTTAAGGCTATTTAATATTATAGATTTAATTTGTTCTTAAATATAAAAGTAAATTAAATTCTAGTATCAAAATAACTTAAAATAAAATGCAACTTAAACCCCCAAAAACAAAACAAAATCAATTACAAATAATACAACCCGTCAGTTAAAATCATCACATATTTTGATATTAACATTATAACTAGCTAGTTGAGTTATGTTGTCTGAAAATCGATATACGTATGCCTATTCAGTCATATATATATATATATATATATATATATATATATATATATATATATATATATATATATATATATATATATATATATAGGCATGTATATGTATATATAGGCATGTATATGTATATATAGGCCTATATGTCTTTGTGTGTATATATTTATATGTATATATATGGTTAAAGCCCGAAGTGCGGCCAAAGCACGCATTTGCCGGCCAATGCCCACTTTGTCCGGCCAATGCCCACTTTGTCCGGCCAATGCCCACTTTGTCCGGCCAATGCCCACTTTGTCCGGCTGTCTAGGCCAAAGTTTAACAGCTTAACACTGACAGCTATTTTTGTACATTGGCCAGCAATTGCGTGCACTGGCCAGGATGACCTGGCCAATATCCGAAACGCTTTAAAATTGGTAGCGCATTTATTACAAATGCCGGCCAATGCGAGCAGTGGCCTAGATGTCCTGGCCAATATCCGATATAGTATAATGGCATTTTAATAATTCTGGCTACGGTTTGATTGTGAGTAATGTACAACTCATCTGATGGATTAAACTCACCGTCAAAGACAAAAAAAATCTTGTTAGTTTCCAAAAATAGCAAAACATGGGTTACTACTGTAGAGGATCGATTCAGTGAAGACAAGAGGAGACAATCATCAAAGAACACCGAGGGGAGACAATCATCAAAGAACACCGAGGGGAGACAATCATCAAAGAACACCGAGGGGAGACAATCATTAAAGAACACCGAGGGGAGACAATCATTAAAGAACACCGAGGGGAGACAATCATCAAAGAACACAATTTTGGGGTAGAAGCCGATCAACACGATGAAACCTTCAAAAGACATTGCTGTGGTGGATGATACTTTTGTAAGACGAACAAAGACATTGCTGTGGCTGATGATACTTTTGTAAGATGAACAAAGACATTGCTATGGTTGATGATACTTTTGTAAGATAAACAAAGACATTGCTATGGTTGATGATACTTTTGTAAGATAAACAAAGACATTGCTGTGGCTGATGATACTTTTGTAAGATAAACAAAGACATTGCTATGGTTGATGATACTTTTGTAAGATGAACAATAGGGTCCAAATGTGTATGTGTGCATGTGTAAATCAGCGTGTGTATGAGTGTGTGCGTTTGTGTCTGGATGTGTGTGTGAAAGTGTGTGTGTGACAGTGGGTGTATGTATGAGCGTGTGCATTATAAGTGTATGTGTGTATGAGTGAGTTTGTGAGTGTGTTTGAGAGTGTGTGCATATAAGTTTATGTGTATTAGTCTGTGTGTGAATTATTGTGTGTGAGTATTATTTATAAGTCTGTGTGAGAGTGTGTGTGTGTTTGGGAGAGTGTGTATAAGTTTATGTGTATGAGATTATGTGTATGAATATGTGTGTGGGTGTGAGTGTGAGATATGAGTCTGTGTGTTTGAGTGTTTAAGTGTGTGTGTATGAGTGTGTGTAAATGTGTGCATGAGTGTGTGAGAGTATGCTTATAAGTGTATGTGTATGATTGAATAAGTTAATAATCCATAAAGACCAAATGTCATGATCATAACGACATACAAACGCCGAAAATCTGTTTATGATCTTCTATTTCGGACTTTGGCTGGTCACCCCTAGCCAGTCCGAGGACTGACCGGCCAATGGCCGAAGTCAAGAATCCTTTGAACACTTTGGCTGATCAGCGGAAGGTGATAATGGCCAATGGACACATTGGCCGACTTCGGGCTTTGACAGTAATATATATATATATATATATATATATATATATATATATATATATATATATATATATATATATATATATATATATATATATATATATATATGTTTTGAAAGAGATAAAGCCTTGATCCAAATATTTGTATAATCTGAGATATAAGGCCACCTTGTGATCCCATTATCTCGCCTGTACTTGCTATCTTCTAATAGAGAACATGATCCGAATCAGACTAATTATCTAATTACACCTTGAGCTAACTGTATCACATCTAACCAGTGTCTTACACATCAGTATTGTATAGTGCTGGTACAGTGAGGTGTGACCACAACGTAGAGAGCTGGTACAGTGAGGTGTGACCACAACGTAGAGAGCTGGTACAGTGAGGTGTGACCACAACGTAGAGAGCTGGTACAGTGAGGTGTGACCACAACGTAGAGAGCTGGTACAGTGAGGTGTGACCACAACGTAGAGAGCTAGTACAGTGAGGTGTGACCACAACGTAGAGAGCTGGTACAGTGAGGTGTGACCACAACGTAGAGAGCTGGTACAGTGAGGTGTGACCACAACGTAGAGAGCTGGTACAGTGAGGTGTGACCACAACGTAGAGAGCTGGTACAGTGAGGTGTGACCACAACGTAGAGTGCTAGTACAGTGAGGTGTGACCACAACGTAGAGAGCTGGTACAGTGAGGTGTGACCACAAGCTCTGTTAGTTGGGTTAGTGTTGATACTTCTCTCACTGGAGGCGCTAGTGGTCAAGGCACGGCGCTCTCACCAAGGTATGGACATGACATATCCACTGGACACTGATTGTATCCACTGGACACTAATGTATCCACTGGACACTAATTGTATTCACTGGACACTAATTGTATCCACTGGACACTAATTGTATCCACTGGACACTAATTGTATTCACTGGACACTAATTGTATCCACTGGACACTAATGTATCCACTGGACACTAATTGTATCCACTGGACACTAATTGTATTCACTGGACACTAATTGTATCCACTGGACACTAATGTATCCACTGGACACTAATTGTATCCACTGGACACTAATTGTATCCACTGGACACTAATTGTATTCACTGGACACTAATTGTATCCACTGGACACTAATTGTATCCACTGGACACTAATTGTATTCACTGGACACTAATTGTATCCACTGGACACTAATGTATCCACTGGACACTAATTGTATCCACTGGACACTAATTGTATCCACTGGACACTAATGTATCCACTGGACACTAATTGTATCCACTGGACACTAATTGTATCCACTGGACACTAATTGTATCCACTGGACACTAATTGTATTCACTGGACACTAATGTATCCACTGGACACTAATTGTATTCACTGGACACTAATTGTATCCACTGGACACTAATTGTATCCACTGGACACTAATTGTATCCACTGGACACTAATTGTATCCATTAATTAAATCTCCACAGTTGAAGCGTGCCCCTAGAAAATGGCGTATATCCTCAGGTCAACTCTACTTGCCCTGTGTCTGCTGGTAACCGTGCCTGCCACACATCAGGCTGTAAATGGCGGATCTGACTGCGCTAGTAAGTTCTAGAGGGAGAGAGGGGGGATCTATCAGCAGATATTAAAATCGTTTGCTGTTGATAATTGGGTGCTGTTTCATATATTAGGCGTTTGCTGCTGATAAGGAGGTGCTGTATTAACTCTAATTAATTTCAATCTACAACTTATTTTTGACAAGCTTTTATTTAGTTCGCAACCTCTGTGGGTTTGTGGCAAATCTTGTAACTTAATTTGACCCACTTCTAACGCAGCGTTTTCGTTCAAACTATCCAGATACATTCCACTTCGATACAATACAAGTCTATCTATTTTTTTTTATTTCAATTGGATGCATAATTAGTCATTAAAATTAATTAAACGAGCCGACCCGTGGCGTATCATACGCCGCTATTTAGTTGTTTTATTTTCTACTTTTCAGTAATTCATAATTTGTGAAATAAAATAACAGGGGATGGGAACTCGGGCTATAAATATGATTTTTAATCCATTTTAAATACTTAAAGTTTTAAAAATAGAATAAAATCTCGTAGACAAAAGAATTGCACACCAAGTGAACGCTAAATAAAAAAAGTGCATAATAGTGCGCAATATTATTAGTACTTTAAAAATTTACATTAGTTTTTTGAGAAATCGGAAGTAGCGTAAATTACTACTTCCGGTCAACGGAAATTACTCAAAATTTAACAGAAGGTAGAGAATTATATCTTTTACTTACATGTGAAATTTCGTTTATCTATCTGAAATATCTGAAATAGTACTCAAGTTATAGGCTTTTGAAAATTTCAAAGTAGGAAAAGTACCATTTCCGGTTATCGGAAATCGCTCAAAAGTTTATACGGATCTACGATTTTGATAAAATACATATATATGAAATTTCATCAACCTAGCTGTAACGGTACTCAAGTTATCGTGTTTACACAGACACACAGACACACAGACAGACAGACACACAGACATACGGACAAGATTGCAAAAATCTCGATTTTTTTTTTGCACGATTACAAGACTTTCTCTATACATCGTATATGCTGTAATATAACAGGGGTCGGCAACCTGAGGCTCGCGAGCCGCAGGCGGCTCTTTTGATGTCAAGGTGCGGTTCTTAAGTTCAATGCACACATATTAATAGTTATATTATTTCATGTTCAAATCTCATAAAAAAATATTATACCTTAAAGAAAAACAACTTCAAACAGGATTAAAACACTCATCAGAGACTAGTGAGAATAGGTAAGGTAGAAAGTATACGGACAGCCGCTTGGGCACCAGGCCCAGCCCCACAGCTGTGCTCTAGATAGCACCGTGGCGACTATTTCATTTTTGCCACTGTCGAAGTGCCGACTTTTTCGAATATCGTTAAATGGGGAATGTTATTTTATAGAGAATGCATTCCTCTACCTGTCAGTATGCATTAATTTGACCCGAGTGACTAAGTATTTTAGTTATTAGTTTCATACAGTTGAGCCAGGTACTGGATTCTGGGTTCGAGTAGGGTGAAAGATAAGCCTTGTGAGAACCAAAGACAGAAGCGACCGATACAGTAATCAAACCGATACCCAAGCCTGTTAGAGTTTGCCGTACCGAGGCCTGCCTGGCTATGAAAGATACCTACTGAACCAGGGGTGTCCGTAAAGAAAGAAAAAAAAAGTTACTGGCTTCTAAAGTGGATTGGGATAGTCCTATAGTTATATTATATTATGTGATTACTAATTTTAGCATAGCAGATCTAACTAAAACAGTTTTTGTGCGAGACATTTGTTTGTTTTTATATGAAACAATAAGTTCATATTTAACGCTATTTATCTCAAATCAAAAATCAAATTTATTTATCTAATCCATATATCAAATACCAAAACATTGAAAAAAATAATGTTAGTGGCTCTTTAAAAACTGGGAAATTTTGTAAGTTGTAACTTTTGGCTCTTTCGTGTCAAAAGGTTGCCGACCCCTGTAATATAAGAGTACGAGACGACCAACGGCGCACCATACTCCGCTGTTAGTGACGGGTGAAGACTTCTTGAAAGACACATTTGTCCAAAGGGGGGGGGGGGTACACGCTGTTGCGCATGCCTGGAGAGCGAGAGAGGGGGCGGGAGGAATGTTTAGTGGAGATTACTCCCGATTTATTTAAACATCTTTCTTAGCACTTGTTTACTTGTAGTGTTATTGTAGCGCCTGTTTACTTATAGTGTTATTGTAGCACCCTTTCTACCTGTAGTTTTTGTTTATAACACCTCTCTAACACAGCTTGTAGTGTGATTTTACCACCCGTTTTGTATTTGTAACACCTGTCTACCTGTCGTGTGATTGTAGCACATGTCTACCTGTTGTGTGATTGTAGCACCTGTCATGTGATTGTATCACCTGTCATTTGATTGTAGCACCTGTCATGTGATTGTAGCACCTGTCGTGTGATTGTACACCTGTCTACCTGTCGTGTGATTGTAGCACCTGTCTACCTGTCATGTGATTGTAGCACCTGTCTACCTGTCGTGTTATTGTATCACCTGTCATGTGATTGTAGCACCTGTCATGTGATTGTAGCACCTGTCTACCTGTCATGTGATTGTAGCACCTGTCATGTGATTGTAGCACCTGTCTACCTGTCGTGTGATTGTAGCACCTGTCTACCTGTCGTGTGATTGTAGCACCTGTCATGTGATTGTAGCACCTGTCTACCTGTCATGTGATTGTAGCACCTGTCTAACTGTCATGTGAGTGTAGCACCTGTCTACCTGTCATGTGATTGCAGCACCTGTCTACCTGTCGTGTGATTGTAGCACCTGTCTACCTGTTATGTGATTGTAGCACCTGTCTAACTGTGGTGTGATTGTAGCACTTGTCTACCTGTCGTGTTATTGTATCACCTGTCATGTGATTGTAGCACCTGTCTACCTGTCGTGTGATTGTAGCACCTGTCTACCTGTCGTGTGATTGTAGCACCTGTCTACCTGTCATGTGATTGTAGCACCTGTCTACCTGTCATGTGATTGTAGCACCTGTCATGTGATTGTAGCACCTGTCTACCTGTCGTGTGATTGTAGCACCTGTCTACCTGTCATGTGATTGTATCACCTGTCATGTGATTGTATCACCTGTCATGTGATTGTAGCACCTGTCTACCTGTCGTGTGATTGTAGCACCTGTCTACCTGTCATGTGATTGTAGCACCTGTCATGTGATTGTAGCACCTGTCTACCTGTCGTGTGATTGTAGCACCTGTCTACCTGTCATGTGATTGCAGCACCTGTCTACCTGTCATGTGATTGTAGCACCTGTCTACCTGTCGTGTGATTGTAGCACCTGTCTACCTGTCGTGTTATTGTATCACCTGTCATGTGATTGTAGTACCTGTCTACATGTCATGTGATTGTAGCACCTGACATGTGATTGTAGCACCTGTCTACCTGTCGTGTGATTGCAGCACCTGTCTACCTGTCGTGTGATTGTAGCACCTGTCTACCTGTCGTGTGATTGTAGCACCTGTCTACCTGTCGTGTTATTGTATCACCTGTCATGTGATTGTAGCACCTGTCATGTGATTGTAGCACCTGTCTACCTGTCGTGTGATTGTAGCACCTGTCTACCTGTCGTGCTATTGTATCACCTGTCATGTGATTGTATCACTTATCATGTGATTGTAGCACCTGTCTACCTGTCGTGTGATTGTAGCACCTGTCTACCTGTCATGTGATTGTAGCACCTGTCTACCTGTCGTGTGATTGTAGCACCTGTCTACCTGTCATGTGATTGTAGCACCTGTCTACCTGTCATGAGATTGTAGCACCTGTCATGTGATTGTAGCACCTGTCATGTGATTGTAGCACCTGTATACCAGTCGTGTGATTGTAGCACCTGTCATGTGATTGTAGCACCTGTCATGTGATTGTAGCACCTGTCTACCAGTCGTGTGATTGTAGTACCTGTCATGTGATTGTAGCACCTGTCATGTGATTGTAGCATCTGTCATGTGATTGTAGCACCTGTCTACCTGTCGTGTGATTGTATCATCTGTCATGTGATTGTATAACTTATCATGTGATTGTAGCACCTGTCTACCTGTCGTGTGATTGTAGCACCTGTCTACCTGTCATGTGATTGTAGCACCTGTCTACCTGACGTGTGATTGTAGCACCTGTCTACCTGTCATGTGATTGTAGCACCTGTCTACATGTCATGTGATTGTAGTACCTGTCTACCTGTCATGTGATTGTAGCACCTGTCTACCTGTCATGTGATTGTAGTACCTGTCTACCTGTCATGTGATTGTAGCACCTGTCTACCTGTCATGTGATTGTATCACCTGTCATGTGATTGTAGCACCTGTCTACCTGTCATGTGATTGTAGTACCTGTCTACCTGTCATGTGATTGTATCACCTGTCATGTGATTGTAGCACCTGTCTACCTGTCATGTGATTGTAGCACCTGTCATGTGATTGTAGTACCTGTCTACATGTCATGTGATTGTATCACCTGTCATGTGATTGTAGCACCTGTCTACCTGTCATGTGATTGTAGTACCTGTCTACCTGTCATGTGATTGTATCACCTGTCATGTGATTGTAGCACCTGTCTACCTGTCATGTGATTGTAGCACCTGTCATGTGATTGTAGTACCTGTCTATATGTCATGTGATTGTAGCACCTGTCATGTGATTGTAGCACCTGTCTACCTGTCATGTGATTGTAGCACCTGTCTACCTGTCATGTGATTGTATCACCTGTCATTTGATTGTAGCACCTGTCATGTGATTGTAGCACCTGTCATGTGATTGTACACCTGTCTACCTGTCGTGTGATTGTAGCACCTGTCTACCTGTCGTGTTATTGTATCACCTGTCTACCTGTCGTGTTATTGTATCACCTGTCATGTGATTGTAGCACCTGTCTACCTGTCGTGTGATTGTAGCACCTGTCTACCTGTCGTGTGATTGTATCACCTGTCATGTGATTGTATCACTTATCATGTGATTGTAGCACCTGTCTACCTGTCGTGTGATTGTAGCACCTGTCTACCTGTCGTGTTATTGTATCACCTGTCATGTGATTGTATCACTTATCATGTGATTGTAGCACCTGTCTACCTGTCGTGTGATTGTAGCACCTGTCTACCTGTCATGTGATTGTAGCACCTGTCTACCTGACGTGTGATTGTAGCACCTGTCTACCTGTCATGTGATTGTAGCACCTGTCTACATGTCATGTGATTGTAGTACCTGTCTACCTGTCATGTGATTGTAGCACCTGTCTACCTGTCATGTGATTGTAGTACCTGTCTACCTGTCATGTGATTGTAGCACCTGTCTACCTGTTATGTGATTGTATCACCTGTCATGTGATTGTAGCACCTGTCTACCTGTCATGTGATTGTAGTACCTGTCTACCTGTCATGTGATTGTATCACCTGTCATGTGATTGTAGCACCTGTCTACCTGTCATGTGATTGTAGCACCTGTCATGTGATTGTAGTACCTGTCTACATGTCATGTGATTGTATCACCTGTCATGTGATTGTAGCACCTGTCTACCTGTCATGTGATTGTAGTACCTGTCTACCTGTCATGTGATTGTATCACCTGTCATGTGATTGTAGTACCTGTCTACCTGTCATGTGATTGTATCACCTGTCATGTGATTGTAGCACCTGTCTACCTGTCATGTGATTGTAGCACCTGTCATGTGATTGTAGCACCTGTCATGTGATTGTACACCTGTCTACCTGTCATTTGATTGTAGCACCTGTCATGTGATTGTAGCACCTGTCATGTGATTGTACACCTGTCTACCTGTCGTGTGATTGTAGCACCTGTCTACCTGTCGTGTTATTGTAGCACCTGTCTACCTGTCGTGTTATTGTATCACCTGTCATATGATTGTATCACTTATCATGTGATTTTAGCACCTGTCTACCTGTCGTGTGATTGTAGCACCTGTCTACCTGTCGTGTTATTGTATCACCTGTCATGTGATTGTATCACTTATCATATGATTGTAGCACCTGTCTACCTGTCATGTTATTGTAGCACCTGTCTACCTGTCGTGCGATGGTAGCACCTTTCATGTGATTGTAGCACCTGTCATGTGATTGTAGCACCTGTCTACCTGTCGTGTTATTGTATCACCTGTCATGTGGTTGTATCCCTTATCATGTGATTGTAGCACCTGTCTACCTGTCGTGTGATTGTAGCACCTGTCTACCTGTCATGTGATTGTAGCACCTGTCTACCTGTCGTGTGATTGTAGCACCTGTCTACCTGTCATGTGATTGTAGCACCTGTCTACATGTCATGTGATTTTAGTACCTGTCTACCTGTCATGTGATTGTAGCACCTGTCTACCTGTCGTGTGATTGTAGTACCTGTCATGTGATTGTAGCACCTGTCTACATGTCATGTGATTGTAGTACCTGTCTACCTGTCATGTGATTGTATCACCTGTCATGTGATTGTAGCACCTGTCTACCTGTCGTGTGATTGTAGCACCTGTCTACCTGTCATGTGATTGCAGCACCTGTCTATCTGTCGTGTGATTGTAGCACCTGTCTACCTGTCGTGTTATTGTATCACCTGTCATGTGATTGTAGCACCTGACATGTGATTGTAGCACATGTCTACCTGTCGTGTGATTGCAGCACCTGTCTACCTGTCGTGTGATTGTAGCACCTGTCTACCTGTCGTGTGATTGTAGCACCTGTCTACCTGTCGTGTTATTGTATCACCTGTCATGTGATTGTAGCACCTGTCATGTGATTGTAGCACCTGTCTACCTGTCGTGTGATTGTAGCACCTGTCTACCTGTCGTGTTATTGTATCACCTGTCATGTGATTGTATCACTTATCATGTGATTGTAGCACCTGTCTACCTGTCGTGTGATTGTAGCACCTGTCTACCTGTCATGTGATTGTAGCACCTGTCTACCTGTCGTGTGATTGTAGCACATGTCTACCTGTCATGTGATTGTAGCACCTGTCTACCTGTCATGTGATTGTAGCACCTGTCTACCTGTCGTGTGATTGTAGCACCTGTCTACCTGTAATGTGATTGTAGCACATGTCTACCTGTCATGTGATTGTAGCACCTGTCATGTGATTGTAGCACCTGTCATGTGATTGTAGCACATGTCTACCAGTCGTGTGATTGTAGCACCTGTCATGTGATTGTAGCACCTGTCATGTGATTGTAGCACCTGTCTACCAGTCGTGTGATTGTAGCACCTGTCATGTGATTGTAGCACCTGTCATGTGATTGTAGCACCTGTCTACCTGTCGTGTGATTGTAGCACCTGTCATGTGATTGTAGCACCTGTCTACCTGTCGTGTGATTGTATCACCTGTCATGTGATTGTATAACTTATCATGTGATTGTAGCACCTGTCTACCTGTCGTGTGATTGTAGCACCTGTCTACCTGTCATGTGATTGTAGCACCTGTCTACCTGACGTGTGATTGTAGCACCTGTCTACCTGTCATGTGATTGTAGCACCTGTCTACATGTCATGTGATTGTAGTACCTGTCTACCTGTCATGTGATTGTAGCACCTGTCTACCTGTCATGTGGTTGTAGTACCTGTCTACCTGTCATGTGATTGTAGCACCTGTCTACCTGTCATGTGATTGTATCACCTGTCATGTGATTGTAGCACCTGTCTACCTGTCATGTGATTGTATCACCTGTCATGTGATTGTAGCACCTGTCTACCTGTCATGTGATTGTAGCACCTGTCATGTGATTGTAGCACCTGTCATGTGATTGTAGCACCTGTCATGTGATTGTAGCACATGTCTACCAGTCGTGTGATTGTAGCACCTGTCATGTGATTGTAGCACCTGTCATGTGATTGTAGCACCTGTCTACCTGTCATGTGATTGTAGCACCTGTCTACCTGTCATGTGATTGTATCACCTGTCATTTGGTTGTAGCACCTGTCATGTGATTGTACACCTGTCTACCTGTCGTGTTATTGTATCACCTGTCATGTGATTGTATCACTTATCATGTGATTGTAGCACCTGTCTACCTGTCGTGTGATTGTAGCACCTTTCTACCTGTCATGTGATTGTAGCACCTGTCTACCTGTCGTGTGATTGTAGCACCTGTCTACCTGTCATGTGATTGTAGCACCTGTCTACCTGTCGTGTGATTGTAGCACCTGTCTACCTGTCATGTGATTGTAGCACCTGTCATGTGATTGTAGCACCTGTCTACCTGTTGTGTGATTGTAGCACCTGTCTACCTGTCATGTAATTGTCTCCCCCAGCCTGCAGTGTAATCGTTGCACTGGTGGAGCAGCTGACCGAGTTCAAGAACCAGACGGTCATTGACACCTTAGAGCAGCTGTGTTCCTACCTGCCTGTCCAGTTCAAACCTGCATGTGACGCGGCCCTCCAGACCTTCGGCCCTGCATTGATTCAGCTGTAAGTACTGCGGGTGTCTAGGACTGCAGGGGGAGGGGTGTAGGACTGTAGGGGTGAGGGGAGGGGTGTAGGACTGCAGGGGGAGGAGTGTAGGGCTGCAGGGGGAGGGGAGGGGTGTAGGACTGCAGGGGGAGGAGTGTAGGGCTGCAGGGGGAGGGGTGTAGGACTGTAGGGGGAGGGGAGGGGTGTAGGACTGCAGGGGGAGGAGTGTAGGACTGCAGGGGAGGGGTGTAGAACTGTAGGGGTGAGGCGAGGGGGTGTAGGACTACAGTGGTGAGGGGAGGGGTGGAGGACTGCAGGGTTGAGGGGTGTAGGACTGCCGGGGTGAGGGGAGGGGTGTAGGACTGCAGGGGTGAGGGGTGTAGGACTGCAGGGGTGAGGGGAGGGGTTTAATGGACGATTGTAGGGGGAAAGTCACAAAGAAAAAACCACAGCCTTCTCGGTTTTCATCGTGAAATGGCATAAAGACGTTGTTAATCTGACTTGCTGCCCTCATCTTAACACAGCAGTAGTTCAACCACCTTTTCTGACCACATTCATCACTCTCATTACGTAACAAAGCACAGGATCTAAACAGAAAGCCGACACGGTACAAAGGCTGTCTTTGAGGCAAAAAGTCAACAACACACAATATGGACGGACAAGGCCGACTGAGGAGAAGACGACCAAGAAATGGCCTACGGCAAAATCAAAATGCAAAACACAATGATGTGCCGAAATTTCTGTTTTAATTAATTTTTCTACCCCTTATTTAACAAAATACGTAACAAAAGTTGAGGTTGATGTGTAAATGGCCATATAGTACTTTTTTCTTATTATTGTTATAAACCATAATGCTTTTAAATTTTCTAAATAAGCCACCAAAAAAAACCACAACAATAAACACCAAAACATTTTCGATTCTCAACAACTAAATCAACAAAAAGATTTTTGTGACTTTTTTTCTGTGACTTTTTTTCCTAGAAAAAGAACTGTCTTTTTTTCTTTTCTTTTTCCTGCGACTTTTTTTCCATTCACCGTACTGGACTGCAGGGGTGGGGGAGGGGTGTATGGGACTGCTGAAGAGTATGGTGGGGTAGCAATGTTATTTAGTATTGCACAAATATTTCAATGTTTGTTGTTCTGTTCATGACCTACCTGGCTATATACAAATGTAAAGTTGAATGCAACAGCTAACCCAGCGAATGGGGTACCATCTTACCCCCCCCCCCCTTTCCAGCCAGATTATGTAGACAAGAGTTCATAATATGTATATAGGCATATGCCATGTGTGGAGAGGCATATATGTGTGTGTTGGGTGGCATATGCCACTGCACGCAGCATGTGCTACCATTACCATAAAATTCCCCACCACCCCTTTACACCACCTTGGAAAAAACCTATGAATACGAAAATACTTGACCTACTTCACACTTAGCACCTGGTGTATTTATAGCGAACCCTGACCTTTATATTATAATCTGATTATTGCGTTGACCGAGTTTTTGATCTGCCCAGTTTGTTTTCAACAGGATCGTGGCTGGGGCGGATCCTGACGTCACATGCCACGCCCTCAGGTTTTGTTACACGGACCCTGGACAGCCCACCTGTCACTCAATCACACCCATGACATCTGTCTATCAAAGTGTGAGTTAACGTTTGTATACGCCCATATCTGTCTATCAAAGTGTGAGTTATCGTTTGTATACGCCCATGACACCTGTCTATCAAAGTGTGAGTTAACGTTTGTATACGCCCATGACATCTGTCTATCAAAGTGTGAGTTAACGTTTGTATACGCCCATGACACCTGTCTATCAAAGTGTGAGTTAAAGTTTGTATACGCCCATGACACCTGTCTATCAAAGTGTGAGTTACCGTTTGTATACGCCCATATCTGTCTATCAAAGTGTGAGTTACCGTTTGTATACGCCCATGACATCTGTCTATCAAAGTGTGAGTTAACGTTTGTATACGCCCATGACACGTGTCTATCAAAGTGTGAGTTAACGTTTGTATACGCCCATGACATCTGTCTATCAAAGTGTGAGTTAACGTTTGTATACGCCCATGACATCTGTCTATCAAAGTGTGAGTTAACGTTTGTATACGCCCATAACATCTGTCTATCAAAGTGTGAGTTAACGTTTGTTTACGCCCATGACATCTGTCTATCAAAGTGTGAGTTAACGTTTGTATACGCCCATAACATATGTCTATCAAAGTGTGAGTTAACGTTTGTATACGCCCATGACACCTGTCTATCAAAGTGTGAGTTAAAGTTTGTATACGCTCATGACACCTGTCTATCAAAGTGTGAGTTACCGTTTGTATACGCCCATATCTGTCTATCAAAGTGTGAGTTACCGTTTGTATACGCCCATGACATCTGTCTATCAAAGTGTGAGTTAACGTTTGTATACGCCCATGACACGTGTCTATCAAAGTGTGAGTTAACGTTTGTATACGCCCATGACATCTGTCTATCAAAGTGTGAGTTAACGTTTGTATACGCCCATGACATCTGTCTATCAAAGTGTGAGTTAACGTTTGTATACGCCCATAACATCTGTCTATCAAAGTGTGAGTTAACGTTTGTATACACCCATGACACCTGTCTATCAAAGTGTGAGTTATCGTTTGTATACGCCCATGACACCTGTCTATCAAAGTGTGAGTTACCGTTTGTATACGCCCATGACACCTGTCTATCAAAGTGTGAGTTACCGTTTGTATACACCCATGACACCTGTCTATCAAAGTGTGAGTTATCGTTTGTATACGCCCATGACACCTGTCTATCAAAGTGTGAGTTACCGTTTGTATACGCCCATGACACCTGTCTATCAAAGTGTGAGTTACCGTTTGTATACACCCATGACACCTGTCTATCAAAGTGTGAGTTATCGTTTGTATACGCCCATGACACCTGTCTATCAAAGTGTGAGTTAACGTTTGTATACGCCCATGACACCTGTCTATCAAAGTGTGAGTTACCGTTTGTATACGCCCATGACACCTGTCTATCAAAGTGTGAGTTACCGTTTGTATACGCCCATGACACCTGTCTATCAAAATGTGAGTTAACGTTTGTATACGCCCATGACACCTGTCTATCAAAGTGTGAGTTAACGTTTGTATACGCCCATGACACCTGTCTATCAAAGTGTGAGTTAACGTTTGTATACGCCCTCTGTGTCCTCTGTATTGACCACACGGTTTGAAATGTGTCCCCTGTATTGACCACACGGTTTGAAATGTGTCCTCTGTATTGACCACACGGTTTGAAATGTGTCCTCTGTATTGACCACACGGTTTGAAATGTGTCCTCTGTATTGACCACACGGTTTGAAATGTGTCCTCTGTATTGACCACACGGTTTGAAATGTGTCCTCTGTATTGACCACACGGTTTGAAATGTGTCCTCTGTACTGACCACACGGTGTCCTCTGTATTGACCACACGGTGTCCTCTGTATTGACCACACGGTTTGAAATGTGTCCTCTGTATTGACCACACGGTTTGAAATGTGTCCTCTGTATTGACCACACGGTTTGAAATGTGTCCTCTGTATTGACCACACGGTTTGAAATGTGTCCCCTGTATTGACCACAGGACCAGGAGTTTGAGGTCAAGGTTCAGACGGCCAGAAATTCCATAAGTGGGCTGACTGGCAGGGTAAGTAACTCGTGTCAAAAGATTCGGCCACTCTGGCTGTCGGTCACGATGGCTGTCGGCCACTCTGGCTGTCGGCCACTCTGGCTGTCGGCCACGCTGGCTGTCGGTCACAATGGCTGTCGGCCACTCTGGCTGTCGGCCACGCTGGCTGTCGGCCACTCTGGCTGTCGGCCACTCTGGCTGTCGGCCACTCTGGCTTTCGGCCACTCTGGCTGTCGGCCACTCTGGCTGTCGGCCACTCTGGCTTTCGGCCACTCTGGCTGTCGGCCACTCTGGCTGTCGGCCACGCTGGCTGTCGGCCACTCTGGCTGTCGGCCACTCTGGCTGTCGGCCACTCTGGCTGTCGGCCACTCTGGCTGTCGGCCACTCTGGCTGTCGGCCACGCTGGCTGTCGGCCACTCTGGGTGTAATCGTTTCCCGTCCAGCAACTGATTCGGATAAAAACTATCTAGATAGTTGCACTCAACTGATTCGGATAAAAACTATCTAGATAGTTGCACTCAACTTGATCCCAAACATGTTCTTGTAATGTCACTCAACATGTTGTGGTGTGTACCTACTGGGACCTAACGGTCAACATGGCAGATGAGTTCACCTGTCTCACCTGAGTAAGGTGGGTGGACTCCTGTACGGGAGCCGAACTCGCGACTTTCACTAAAGTGAGCTCTAACACAATATTGTTTCCAGACAGTTCAGAGAAACTTGTAACAAATATTTATCCCAAACTTTAATCTCAAACTTTAATCCCAAATGTGTATCCCAAACTTGTCTCCCAAACTTGTATCCCAAACTTGTATCCACCATTTGTATCCCAAACTTTTATCCCAAACTTGTCTTCCAAACTTGTATCCCAAACTTGTATCCACCATTTGTATCCCAAACTTGTCTCCGAAACTTGTATATCTAACTTGTATCCCAACTTGTCTCCCAAACGTGTATCCCAAACTTGTCTCCCAAACTTGTATCCCAAACTTGTCTCCCAAACTTGTATTCCAAACTTGTATCCCACATTTGTATCCCAAACTTGTCTCCCAAACTTGTATCCCAAACTTGTATCCCACATTTGTATCCCAAGCTTGTCTCCCAAACTTGTCTCCCTAACTTGTATCTCAAACTTGTTTCCCAAACTTGTATCCCAAACTTGTATCCCAAACTTGTCTCCCAAACTTGTCTCCCAAACTTGTATCCCACATTTGTATCCCAAACTTGTCTCCCAAACTTGTATCCCAAACTTGTCACCCAAACTTGTCTCCCAAACTTGTATCCCAAACTTGTATCCCAAACTTGTATCCCAAACTTGTATCCCAAACTTGTATCCCACAGTTTACTCTTGGCATGAAGTTCTGCGACATCCCCGGCATCAAGGAGATCTGTGATTGGATAAAAAAGTAGGTCAAGGGGGTCAGGTAGAGGGGTCGTGTGGAGCAGTCAGTTAAAGGGGTTGTGTGGGGGGTCGGGTAGAGGGGTTGTGTGGGGGGTCGGGTAGAGGGGTTGTGTGGGGGGGGGGGGGTCGGGTTGAGGGGTTGTGTGTGGGGAGGGGGTCGGGTAGAGGGGTTGTGTGGAGGTGGTCAGATAGGGGGAGTCGTGAAGGGGGGGGGGGGTCGGGTAGAGGGGTCGTGTTGAGGGGGTCGGGTAGAGGGGTCGTGTTGAGGGGGTCGGGTAGAGGGGTTGTGTGTGGGGGGCCGGGTAGAGGGGTTGTGTGGGGGGGGAGGGGTGGAGGGGGTCAGGTAGGGGGTCGTGGGGGGTCGGGTAGAGGGGTTGTGTGGGCGGATCGGGTAGAGGGGTCAAGTAGGGGGCAGAGAAGGTAACAGTTGACTATTTGCTATTGACAACAATTTCAACTTTTCCAGGACAATCGCCAGCCAGGAGCCAGCTGTAGACCTGGACAACGACAGGTTCAGTACCTACCAGGTAGGTCAAGTAGGGTGGCCGTCTAAATACAACTGTAGGGTGGCCGTCTAAATACAACTGTAGGGTGGCCGTCTAAATACAACTGTAGGGTGGCCGTCTAAATACAACTGTAGGGTGGCCGTCCACATACAACAGCAGGGTGGCCGTCTAAATACAACTGTAGGGTGGCCGTCTAAGTAGTCTATATGACGTCACTAAAGTGTCTTCGTGACGTCACTAAAGTGTCTTCGTGACGTCACTAAAGTGTCTATGTTCCACGTTGATGACGTTGTCTACCCTGTACTTTAAAACCCAATTGTTTACGTCCATGCCTCACGTCAAGTAAGCCGAGTAGGATCAATGGTGACTTTAGAAACAATAACCAAGGGTGATAATCCGGCCGCTATTTGATAGATATTGCAAGGAGTGCTCACCCATGTTTATCTTCCCTTTCTTGTTTTTATTGCTATTTTTACACCTGACTTTTTTTGGATTTTCCCTAATTCTACACCACACACTAACCACATACACCATTTACACCATACACACCACATACACCACACATACACAACATACTCCACATTCACCACACTTACCACATACACTACACAAACCACCCACACACTACACTCACTATCCACACCACACACTCGCCACACACTCACCAAATACACCACACACACCACACACACCCTCGTACCCACCGGCAAACGACCCCCTCACTACCCACCTCTACTCCCACGCCCCCCCCCCCCTCCCCAGGCACTGAGAGGTGCGGCCTGGCGCGGGAAAGATTGCTCTGACGTCATCAGTGACATGTACCCTGGTGTCATGTAAGTTATCACGTGACATGAACATTATCAAATTTGTTTTGTTATATCACCAGTCACCATTGTTGTATCACCAGTCAAAATTTGTGCATTGCCAGTCACCGTTATTGTATCACCAATCACCATCGTTGTATCACCAATCACCATTATTGTATCACCAAACACCATTATTGTATCACCAATCACCATTATTGTATCACCAATCACCAGCGGTGTTTTTATATTTTAGACCCACAGATGGCGACAAGACTCTGGACTCCAATTGTAACGGAATTTTTGTAAGTCTCACTGTAGGTCTCACTGTAGGTCTCACTGTAAGTCTCACTGTAAGTCTCACTGTAGGTCTCACTGTAGGTCTCACTGTAGGTCTCACTGTAGGTCTCACTGTGGGTCTCGCTGTAGGTCTCGCTGTAGGTCTCCCTTTAATGCTCACTGTAAGTCTCACTGTAAGTCTCACTGTAGGTCTCACTGTAGATCTCCCATAGGTCTCACTGTAAGTCTCAATGTAGGTCTCACTGTAGGTCTCACTGTAGGTCTCACTGTAGATCTCCCATAGGTCTCACTGTAGGTCTCACTGTAGGTCTCACTGTAGATCTCCCATAGGTCTCACTGTAAGTCTCACTGTAAGACTCTGGACTCCAATTGTAACGGAATTTTTGTAAGTCTCACTGTAGGTCTCACTGTAAGTCTCACTGTGGGTTTCACTGTAGGTCTCCCTGTAGGTCTCACTGTAAGTCTTACTGTAGGTCTCACTGTAGGTCTCACTGTAGGTCTCACTGTAGGTCTCACTGTAGGCCTCACTGTAGGTCTCACTGTAGGTATCACTGTAAGTCTCACTGTGGGTCTCGCTGTAGATCTCCCATAGGTCTCACTGTAGGTCTCACTGGATGTCTCACCGTGGGTCTCACTGTAGGCCTCACTGTAGGTTTCACTGTAGGTCTCACTGTAGGTCTAACTGTAGGTCTCACTGTAGGCCTCACTGTAGGTCTCACTGTAAGTCTCATTAACTGACTGTTAGACCATGTGACGTGACTGTTTTGACCACGTGACGTGACTCTCTGATTGACCACGTGACGTGACTGTTTGACCACGTGACTCTCTGGTCCTACCCAGGGCGTCATCAACAACACAGGCAGGACTTATGAAGACGAGCTGTGCGCCAACTCCCAGCCCCGGGGCGTCGCTGTCTTGGGGGACTCGGTCAGCGCCCATTTCCACCTCCCTCCCCAGTGGTTTGACGCCACTCAGATATCTGAGGTAAGTCAACTTTCATCCAACAAAACTTGTCAACTTTCGACCAACAAAACTTGTCAACTTTAACATACAAAATCTTCATCCAACACAACTTGTCAAATCTCAACCAACAGAAAAGTTTCCTGCACGCGGTGGAGATTCTAGAAAATGAAATCGACTGGCCCATGATGTCAACTTGCACAGGTGAGGGGGTGGTGGGGGATAGTGGGTTCGATCTGGGGATATGGGGGTCAAGGGGTCCAGTCTAGATGTAGATTATCACGTGTCTGTCTCTGTCATAGGTCATGGTTCAAATTTATGGCCAGAAGCGATTACCGGTCCCATCGATTCCATTTATAATCGATTACGTGACAGAAATCGATGCAACCACAGAGACTTCCAGAACATCGCAGCCAACGGTAAGTCCAGTGTTTCTTTCAGACTTTTTTCTCCGGGAGGGGGGGGAGGCACTTGAAATTTTGGGGGGGGGGGGGGGCGGACTAAAATTTCCGGGGGAGTCGGACACTGTTAAAAGTATATATTTTCCATTTCGCTCGGTTGGGGGAAGGGCGGTAGACTTTCTTCAGGGAGGTTCCCCCCCCCCCCCCCCCCGAAGAGATACCTGGAAGAAACTCTGGGTAAGTCGCCATCTGCTGAAACTTTACTGCAAATACAAACTTTACTGCAAATACAAACGTTACTGCAAATACAAACTCTACTGTAAATACAAATAAAAGTAGATTTAAGGTTTTCAAGTATGTTTGTGTGTGCCCAAACAATAAAAACTATTTCAAGTGCCTGTAACGGTAAAAACACTTTAAAAATATCACTGTTTGGAGGTCCAATAATTATAATTAAGCTGATTAGCTGATGAGCACACCTGAAGTGGTGAGTACACAACGTGCGTTGATCTGTTGCAGGTGAGCGCTCCTCCAGCATGAACGACCTTGTCAAAACGTGAGTACACCTGACCTGCATGTTGGCTCACCTTTTTCTATTGCAGGTGAGGACTCGTCCAGTGTCAATCACATCGTCAGGACGTGAGTATCGTGTCACATGATAGGTTCAGCTCAATTATCACGTGACAGGTTTAGCTCAATTGTCACGTGGTAGGTTCAGCTCAATGGTCACGTGATAGGTTTAGCTCAATGGTCACGTGACAGGTTCAGCTCAATGGTCACGTGACAGGTTCAGCTCAATGGTCACGTGACAGGTTTAGCTCAATTGTCACGTGGTAGGTTCAGCTCAATCGTCACGTGATAGGTTCAGCTCAATTGACACGTGACAGGTTCAGCTCAATTGACACGTGACAGGTTCAGCTCAATGGTCACGTGACAGGTTCAGCTCAATGGTCACGTGACAGGTTTAGCTCAATTGTCACGTGGTAGGTTCAGCTCAATGGTCACGTGATAGGTTCAGCTCAATGGTCACGTGATAGGTTCAGCTCAATGGTCACGTGATAGGTTCAGCTCAATGGTCACGTGATAGGTTCAGCTCAATGGTCACGTGACACAGTGAGTCCAGTCCATTGTGTGACGTGACAGAAAGCGTACTCACAAGATTATGTATGATGTATCTGAGTTGTGTGAGGCTAAGAATCAGATAAACTTGTCGCATAAGGCTTTAAAAACACATTGTTTTGTTGTTTTTCTACTGCTAGTATATATGGTGGTCGTTTGACCTTTGACCTCCATCTCTTACGTGCTGATGTTTCTATTTTTAGACTGGCGAGAAAACCCGGAAAAGACCGACCTCTCGTGGTGTTCTACGCCCTTGTGGGTAACGACGTCTGCAATGGGTGAGCAGCCGACTAATCATGTTCATTCATTGAACACAATGCTCATTTTTTACTCACATGTGTCCAACAATGGTTACCAATAATGAAAAGTTTTGATGAAATAAATGTGAGCGGTCATTGACCTTTTCTTTCTGTTGTGTCCAGACACCCCGACACTTTCGATCACATGACCACGCCAGCCGAGATGTTCAACAACACCATGCAGACCCTGGACTATCTGGTAATGAACTGTGTTACATTTTAAAAACAAAATCAAATGTTTACTGGCAGTTTGTAAGAAATCTGATGATATGCCCGATGTAAAAAATTTAAAAAACGACACATTTTTGGTTAACATGATCACTAATTTAATTGGCCAACATGTTTATAAATGTAATTGGCCAACATGTTTAAAGATGTAATTGGTCAACATGTTTATAAGTTTAATTGGCCAACATGTTTTTAATGTAATTGGCCAACATGTTTATAAATTTAATTGGCCAACATGTTTTTTAATGTAATTGGCCAACATGTTTATAAATTTAATTGGCCAACATGTTTAAAAATGTAATTGGTCAACATGTTTAAAAATGTAATTGGCCAACATGTTTTTTTAATGTAATTGGCCAACATGTTTATAAATTTAATTGGCCAACATGTTTTTTAATGTAATTGGCCAACATGTTTATAAATTTAATTGGCCAACGTGTCCACTGTTGTCTGACAGAGCAAGGTACTCCCCAACAACAGTCACGTGATCCTGTTGGGTCTGGCAGACGGACGGGTGCTGTACGACAACATGGGACCCAGGGTCCACCCCGTCTCCACCTACTGGGGGACCTTTACCTACGCCAAATTTTACGACTTTCTCAACTGTCTACAGGTAGGGGTGCGTCTGAATTGTGCAGATTTGGATGAAGCCAAACAAGTTTTGTTTTCAGTTATTAAAAAGTTTTTTTATGTTATCTGTGACTGTACCATGACTCAATGCTGATTTTCTATTTTTAGATCTCCCCGTGTATGGGCTGGATGAACACAAACAGGACAATGAGGGACCTAACAACTCAGGTCAGTATCTGGTCAACTTAGGTCAGTGTCTGGTCAACTAGACACAACTTAGGTCAGTGTCTGGTCAACTTAGGTCAGTGTCTGGTCAACTTAGGTCAGTGCATGGTCATCTTAGGACAGTGTCTGGTCAACTAGACACAACTTAGGTCAGTGTGGTCAACTTAGGTCAGTGTCTGGTCAACTTAGGTCAGTGCATGGTCAACTTAGGTCAGTGCCTGGTCAACTAGACACAACTTAGGTTAGTGTCTGGTCAACTTAGGTCAGTGTCTGGTCAACTAGACACAACTTAGGTTAGTGTCTGGTCAACTAAGGTCAGTGCATGGTCAACGTAGGTCAGTGTCTGGTCAACAGATCAGTGTCTGGTCAACTTAGGTCAGTGCATGGTCAACTTAGGTCAATGTCTGGTCAACTCAGGTCAGTGTCTGGTCAACTTAGGTCAGTGTCCGGTCAACTAGACACAACTGAGGCCAGTGTCTGGTCAACTTAGGTCAGTGTCTGGTCAACTTAGGTCAGTGTCTGGTCAACTAGACACAACTTAGGTCAGTGTCTGGTCAACTTAGGGCAGTGTCTGGTCAACTCTGGTCAGTGTCTGGTCAAGTTATGTCAGTGTCTGGTCAATTAGACACAACTTAGGTCAGTGTCTGGTCAACTTAGGTCAGTGTCTGGTCAACTTAGGTCAGTGTCTGGTCAACTTAGGTCAGTGTCTGGTCAACTTAGGTCAGTGTCTGGTCAACTTAGGTCAGTGTCTGGTCAACTTAGGTCAGTGTCTGGTCAACTTAGGTCAGTGTCTGGTCAACTTAGGTCAGTGTCTGGTAAACTTAGGTCAGTGTCTGGTCAACTAGACAGTTCAAACAATGACGTTCAGTAAACACCTGGCCTGCTGACTTAATACCATAACAAGTGTTCACTGTACGGACTGAGTCCATTGGTGGGAAGCTACGAGTTCAGGTGGGGGGAGGGGCAGCTGGGTGTAGTGCCGGCTACTCACTTCAAGTTGACCTCTCTATGATGACCGTAGTTGACCTCTCTATGATGACTGTAGTTTACTTCTATGACCTTTGACCCCCATGTCTCCCCTAGAGAGCCGAGCAGCTGACCGCTGTCCTGAGGAACATCGCCACGACCTACAAGACTCGCTACCCGAACTTTGACCTCAACTTCCTGGATAACCCCATCAACGAAGGTAAGAAAAACAACTACAAGGACCTGCTCCTGGCACCCTCATCACATTCCAAACTTTAGATTCATTCAAACATGTTTTGGTTGAAGTAATTTTAAGTTATTCAATGTCCGCCCTTTGCTGTTTACATCCAAAAAATGTTGTTCCAATTTTTACAGCCATCACAAAGTGGGAGGCAATGGGAGGCGCGGGATGGGAACTGATAGAACCAGTCGATGGTTTCCATGACAACCAGGTACGTTATAATCAGATACAAAATTAACTTAAGGATTGGCTTAGCCACACACAACTAACGACAAACGACCCCTACAATCTGACTTGACTGATCTAACGACAAACGACCCCTACAATCTGACTTGACTGATCTAACGACAAACGACCCCTACAACCTGACTTGACTGATCTAAAGACAAACGACCCCTACAACCTGACTTGACTGATCTAACGACAAACGACCCCCACAACCTGACTTGACTGATCTAACGACAAACGACCCCCACAACCTGACTTGACTGATCTAAAGACAAACGACCCCCACAACCTGACTTGACTGATCTAACGACAAACGACCCCTACAACCTGACTTGACTGATCTAACGACAAACGACCCCCACAACCTGACTTGACTGATCTAACGACAAACGACCCCCACAACCTGACTTGACTGATCTAACGACAAACGACCCCCACAACCTGACTTGACTGATCTAACGACAAACGACCCCCACAACCTGACTTGACTGATCTAAAGACAAACGACCCCTACAACCTGACTTGACTGATCTAACGACAAACGACCCCTACAATCTGACTTGACTGATCTAACGACAAACGACCCCTACAATCTGACTTGACTGATCTAACGACAAACGACCCCTACAACCTGACTTGACTGATCTAACGACAAACGACCCCTACAATCTGACTTGACTGATCTAACGACAAACGACCCCTACAATCTGACTTGACTGATCTAACGACAAACGACCCCCACAACCTGACTTGACTGATCTAACGACAAACGACCCCCACAACCTGACTTGACTGATCTAACGACAAACGACCCCCACAACCTGACTTGACTGATCTAACGACAAACGACCCCTACAACCTGACTTGACTGATCTAACGACAAACGACCCCTACAACCTGACTTGACTGATCTAACGACAAACGACCCCTACAACCTGACTTGACTGATCTAACGACAAACGACCCCCACAACCTGACTTGACTGATCTAAAGACAAACGACCCCTACAACCTGACTTGACTGATCTAACGACAAACGACCCCCACAACCTGACTTGACTGATCTAAAGACAAACGACCCCTACAACCTGACTTGACTGATCTAACGACAAACGACCCCCACAACCTGACTTGACTGATCTAACGACAAACGACCCCCACAACCTGACTTGACTGATCTAAAGACAAACGACCCCTACAACCTGACTTGACTGATCTAACGACAAACGACCCCTACAATCTGACTTGACTGATCTAACGACAAACGACCCCTACAATCTGACTTGACTGATCTAACGACAAACGACCCCTACAACCTGACTTGACTGATCTAACGACAAACGACCCCTACAATCTGACTTGACTGATCTAACGACAAACGACCCCTACAATCTGACTTGACTGATCTAACGACAAACGACCCCCACAACCTGACTTGACTGATCTAACGACAAACGACCCCCACAACCTGACTTGACTGATCTAACGACAAACGACCCCCACAACCTGACTTGACTGATCTAACGACAAACGACCCCTACAACCTGACTTGACTGATCTAACGACAAACGACCCCTACAACCTGACTTGACTGATCTAACGACAAACGACCCCTACAACCTGACTTGACTGATCTAACGACAAACGACCCCCACAACCTGACTTGACTGATCTAACGACAAACGACCCCCACAACCTGACTTGACTGATCTAAAGACAAACGACCCCTACAACCTGACTTGACTGATCTAACGACAAACGACCCCTACAATCTGACTTGACTGATCTAACAACAAACGACCCCTTAAACCTGACTTGACTGATCTAACGACAAACGACCCCTTAAACCTGACTTGACTGATCTAACGACAAACGACCCCTACAACCTGACTTGACTGATCTAACGACAAACGACCCCCACAACCTGACTTGACTGATCTAACGACAAACGACCCCTACAACCTGACTTGACTGATCTAACGACAAACGACCCCTACAATCTGACTTGACTGATCTAAAGACAAACGACCCCCACAACCTGACTTGACTGATCTAACGACAAACGACCCCTACAACCTGACTTGACTGATCTAACGACAAACGACCCCCACAACCTGACTTGACTGATCTAACGACAAACGACCCCCACAACCTGACTTGACTGATCTAACGACAAACGACCCCCACAACCTGACTTGACTGATCTAACGACAAACGACCCCCACAACCTGACTTGACTGATCTAAAGACAAACGACCCCTACAATCTGACTTGACTGATCTAACGACAAACGACCCCTACAATCTGACTTGACTGATCTAACGACAAACGACCCCTACAATCTGACTTGACTGATCTAACGACAAACGACCCCTACAACCTGACTTGACTGATCTAACGACAAACGACCCCTACAACCTGTCTTGACTGATCTAAAGACAAACGACCCCTACAACCTGACTTGACTGATCTAACGACAAACGACCCCTACAATCTGACTTGACTGATCTAACGACAAACGACCCCTACAATCTGACTTGACTGATCTAACGACAAACGACCCCTACAATCTGACTTGACTGATCTAACGACAAACGACCCCTACAACCTGACTTGACTGATCTAACGACAAACGACCCCTACAACCTGTCTTGACTGATCTAACGACAAACGACCCCTACAACCTGACTTGACTGATCTAACGACAAACGACCCCTACAATCTGACTTGACTGATCTAACGACAAACGACCCCTACAATCTGACTTGACTGATCTAACGACAAACGACCCCCACAACCTGACTTGACTGATCTAACGACAAACGACCCCCACAACCTGACTTGACTGATCTAACGACCAACGACCCCCACAACCTGACTTGACTGATCTAACGACAAACGACCCCTACAACCTGACTTGACTGATCTAACGACAAACGACCCCTACAACCTGACTTGACTGATCTAACGACAAACGACCCCTAAAACCTGACTTGACTGATCTAACGACAAACGACCCCTACAACCTGACTTGACTGATCTAACGACAAACGACCCCTACAATCTGACTTGACTGATCTAACGACAAACGACCCCTACAACCTGACTTGACTGATCTAACGACAAACGACCCCTACAATCTGACTTGACTGATCTAACGACAAACGACCCCTACAATCTGACTTGACTGATCTAACGACAAACGACCCCCACAACCTGACTTGACTGATCTAACGATAAACGACCCCCACAACCTGACTTGACTGATCTAACGACAAACGACCCCTACAACCTGACTTGACTGATCTAACGACAAACGACCCCTACAACCTGACTTGACTGATCTAACGACAAACGACCCCTACAACCTGACTTGACTGATCTAACGACAAACGACCCCTTAAACCTGACTTGACTGATCTAACGACAAACGACCCCTACAACCTGACTTGACTGATCTAACGACAAACGACCCCCACAACCTGACTTGACTGATCTAACGACAAACGACCCCCACAACCTGACTTGACTGATCTAAAGACAAACGACCCCTACAACCTGACTTGACTGATCTAACGACAAACGACCCCTACAATCTGACTTGACTGATCTAACAACAAACGACCCCTTAAACCTGACTTGACTGATCTAACGACAAACGACCCCTTAAACCTGACTTGACTGATCTAACGACAAACGACCCCTACAATCTGACTTGACTGATCTAACGACAAACGACCCCTACAATCTGACTTGACTGATCTAACGACAAACGACCCCTACAACCTGACTTGACTGATCTAAAGACAAACGACCCCTACAACCTGACTTGACTGATCTAACGACAAACGACCCCCACAACCTGACTTGACTGATCTAACGACAAACGACCCCCACAACCTGACTTGACTGATCTAAAGACAAACGACCCCCACAACCTGACTTGACTGATCTAACGACAAACGACCCCTACAACCTGACTTGACTGATCTAACGACAAACGACCCCCACAACCTGACTTGACTGATCTAACGACAAACGACCCCCACAACCTGACTTGACTGATCTAACGACAAACGACCCCCACAACCTGACTTGACTGATCTAACGACAAACGACCCCCACAACCTGACTTGACTGATCTAAAGACAAACGACCCCTACAACCTGACTTGACTGATCTAACGACAAACGACCCCTACAATCTGACTTGACTGATCTAACGACAAACGACCCCTACAATCTGACTTGACTGATCTAACGACAAACGACCCCTACAACCTGACTTGACTGATCTAACGACAAACGACCCCTACAATCTGACTTGACTGATCTAACGACAAACGACCCCTACAATCTGACTTGACTGATCTAACGACAAACGACCCCCACAACCTGACTTGACTGATCTAACGACAAACGACCCCCACAACCTGACTTGACTGATCTAACGACAAACGACCCCCACAACCTGACTTGACTGATCTAACGACAAACGACCCCTACAACCTGACTTGACTGATCTAACGACAAACGACCCCTACAACCTGACTTGACTGATCTAACGACAAACGACCCCTACAACCTGACTTGACTGATCTAACGACAAACGACCCCCACAACCTGACTTGACTGATCTAAAGACAAACGACCCCTACAACCTGACTTGACTGATCTAACGACAAACGACCCCCACAACCTGACTTGACTGATCTAAAGACAAACGACCCCTACAACCTGACTTGACTGATCTAACGACAAACGACCCCCACAACCTGACTTGACTGATCTAACGACAAACGACCCCCACAACCTGACTTGACTGATCTAAAGACAAACGACCCCTACAACCTGACTTGACTGATCTAACGACAAACGACCCCTACAATCTGACTTGACTGATCTAACGACAAACGACCCCTACAATCTGACTTGACTGATCTAACGACAAACGACCCCTACAACCTGACTTGACTGATCTAACG